GAGAGAGAGAGAGAGAGAGAGAGAGAGAGAGAGAGAGAGAGAAAAAAAAAAGAGAGCAAACAACGTATAATTAAGACAAAAGAAAAAAGCCAGCTATGTTTTTCCGGATTTTCGAATGAAGAATTGTATTTCGAGAATCTTTTCACCAGAAATGTTATAGAAAAAAAAATGAAAATTTTCGGTTTTTTTTTGTTTCTGTTGTCACACTATATGAATAATGTAATAATTTTTTTCTTCCTTCGTTGTCTGTCTTTGATTTTTTCTTGTTTGCTACCTGAATCAATTTTTTTCGTTTGTTCGTTCGTCTTTTAACCTTGTTTGTCGATTTTTTTTTCGTTTTTTATTTTCCGGTGAATACAAGCTACCTGATTATTATACAGTGTGGTGACAATGAATCGATCGAGTGAAAAGAGAGGTTCACATATTTTTTTCTGTGCTTTTTTCGAATCAATTCACCTGATTTACCTGATTCAATGTTGATGTTAATTAAAAAACAACAACAGCAGCAACAAGAATCCATTTTTTTGGTATCATCCTCGAACCTTGAGGGTTAATTAATTGTTGTTGTTGTTATTGCTGTTATTGTTAATCGATTGTGATTGATTAATTCTTGTTGAAAATGATGAGAATATTCTTCTTTTTTTGTGGAGATTTTTATTGTTTTTTTGTCAAGCTAATAATTATTTTTTATCCTTGCTGCTGTTCCGCGGGGTTAATTATTTTTCATTTTTTTTCTGCTGTTGTTAATCACAGGTTTCCAGATAAGAAACAAAAATAAACCCAAAATAGGAAATAATATTTTATCGATTGACCTGCATTTGATGAACAGAATTTCAAAATTCAGAATTTTTTTTTTCTCTTTTGATTTTTTCAAAAACTTTAAAAAAAAATTTTTTAATTAATCAACTAATGGGGTGGATAAGTGGGCAGATGGGTGAGCAAGTGTTAGTATAAGGTGGTGGTGATCGTGATGATGATAGTCAGTCAAATATAATCATCATCAGCATTATTATCATTCCAACAGAGAGAGAGAGAGATTAATATTTTATTTCATTTTCTCTCTCTCTCATGAACTATAACACGCGTATTGATCATTAACACACACATAGCACCAACAGCAGCAAATGACGAAATGAAGATATGAAGAAAGAAACAAAATGAAAAAAAAAAGTTATTATTCATTTACGATCATTATCATTTCATTCATTTGTTGGTTTGTTACGGACAACAACAAAGTTAAATTCTTTTTTTTTTCCATATTTTCCCTATCAATAATTGAATAATTTCTGCATAAATACAGCAAAACGAAAAACAAAAACGAAACCCGAATGTCATCATCAAATGCAAGGAAAAATTCATATTTTGCTCTTTCTCTCTCTTTTTCTCTGATAATAATATTCGAATATTGTCCCTGGTAATTGTATGACTTTAATGGTTATCGTTATTATCATTATTATGGTTATATGGATAGCCAAAAATGAATGAGAGAAAATCGATGATGATGATGATTGTCATTGACTAATTGTCATTATCAATATATATATTTTATTCATCATATATTTTATGATCATTATATGTGTGATTCTCTTCATTCCAAAAGTTCAATTTATAAGTTTTCAACTGATGATGATTTAGGCAATCTAAAAAAAAAAAAAAAAATATTTGATTGTTTCATCAGGATCATAATGGTTTTTCGTTTTCGTTTGTTCATTTTGTTACCGTTTCATTCCATTTTTTTGGCCACTGAATTTTGAATTTGAATTGTATCAAAAAAACAAAACGAAAAAAAGAAAAAAAGTTTATGAATAATAAATTCATAAACAAAATACGTTTGTCATCACTGTTCGGATCCAGAAATGAGAGAACCAAAAGAAAGAAAAAACCAAATGATGATGATGAGAAACATCATCATATTAGTGGTGATAGGAAAAGTTGGCTTCTCTGTTTTTAAAAAACAAAAAAAAATTGATTTTGTTGTTTTGCTGTTTGCTTGTCGATGTTGTAATTATATGCAGGAAAGCTTATATTTTTGATAAATTGAATTATGACTTAATTGAATAACTTTTGTTTTGTTTTTTATGAGATTTTTGATAATGGATTCAATTTTTGATCTTGTTTTTTTACTCACTCACCTATTTCTACCCCTCTATTTACCACTATTTCCACACATACATTTAGATTGTCAAACATTACGTATCGAAAAATTTAATGTACCTGAAGCAATTTCAAATGGTAGCCATGCAATATTATATTGTGATTATAATCTGGAAAATAGTGAACTTTATTCAGTAAAATTTTATAAAGATTATATTGAATTTTATCGTTATCTACCGAAAGAAGAAGATTATCCAAAACAATCATTCAATTTGGATGGTATTTATTTGGATGTAAATATCCAGTTTTATCAATTTTTTGTAATTTTCGTAATTCTCACATTTTGTAATTTTCATTCACTTTTACAGCTTAAAAAATCCAACGCAACTCATGTAATATTACATCATACAGATTTGGTAAGTTTTTTCACAACTGGCGGCTGCCTATGAAATTCTGTAATTCTGTTTTATCTTTGTCCAAACAAACGAAACAAAAAAAACAAAACAATACAACTTTTTTCCGTCCATAATCATCACATTCAACCATCCAAATCATTCAATTGTTATCACCTAATTTGTATGCGTAAAATTCATTACATTTTGGTTAGAATTCTGATGGACTTTATGGTTGCGAAGTTAGTACCGAAGGTAAATAATGATAACAAAAATTTTTTTTTCCTGGTTTATGTTTGTGTGCACCCTATTGTGTGACCTGATCCTGATCTTTAACTTTTTTTCACTATCTCCTGTTTTGTTTTGACTTAGGTCCTGCATTTGCAACAAGAAAAAATGAAAAACTAATGAAAATATATGGTAAGTATTTTAGTTACCATGATAGACAAAACCAGAAAACAAAAGAAAAAAAAGAAAACCCCAGAAAATATAATCATTTGATTCGAGTGTTGATAGCCATGGAAAAACAACAACAACAAAAACACTGGGAAAAAAGAGCCATCATGATTCATCATATTAATTATTTAGGAATTGGTTTCATTCATTCATTCATTCATTCATTGGTTTTATTTGTCGCACATTTTTTTTTTGGATCTATAAATTTTCTACAAACGATAACAATAAATACATTCGAGCTAATTGAAATCTCTTTGGACCAATCTCTCGTTTGTTTTTTATCTTTTTTTTTTTTTATTTCTTCTTTGACGTGATGATGGCCATCATCATATTTTTCTTTGCCACATTATTATTATTACCACTGATGATGATAATGGTTTTTTCTTACGGTTCTTTTTTATTCGTTGTTTTGAAACAGTGTTACCCGATGAAACATTAACAATCAATGGTAGTTGTGATTATTATCGTATTGATGAATATGTTAATTTTGAATGTATTTCCGGTTATGGTTGGCCAAAATTAAATTTAAATTGGTTTATTAATGATTTACCGGTAAGTTTTGTTGTTTTTTTCTGATTAAAATTCACTGATTTCAAATTACCTGGGTTTTTTTTGTTTAGGCACCAAAAGAATTTCTAATCAATTCGAAACCAACAATCGATAGTAATGGTTTGATACAATCGAAACTTGGCCTGAATTTTCAAATCAATCCAAAATATTTTCAAAATGATAATAGTTTAAGGATTCGTTGTCAATCATCATTAATGTTTTTATATGAATTAAAAACTGTTGAATATTTGATTGATGGATCAAAACAAACAAAATCATTATCACGTCGGCGATATACATCAGGTTTGAGCATGAAATTTTAAATGAAAAATTTGATTAATTTTCAATGTTTTTTTCCACGAAATAAAGCCCAAATTAATAGCAAAGAAATGCCAATCATCACTGGTATACGTGACAAATATAATGTTAACGATATTGTCAATTTGAATTGTTCAACAACCATTTTGAATGCTCAATTATCATGGTTTATAAATGGTAAAAAAGTAAACAATACCTATCTAACTAAATATGATAAAAATCCAAATAATAATGGTGAATCAATTTTGAATTTACGTTTTCAAATGGAAAAAAAATATTTTCAAACCGAAGAAATTGAATTACAATGTACTGTTTATTATATCAAAATTATTGCCGATTTTCAAGAACAAATCATTATTCGAACATTTAATTCGGAATATCTTTTATCACAAAGTTCTAGTTGTTCAACATCATCGTTAATATTAGGTTATAATTATATTTATTGTTTATTATTTATATTATTACTTTCATCTTTCTTATGTTTTGTATGATTTTTCTTTGTTTGGGATTTTGTAAAAAAAAAGTTTTGAAAAATTATTTAAGAAAATAATGATGATGTACAATAGTATTTTGAATCATTTTCTGTCTGTTTATAAATATATAAAAACAAACATTGTTTCTTCATTTTATTTTTCTTGTAATTATTTTTTCCCAACCAAAAAAAACAATAAAATGATAAGATTTTTTTTTAAACAATAAAATTCTGTAAAATTCGAATTCGAATGTTAATTAAAGAAAAATCCACTGATACCAACGCCATCTGTCGAATGAATTCAGTTTATGTAAATAATTATTGTTGTTTTGGTTTGTTGTTGTTGATCATCATATTTCGTGGTGAATTTATTATCATCATCATTTTTTTTCGATGCTCATTATTATTATCCGGTGAATTTACAATGTCATCACCAAAAGTAACGGGAATTTCACCGAAAGAAGGACCACCACGTACAAAACTAACAATACGTGGTGAAAATTTAGGCTGTAATCAATCGGATTTATTGAGTGTCAAGATTTGTGGCATTGAATGTCTGATCTATTCGGAATGGATTACACCACAAAAAATCATTACGAAATCACCAAATTGTATGGAAACCGGACCGGTTATTATAACAACCGAATCAGGCGGTACTGGTACATCAATGATTCAATTCAAAGCATTGGAACAATCAATCGGTTTAACAACGCCCAGTGGTGTTTGGATTGATGAACAAAATATTTTTCCATTTGATTCATCAACAACTGCATTGGTTATACCAAATAATGATGGTAGTAGTCATACAAAATCGATGCCTATGCTTAAACAACAACAAAACGATATACTTTCCGAATCATTTAATCCATCAATGTATTTGGTTGAAAATCATAAAAATTCATCATTTGAACAATTAAAAAAAGAATATCGAATTCAATTTGAAAAAAATCAATCCGAACCAAAAAATACATTAGATTCAAATACCTTTTTAAAGGCAAATATTGTATCGATTATGGATTGTTTGAATGCATTGAATGCCCTATATTTATCATTCAAAAAAGATCGTCAAGAATTTGGTTCGGATTTAACCGTAAAAATTGATGAATATATTAAAAGTGCTAATGAAGAAGCCCATGCTATATTCGACAATATTATCAGTCGTAAAGATGATGCTGATTCAATGCGTAATGCATTAAATGTTCTACAACGTTATCGTTTTCTATTCAATCTGCCATCAAATATTGATAAAAGTATGCAACGTAAAGATTATGATGTTGTTATTAATGATTTTTTTCGTGCAAAAAATCTATTCAGTGATAGTTCGGTTAATGTATTTCGTAAAGTATTCCTGGAAGTTGAACAACGTATTCAAAGTTTTATATTAACACTTCGTGAACTGTTTAAACAATGTGCCAATAATCTTGAAGATAATAATATTGATGAACTAAAAAAATTGATAAAATATTTATCATTATTAGAAGAAAATAGTGATCCAGCATGGGATGCTATTCTATTGATTAAACAATCATTATTCGATAAAATTAATCAATGTCGACAGCAATATTTATCATCTTCGGAGGTAACCAATGATTCAAAAACATCGTCGCCATCCACCAATAATCAAGATAATCCAGACCAGGATAATAATCCACAAAAACCGCCACAAGTTTTATTCATTGATAAGACATCCAAATTATTTGATCGTTTATTTATGGATTTATTCCGGCTGGGCTGTGCTTATCTGAATGGTGATTTATATAATAAAAATTCAATAGAAGATTTAAAAAGAAAACGTGAAATATTTGAAAAAGATTTACTTACACAATCAATCAAATTATTATGTAATGAATATCGTAATGTTTTATTACCTGAAGCAAATAATTTTAATTATCATACAACATCGACAAATCCAACATTAAAAGATCATATGGATCAAGATTTTGTTCTTTGGTTACCATATTGTTTACGTACAGCGGTACAATGTTATTCAAATCTTTTAAAATTAGATTTCAATCTAATTCATATACAAAATTCCGGTCTGTTGAAACCAATACAAACATTTATATTTGATCTTCGTCTTTATACACTGACTTGTTTGTTTACTCATAAATCAAATGATGTTAAAAATCTTTATAAAAAAGAAGTTTGGAATATACAATTCGATGATATTTATGGTGTTCGTACAAATCTTCCATTACAATTTGAAACAAAAGTTATTGAAATTTTACAGCTGATTCGTGATTCAGTCATTCAGATTCGTACGGCCGATGAAATGGATATTTTCACACAGATTAATGTTAAAGGATTAATTAAACAATTGATACAGAATTTAATAAATTCCTTTCTGTATGCATTGGAAAGATCAGCTGCAAATCCATTGTCGGAACAAAATCGTAATATAACCGATGATAATCGCTCATTGATTGTTCTTTGTAATTGTTCATATACTGCCAGCTATGTATTACCAAAATTATATGAAATATTTGAAAAATATGGTTATCCAGATATGACACAAGTGATTCAATTGACACAGAAAAAATTCAAAGATTTGGAGAATAAATTATTAGATTCGTTTATCGAACGTAAACGTGATGATGTTATCGGTGGTATTGAAACATCGATGAGATTTTTCGATGAAAATTGGTTCCAGGAAAAAGAAATGCCCAAAGATGTTAGCTATTATATTAAAGAAACAATATTGAATTTGATTTATGTTCAATCGGAAATTTATAAAATAACACCACAATTAGTTTATAAAACAATGTTGGAAATATTAATGGCAACTATTATTGAAATTGAACGATTATGCACAAGTTATAGTAAACAATTAAGCGATGCTGCTCGGATACAAATGTTGGTCGATATTAATGCTATTGAATTGGTTTTTCGTAAAACTGGACAAGAATTTCATCAACAATTACAACCACGAATTGATAATTGTCGTGATTTAGTTTGTCAAATATCCGATATACAAGATCAAACTATTCGAAAACTTATCGATGATGTAACGAATCGTTTTTGTCAATCAATGCGATTACAAATTAGTTGTTTTAATTTTAATCTGGATAATGGTAATATTATTAATTTGATGAATTGAATAATGATTTTAAACTTGATTAAAAAAAATTTAAAAAACTTTTTTACCGAAAATTTTTTTTTCAATTTTTGTGTTCGATTCGAACAACAACGCCATCTGATGATTTTCTAATTTTTAACATTTTATGCTTTGCGACTGCTCAAATCGAATATTTATAATTATACCCCATTTTCGTGTTTTGTTGTTGAGTTGGTTGTTCCTCAATAGACTTTTAACCAAACCAAAATAAACTCGGGACCTTGATTGGATCATCTTCATCGTCATTCTTCTTCGATTTATCTTAGTTGAAATATTTCTAGTTTATTCGAAAATTTCGACAAAAGTTTTCCAAAATACAATTTTTTGTTGTTTTCAAATTTAAATATTGTGCGTGAGTGTGGGAATTGAAAACGCCCATTACATCAATAATTGCCAAAATAGTCATCCCGAAATTGAAATCGAAATCATCGTTTTAAATTACAATAATGGAATATTGGCTTATATCAGCACCGGGCGAAAAAACATGTCAACAAACATGGGATACATTGAATGAAACTATAAATAAATATGGACCAGATTTTTGTAAAACTTTTCGTTTTCTTCTACCAGATCTAAAAGTTGGTACATTAGATACATTGGTTGGTTTATCCGATGATCTAAATAAATTGGATGCATATGTTGAAACTGTAAGTCGAAAATTGGCACAATCTATTGGCGATATATTGGAAAAAGGCCAATCATTAAATGAACAACTTCAAGCAAATGGTCAAGATTTACATACATATTTAACAAAATTTCAATGGGATTCGGCAAAATTCCCCATTAAACAATCATTAAAATCATTACATGAAATTATTAATAAACAAATTGGACAAATTGATCAAGATATGAAAACAAAAACATCAGCATTTCATAATTTAAAAAATAATCTTCAATCGCTTGAACGTCGACAAACTGGATCGTTGTTGGTTCGTGATCCAAGTGAATTGGTACGAAAAGAACATTTTGTTCTTGGTTCTGAATATATGATTACATTGTTGGTTGTTGTACCGAAAACCTATTACAAAGAATGGCTGGCTAAATATGAAAAATTAACCGAATATGTTGTACCACGTTCATCAACATTATTGTTTGAAGATAATGATCATGGTCTATTCAATGTAACAGTTTTTAAAAAAATTGTCGATCAATTTAAAGTAAAAGCACGAGAGAATAAATTTATTGTTCGTGATTTTCAATACAATGAAGATGATATAAATGCAGGGAAAAATGAAATTGCACGTTTAGAAAGTGATATTAAAAAACAATATCATTTATTGATTCGTTGGTTGAAAGTTCATTTTAGTGAAGCACTTATCGCATGGGTTCATGTAAAAGTTCTACGTGTTTTTATCGAATCTGTACTACGTTATGGTTTACCGGTTAATTTTGTTGTTGCATTACTTCATCCACCAAAGAAAAATCATCGTAAATTACGTGAAGTTCTTAATCAATTGTATGCACATTTGGATACAACCATCCTTCAAGGACCGATTGAAGATATACCCGGTTTGAATGTTGGTCAACAAGAATATTATCCATATGTTTCATTTAAAATTAATATTGATTTTGTTTCGACTAAATAATCCAAGTTTTGGTTAGTTTTTCTTGTCATCATCATTATCATCTTCTTCGCAATGTTTTTTCTCTTCTTCTCGATTCATTAATCCATTTTCAACTAGCCAACTGTTTTTTTTATTTATGTTGATTATTAATTAATTATTCCAGAAAATATTCTAATCAAGAAATTATTTAAGCATTCGATTCGTGTTTGTTTGTTTGTTTGTTGTGTGTTTGTTAATTTTATTCGACTGAATAGACACAAAATAAATAAATAAAATTTGATCCATTCCAATTTACAAAATTTTGTCGTAATCTAGCTTATTTGTGTTTTTTTTAAAAAATTTGTAAAAATTTTCCCCAAAAATTATAATTTTAAAAAATTTCTTTAATAATTTTCCAAAAAAAAAATAAAAAATAAAATAAGCTTACATAGTTTGAAATTATATTGATTGATTGATTATTATTAAGCGAAAAAAGAAAAAAGTTGATATACAAATTAATTAGATAATATGTACAGAAAATCCATAATAATAATAATAAAAAATATGGATTTTGGATTTTGTTTAAATATCAAAAACAGTAACATATAATTGTTGTGCTATCCTAATATATTCTTGTTTTTCTAAATCATTCATTTTGAGTATATGTTCATCAGTTAAATCTATTAATGAAATAGGACAACCATTTACACTAATAAATGGTAAACAATCGAAAAAATCAATATCCATTTGATTATCTATATTATTGTTGTTGATATTTTCATCATTGTTTGTCATTTCGTTTAAATCAACAATATTTTCATCATTATCATCATCATTATCAGTATTGATTGTAAAGCCAAAATATTTACAAATACGAAACCAACAAGGATCATTTGGTTTTTCATATGATAATAAAATTTCTAGAATTTCTTTAGCTTGTTCCGAGCTACTAAGTTCACTTATACTTGATGGTAATTCGAATGTATCGATTAATGGTCGAATATTTGCATTTGTTCCAACATTTGGACCACCATTAATCATTTTGTTCATTTTACCACCAGCACCATTTTCAATGGCCATATTATTTGTTGCACCTGATATTGTACTTTCCATCATCCAAATTGGTTGTTCTTTTTTCGGTTGATTTTGATTTTGATTATTCGTTGAATCAGTATCATCAATTTTAACATTAAAATGATTTAGATTTGCCATTGCATTGCCAAAAAGACCTTTCTTTTTATCACTCCATTTTCCAGTAGAAAATGTACCATCATAATTTTGTTGTGCTTGTTGTTCAATTCGACTATCAATATCTGGATCTAATAATTCGGCTGTTAAACGAATATCTTCAATTTCTTTGAGCAACATATATAATGGTTCCATTGTTTCATTGAATTTTGCTAACATTTTTCTTGAATCAGCTTTTGGTAGATGATTTGGATCTTCACAAACTTCACTACCACAATGTGTACATCTGCAAGAAAAAACAACAAATCAAATGTAATGGAATGAATTCACTTAAAGGTAAACAAACCTGAGCTCGCCCGAACTATCCAACAACATATCCACTTCTAAATCGGTAAAAGATTTTCTACAATAAGAACAAATAAACGAAGCTCTTGATGTATTATCACGATCAATTAATTCGAATTTTTTTCTTATATGATCCAATTTATATTTGACAACATTAACAAAATCTTTATAATTTATATAATAATAATTTTGCCGGAAAGCTTTACCATCCAAACCGGTTTCCATTCTCAATTTGAATTTGATTAATTTATCATTTTTCAATAATGCCAATACACCGCGTAGCTGTTTCTTTTCAAATCGTAATAATTCAATCATATCATCTTCTTTTAGAACAATTTTTCTTATTAATAAATCAACAACAATTACATGTTCACATGGATAAAATCCACGAAGTACTTTTTGTACCAAATGTTTTAATGGACGCGGTACTTCCATTATTTATTTATATTTGGCCACAAAAAGACAAAGATTTCGGTAATGATGTTACAAAATTTTCATTCCATCAATGAATTGAACCACATTTCGTTTTCAATTGTAAAAGAATCACAGAATTTAACTTTTAAATGTTTAAATGAATTTTTGATGATCAAAAAAACGAAAAAATGAAAATTCTTGTTGGAAAATTCGATGTGTCTGTGTGTGAAAACAACAACAACTATATCGACAAAACAGGTAATCAAAAATCCAAAAAATCCAAAAAAAAAAAATTGTCAAAATAGTTTTTCCCATTCCATATGATTGCTAATCAGGCGCCATCTTTCGTGTGAATAATTCATCGATTCCATTGAAAAATGTTCGACGGCGACGAATATGCACTTTGTACACATGATCCGTAAAGAGAGAAAGACTCTCCCCAATCCAAGAATCCATTTCATTTTTTGCTTGTTAAAAAGAAGATGAGATGCGCTCATCATTCGCCAATTCGTCAATTGATGGCCTTCACTTACCAACAAACAAAACAAACAACAACAAAAACAAACCAACCAGTTTTATTTCATACAAAACATTAACCTTTTTCTATGTCGATGACATAGATCTTCGTCGTCGTCGATACTATAACTATCGTAGAATATCATATTTATATCAATGATAATCCAGTTTTTTTTTTGCTTTCAAAACAGCATATATGCAAGTCCTGTTTTTATTTGTGCAACAAGATATATGTTCATCATAAATCGAATGGTTACACCAAAATTGTCTGTATAAAAAATTACTTCCTATGTTTGGTTAGCACTATATTACTATATGTGACCAAAAAAATGGATAATTCGAACACTAACTCTCCAATGGTGATGGCTGATCATCGTCATGATGATGATGATGAAGATGTTTTGTGAGTCGTTCGAAAACAAACAAACAAACAAAACAAAAATAATCTCATTCGCTCTCTTCTTTCACACAATTTCATTCTCAATTTTTTTTTGTATTAAATCAACGATTCTCATTCGAAAGATCAAACCAACGATGAATTCATAATGTAAAAAAATTCATCATCAGGTCTATTATCATCAAATTTCAAAGTTTGTTTTTTGTTGTTGTAAAAAAATGACATTTATAATTGAACTCTGATTTTCGAAATAGATTTTTCTTTTTGGTTCTTTTACAACCATCATCATCATTATCATCATTTACAACAACGAAGATGAATTTGATTCAAAATTCAACGCAATCATCACTGATCAAAATGAATACCTTAAAACCAATTGAATTTATAATGCCAAATCCGATACTATTGTTAACGGAATGGCGTACACAATATCAAAATGATCATGAAATTGCATTCAGTATGGAACATTTATATTTACTTATAAATTGGTTATTAAATTATATATTTCCATATGGATTTCCCGATTCAATTATAACCGATGATTTTGTACAACGTCCTGCTGAAGTGATTGAAGAAAATAAATTAGAGGTGAGATTCGATATCTGCAAGATAATTACAATTTCTGTTTCTGTTTGTTTTTGTTTTCATAGATTATCGATCACTATGGTTTAGTATTTATTTTATTCATTTCACTTTTTCTAATTGCAATATTTGTGCCAATAATTTGGCTAATGATTTGGTGTTTTTGTTGTACACAATCATCAAATAATAATCAAAATAATAAACGATCTCGTATTAGTAATTATAATCAATCAATTCCGGGCAATGAAAATTTACTTCGTCATGGTCGTCATACTAATCATTCATCATCAACATCATCATCATCAACAAGATCAAGAAATGATCAAAGATCAAATCGTCATCATCATTATAAAGTTGAAAGTTCATGCGATTGTTGTATACGACCAATATTTTCCATTTTATTACTATTTCTACTTGTTTTTGCATTTTTATTCATAATTTGTTCATTTGTAACCAATGATTTTGTTCATAATGGAATTGGACAATTACCAAACGCTGCAAATAATTCATTGGTCGATATGGAAATATATTTAAATAATACTCAATATGAATTAGATATACTATTCAAAACGAATTTTGCTCAATTAGAACAACAAATTCGTAAAAATTTAGAAATAAGTGGTGAAATTGTTAAAAATGAATTGGCATTAATTTCAAAAGCAAGTTCAATTGATAATCTTACACAGATTGTTACAAATTTACAACCAATTCTGCAAGATTTGAAAAAACTTATCAACAATACAAATGAATTGAAATTTCTGACCGTACAGTTGAGGGGAAAAATTTCCCGTATTAAACAAGATATTGAAGATTTTTTCAAACAATGTAATCATGAAATTTGTTTTGAATTAGAGGAAAAATATCAACAAATACGACATTCATTTTCAATTACATCACGTATTGAAAGTTTACCACGTCTTTCACCAATAATTGATAAAATACAATTTCTATTGGATCGTAATATAATTGGTGAAATTAAAAAAGGCAAAGAAAAACTTGATATAATTAGTAATGATATACAGAAAAAAGTAAATGAAATTGTCCCGTTAATACGATCAAATATATCGCAAGCAAACAAAGCATTAGTTGAAAATGTTGATGATATTAATATTGTACTTGCTCAACCAATTCAATACATACGTTTGGTACAACGAATTTTATCCAATTCGAATGATTTTATTCAACAAAATAATCAACATATTCATCATGTTGGTCTGGTTTCGATAATGATTTTATTCATTATTTTGATTTGTTATTTTTTCGGCCTACTAACCAATCTTTGTAATGATCAACCAACACGTTTTAATTATAAAAATCGATCAAAAAAAGGTGAATTTTTCTTCTATATTGGTATGACTGTATTTTTCTTAAGTTTTACCATTTTATTATCGTTGAGTACGATTTCATTCTTATTCGGTGGTTTAAATGATCGTTCATTATGTTTTTATTTGGAAAATGTTTCTGATCCACGTAGTAATAAAATTATACATTTATTACAAATGGAAATGGAAAATGAATTATCATCATCGGATATAACTGAACAACAAGATTCATCATTTGAAATGAAACAAATGTTTAAATATTTGAAAAAAATCGATATAATCGATATTATATATCGTTGTCATCAAAATCAAAGTCTATTCAATGTACTTAAATTATCGATTGATCAAAAAATATTCATTTCAAAATCTGAACAAAAAATGACAAGTTTTAATTTGTCGGAAATTATTGTTTTCAAAGAGGTAAGGTTTAATCTTTATATTCTTATTTTGTTTACTAATTTTATTTCGATTTTTTTTACAGAAAAACAACATTCAAAAATATTTAAATTCATTGTTAAATCGTTTGAACATTAATCCAACGAATGTTGTTTTGCTAAGCGATGAAGGCAAAGAATTACTGAAAGTATTGAAAGAAACACCATTAGAAACATTAAATTTTTCTGGTTTTGCCAATTCAATCAAACACAGTATTACACCAATAGATTTGGAATTATTGGCAAAAAAATTGGAAAATGAATCAAATCGTTTACCCGATTATGAAATTGAAAATATAGCTAAATTACGAAATATTGTATTGGATTTACGATCATCAAAAGAATTGATTAATTTAATAATACAAAAAATTGAAAATTTAACAAAAAATGCTGAAAGAATTGAAATGAAATCACAATTTAATGGTAAAAGTTTACGTGAAACATTGAATATTTTGTTACGACAAGCGAATGAAGCACAACAATTTATTAATCAAAAAGGACGATTAGAAATTCGTAATGTTTTAAAGAATTATATTGAAGATTTAAGTATGTTATTAACACAATATAGTGATCATGTTGAACAAAGAGTGAAAAATGAAATTGGTAAATGTGAACCAGTTAGTCGTGCTTATAATCATACTGTTTCATCACTTTGTGATAATGTTGTTTTACCATTTGTAAGTATAATTTTTTTTTGTAACAGTAAAAACCGAGAAATTTTTTTCCACGAATAGACTGCCAGCTGGTTTAGTGTTATAATAACATTGATGGTTTTTATACCGGCAACATTATTAGTTTGTTTATTGAATACAATGTTTAAACGTATAAAACGTTCATCAACAAGACGTGAATCTATTTTGATTATAGATCATTTTGAAGATGATGATATACCATTAGCTGAGTAAGTTGTTTGTGTTTATAACCATCAAAATGAATGAATGTTTGAATAATTTTTTTTTTTTTTTTGATAATAGAATCGATAAACGAAATAGAAATAGTAGTCATAGTAGTAATCGAAATCGGCCTGTAGTACCAAGTGCACCACATATTACTGCATTCAATGAACGTGATCAATCGGAAGAAGAAACATGGTCACCGGGTGCATTGCCACAGCATCTTTATTCACGACCACCGCCATATAATTTTTAAAGATTCGACCACACATTTCCAAATCGACAGGAATTTTTGAAAAAAATGGTCCAAAAAACGACTGCCTGTTTTTTTGTTTCGCTTGAATTCTGCACTCAACAACAACGCACATCAATCAAAGTACATTAATATTTTTTATTAATTTCATCAATATCATCATCATCATTTACATTCATCAATAATAATAATTCTGAAAACAAAAAATAGTGATTTTAATTTTTTTTTCTTTCTTTCGTTTAAAATTTACGTTCCATAGTTTGTAATATTACGATTAAGACAAGATTTGTAATTGTTTTTTTTCCATTCATTTTGTTTCTTTCTCTTTCCTTCATTTAGATGTATTGTATTTTGTGTTAATCAAATTAAATTGAAAACAAACCAAACAAACAAAACAAAAAAAACATGATTGAAAATATTCAGATAAATAATAATTTACAATTTTTTGAATGAACGATGAAAACAGTAAACTAAAATGAAAAAAAAATCTCGAATAGATGCACTTAAACAAAGGAAGGAGGGGTAATAAGAGAATGAACATGAATCGAAAATGTCAATCAAAAAACAAACAAAAAAAAAATGAAAAATGAAAAGAAAAAAGAACATACATAACGTTGACAAGTTTGTTTATCAAAATCGACAACTTTTGTTTTCATTGTGAATCTAAAATGAATGAATGAATGAATGAATGGCGGTAGTGAAATCAAACACAACAAAACAGAAAAAAATATCAATCAAAATATCAATCAAAGATGGATAAAAAATATCAATTTTTTTCATTTAGCATCATCGTTATAATCCTTGGTGTGTGTGTGTGTGTAAATCATATTATTTAAAAGAAATTAATATCGAAGGGGAAAAAAATGAATAAATAATAGATTTTTTTTCATGATGAATATTGATGATTTTCTTCTTTTTTTTTCGTTGAAAGGGATGCTTAGAAATGTTTGATCAAAGATGATCCTATTTCTTTTATGATCAAAACTTTATTGATTTGATGATGATGATGATGATTTGGTTATCAATCAGGGTGATTGGCGGAACAAAAATCCATAAGATAATATGATAATGATGACATTATTGATGTGTTGTTAACATATATTGATAATTTTTGAAATTAAAAACTTGTTTTGGGGATAAGAAAAATTAGATGTTGTGAATCCATTCTTGACACACATTTTTTTTTTGTTGGTTTTTTTAAATAAGTGAACAACATTTACGTTTCTTTTTAAGATTAATCTGTTCGACTGTTGTTGTCATATTATTATTATCAACATTATTTGCAACAATAATTCCATGTTGAATTTCAATTTGTCCTGGTTCTATATTATTATTATTATTATTGCTTTTATTATTATGAATTTTTGTATTTATTTGACCATCTTTATCATCATTGACTAAATGTGTTTGTTGTTTGATTAGAATTTCTTCTTTTTGCTTTTGTGGTGTTTGGCTATTACTGTTGTTGACAGCGGCAACATTTGAATTGTTGGCACCGGTGGCGGTTATTATATCACCCGTTGGTGTAATTGGTTTACCTTCTTTGATTAGATTAACAATTATATCGGCTTCACGGCTTAATTCTGAGCCCGGTCGAAATGGATTATCTTCTTCGTTGTCCATATTTCTGCAAAAAAAAAGAAGCAAACAAGAAAAGAATTAGGAATTAGTTTCAGTCAAAATTCAAATAAATTTCACAGCAAACAACAAACAAACAACTATATTCTCTTACTGTCCACATTCTAGATTAGTAAATGCAACACGTTTTGGTACTTCAATCAAATAAAATTTTGGCCATGTATCTAATGATGATTTTGAACGTGGTACAGCAGATGTAGTAGCTGATACAATCGATGATGATGTAAAAACCATTTATTACAGAATTTGTTTTGTTTTTTTTTTGTTTTTGACTTAATTTTATTGTCTTAATCACAATAGACTTGTTTAGCTTATTAGATTTGTTTTTTTAAAATGTTACTAATGTCTACTATCATTATTATTAAACCATTCATAATGGTCAAAAAAGGGCGAAAGAAAAACAAAAATGGACAAATAATCTGTGTGTTTTGAGATCAAGAATCATAGATTTTCGAATATCATCGATTATCATTGATCACATTTGATTATGTTTTAGATTCAATCATTTTTTTATGAATGAATGAATTGAAATCAAAGAAAGATCATTTGATATTTGTTTTTTGTTTTAGATGAAAATGTCAAATTTATTTAAAGATTTTCGACACGTCATCATCATCATCGAATTTGAGACATTTTTTTCCGGACAAACAACTGTAAATTGAGCAAAACGGAATTTGTTGTTGTTGTTCGGGAAATTCAATTTTTGAGAAAAAACAACAACAACTCAAAAGATATAGATTTAAAACAAAACAAAAAAACAGAAGAAACTAAAAGAGAAAATTATTATGCAGGTTTTTTGTGTGTGTTTCGCATGAAAAAACATATAAACATAATAACCGTATAGTAGTCCGGTTATAGTTGGTTTTGGGTAAAAACAACAAAAAAAAGAAAAAAACCGGGACCAACCAATATTGACCGAATTTTTGGAACGACGCATGTTTTTTTTCAATAGAAAAAATGAATCAAGGCTCATTCTCTTAAATCCTGGTGTGGCTCGAGAATAACTGGGGAAAAAAACAAACAAGAAGATTTTTTGTTTAACACTCGATTATCATCACAACAACAACAATATCTTTAAATAAATAAATCAGGTTACATTATAAACAAAAAAAAATTATCAATCCGTTTTTTTTCGCTCTGTATAGCTGATTTGTCAATCAATCCAATCGATCGATTTGATCAAATGACCCATTTACCATTAGCCATTCATTCATTCATTTCATTGAATTAAATGGAAAATGCCAATTATATACTGATATTATGATAAATACAGATTAAGGAGAAAATAAACTGAAGGAAATATTCTTAAAGAATATTGATTAAATAATGGAAGAATCATATTTGACATTTGATTCTTATTTGACATTTTTTTTTTCTGTGGGTGTGTTGTCTTTGCGTGACTTGAAAACATTTTTTGTTTGCTGTTTGTTATTTTTCAAACTATTGAACAATATTTACTATGTTTTCCTGATTCTATTTGTAGCTCAATCAATTTTCATTATCCAAAAACAAAACAAAAAAGAAATGATCCAACACATTTGAAAAATGTCAAATTTTCTGCGTGTACATTCCTGTTTTTTTTTTGTCTGAAATCAAATTGAAATGACTTACGTTCGTACAACTTGAATTGAAGATTGTTGCGGTTGTTGATGTTCGATTGTTTTCTGTATTGAAGTCATCACTTTGTTGTTGTTTTAAATTTGAAGAAAAAAAACACACACAAAAAGAAATGAATCACAGGTGAAATTTGAGAAAATGTACACTAAATTCGTTTGACCAGATTAAAAACAGAGGATTTTTTGGTTGAAAGAATCAAAAATCAAAGAATCACCGATGAAACGCCGATTTGTTTGTCTGTTTTGTTTTGTTTCTCTCTTTTTCGGCTTGTTTTGCGGATTTTATGAAAATTGATTTACTTCGGAAAAAAATCGTTTGTTCTCAATGTTTTTTTGAATAACTGAAAAAAACGAATATAAAACTAATAATGATGAACAATATGTTGCTATAGAGAGAAAATTTATACTCTCATTTCTTTCTGATGATATTAATTACTTCTATAGTTGTTGTTGTTGTTGTTTAAGGAGACAAGAACGATTTTGCCAAAATGTAAACGAAAACAACGTTATCATCGATGTTTGTCGTCGCCATCGTTGCCGATGCCGACATTGTTTACCACTATCGTTGTTAATTGAATATAGTTTTTGGTTTTTTCTTTTCAACATTAAGGATTGAAATTTGGCAATGGATGTTGAAATCAGCACAGTGTGTGTGTGTGTGTGTGTGTGTGTGTGTGATATGCATAGACATTTACATCACGATTATTTAACCGAATATGATGCGTTTCATTCATTCATTCATTCATTCATTATACACGCACACATGGTGTATATTTATTTATTTTTGATTGTCGTTTGCTTCACCCATCATTATTATCATCTTTGCATTTTTATTTCTTGATTTTCTTCTTCTCCGTTCTTCTTCTTCTTCTGGATTCAAATTTATTACAATGAATATAAAAAAAATAGACAGTCTGTCTCTCTCTGTGTATGAGTAAATAAATAGATTTCATCAACATAAATATCTTTAAAGGCAGGAGATATATTTACCCATTTGCTCTTTTTCCAAACATATTTAGCCATATAAGTTGGTGGTGGTGGTGGTGGTGCAATACACATGCAACATTTGATTTGTTCTCTATCTCCTCTTTTACATGAAATGATTAGGATGATTAGGATGATAATGTTGTTTGAATAAACAATATTTTAATGATGATAATGACGATATGAATGGAGTGAATCAAAAGAATCGGTTCCGCTAGTTATACAGGCAGCTGTGTTCATAATTTGAAATGAGGAACAAAAAAAACCGTTTTTCGGCGAGAAAAAATTGAAAAATTTTATCTCAAAATCAAAAAAATCAAAGTTCCACGGAAGTAAATAAACATTGTTTATGAACGGAATCGAACATTTGTTTTTCGAATCTATTTTTCAAATTCTTTTCTAGCCACCAGATGTCACTTTCATTCCGAACATTCATGTGATGAGCGGGTGATAATTTGTTCGAATTTGAAATTTTTAAAGTTTTTTTAAAAAAAAAATTCAAAAATGAATAATGATCATCAGCTAATTATTCAAGCGTTGAAAAATGTTCAAACAAATACCGAAAAAATAGCAGCATTAATGTTCATCGGTAAACAATTATCACAACAGATGAATCTTAATGAAGAAGAAAAAACAACAATATTTCAATTGATTAATGATAATGATAATTTTCTTCTTGAATCTCTTAAAAAATATTCCAATGACAATGAACAAGAATATGAATTTTCCATCTATATTTCGGCATATTTTTTCGAAGAAATTGTTAAACATTCGAATGAAAAATGCGAATTTGTTCGAATCTTTTGTAAAATATTATTATCCAAATCAAATGAAGAAGAAACGATGAAACCGACCAAAATTCAACCAAAAGTAATGGAAACTATTTTCGATTGTTTAGATTATGTTGTTTCATCGGAAAATTTATCATTTTTCGATGAACAATTTTTATTTGATTTATTTTTTGAAAATCTAATCCTAAAATGTTATTCCATCGAAAATCAATGGGAATATCGAATATCGAATATAATTATCAAATTGATCAACAATTCAAAATGTAAAGAAAATGCTGAAAAATTTATGGAAAAAATATGCAAATTTTTCGTCAACGATAAATCAATGAAAAAATTTCATTTATGCAGATTGATTGGTTTTATCATTCGTAATGGTCCTTGGAATAATGATGGTCATCAAAAAATTATTGATACCCAATGGATACAAATTATTCGTGATGAGCTATTCATCCTGTTTCAAAATCGACTTACGAATGAATTACGAAATTTAATTATCGAATTTTCCTCGGAATTAACTATGAAATGTAAAGGTTTTGATTGGATCAAGCTTAAACGATGGGAATCATCAAATTCAAAATTTTTCCGATTATTACTTAAATTGATAACGATTGAATTGGAAATTATTTGGACACAAACGACAAATCGACCTTTGTCTGGCGATAAAATAGTCGAACATTATACACGATGTCTGATGATTTTCGAATACATTCTGTTCACTTTGATTGAAAATGTAGATATGGACAATGTACCTGAAGATGATCAACTGCAATTAAATCCCGATGAAATTGTCAATTCAATCGAAACTATTCAACAAACCGTTAGTCAATTGATTCAATTCTTATTTCAAACTTTTGCTGCAATCAATGATGGTGGTGGTGATAATCGTCAAACAAAGGAAATTAAACAAATGATCATCGCTTCTTTACGACTTTTATTTGTTTATTCAAAGGAAGAAAATGAAATATTTCAAGCTGAAATTGATCAACTTAAACCATTTATTTGGAAATTTATCGATCAACAACAACAAAATGATCAAGAAATTGAACAATTACGTAATTTGATTGAAAAATATGCATTTTAATTTATGGTTAAAATTTTACAATTTTCTTATTTTCCATAATTTGATTTATGGATTTTTCCATTGAAAATTCATCAATATCAACACTACAGCCAACATCGTTTAAGGTTGGCAATAAAATTTCTTCTTCGTCTTCGAATTTGGTTTTATTTTTTGGACATTCTTTTAGCGTATGATTAATTGAACCACAACTACGACATTTACCACCATTTGGAAATGCACCATTTTTATTCATTGAACAATTTCTTGTTAAATGTCCATTTTGATGACAAATAAAACATTTTGCAAATGGTAAATTAATATCATTGGCTGAATGTTGTTTCAATTGTTTTCGATATTTAATACATTCAGATAATTTATGTTCATTTGAACAACAAAAATAACAAATATTTGTCAATTCATTACGGTCATCGGATGATTGATCAATTGATGGACAATCCGATACTAAATGTCCAGGCTGTCGACATTTAAAACAAACGCGTTTATTGTCATAACGAAGACGATTTTCTTCTTCACGACGTTTTTTCCTAACAATCAGTCGGATTTCATTTGGATCCAAATTTTTACGTTGTAAAATTTTTTTCATTTTATAAATTTTTGTTTCAATATTACGTGGAAGAATAACTAAACCTTTATCCTGGCGTTTTTTTGCACATTTCATATAAAAACTATTATTATTATTTGGTCGTTTGTTTATGGTCGTTATTCTATCCGTAGTAGATTCTTTAGTGATTTTTTCATCATTTTTCGTCGTTTCGCTGGTAGCCGGCATCAACGTACATTTGAAAACATTACATCGTCTGATCGATGATTTTTTCCCGTTTTTCATGGCCATGATGATGATATTTGTTTATTTTTCGAACACACATTTCGAACATGTGACTTGAGGGATTCCACACACAAATGACGTTATTTCGGGAAAAAAAACAAAACAAAACCCGAAAAATGTCAATAAAAACATTTCGTGATAAAAAATTTTATTTAAATAAATTATTTTTCAATTATGAATTCAATATCAATATTGAATTCAATAGATTACAAATGGATGAATTTTGGTTTTTCCTCGAGAAATATCTGCAAAAAAAATCAGCCAAAACAGCAACTTGTCATCAGGATGATAATCCGGATAAATACAATCGTTTGATTGAAGAATTACAAGATAAAATTCCTAAAGAATGGAAAAATATTGATCAATTACGAGAACGATTACGACAAAATGAATTTGAAAATGTCAACGTTTCTCGTAAAGAATTGACGGAATTTCGAAATATTTTAATAACATTTGTTGATTTTAATCTGAAAAGAAAACAAAAAAAATTAGAAAAACTTTTTGAATTTCAAAAAAACTTACCAATTTATGAATATAAACAAACAATTTTGACGAAAATCGAATCCAATTCGGTTGTATTGATTGCAGGTGATACTGGTTGTGGAAAATCAACACAAGTACCACAATATCTTCTACGAAATGGTTATCAAAGAATTTGTTGTACACAACCAAGAAGAATAGCTTGTATTGCATTATGTAATCGGTTGAAATTTGAAACAGCCGACAATCAATCGGGTAATTCAGAAATTGGTTATCAAATTCGTTTTGAAAAAAACAAAACTAAATTTACGAAAATTATTTTCATGACCGAAGGTTTATTATTACGTCAAATGATTGAAGATCCATTACTATCGAATTATGATGTAATAATTTTGGATGAAATTCATGAACGTCATTTGACAAGTGATTTCTTACTTGGTGCCATCAAATGCTTGCTGCATAAAAGAAAAAATGATCTCAAAGTAATCCTGATGTCAGCAACATTAAATTGTGAATTATTTTCAAATTATTTTGGTCAATGTTTTGTTATAAAAGTACCTGGTCGTCTTTTCCCAATAAAAACCGAATATTTCCCACCGGATAAAGTAAATATTTTTAAAGCAGCTACGAATAAAATAAATCCCGATCCTTATCTGAAAATACTTCAACATATCGATTCACAATATCCATCGTCAGGTTTGTTTGATTTGATTTGATGTTTGTTTAACGTTGAAAAACGTAACTTTTTTCAAATATTTCACGTAAAGAAAGGGGTGATGTACTTGTATTCTTAAGTGGATTTGCTGAAATTGAATTTATCGGTGAAAAACTCAAAGAATATTCTTCACAAAATAAACGATGGATAATCCTGTATCTTCATAGTGCATTATCATTATCTGAACAGGATAAAGTATTCGATGTTTGTCCGGATGGTTATCGTAAATGTATATTATCGACAAATCTGGCTGAAACATCGATTACAATCGATGGTATTCGTTTTGTAATCGATTCCGGTAAACATAAACAAATGTATTATGAACCATCAATTCGTATGCATCGTTTACAAGAAATTTGGGTAAGTAAAGCATCGGCTGAACAACGAAAAGGTCGTGCTGGTCGTACTGGACCTGGTATTTGTTTTCGGCTTTATTCTCAAAATGATTTTGAAAATTTTGAAAATTTTTCCAAACCTGAAATTCAACGTATTTCGCTTGAATCATTAATATTGAATATGATTTCAATGGGATTGAATGATGTTCGTAAATTTCCATTTATTGAACCACCAAATACGTTGGTCATTGAAAATACAATAAAATATCTGATCAATTATGGAACGTTGGATGAAAATGAAAATATAACATATTTGGGAAGAATTTTATCAAAATTGCCCGTCGATATTCCTATTGGAAAGATGTTAATATTATCTGTTTGTATTAATCTTTCGGAATATACATTATCAATGGCCGCTTGTCTGAGTGTTCAATCAATGACCACTATACGTTCAAGAAATGATAGAGAAATATTGGATGAAAGAAAATCAATGTTATCAATTGATGGTGATATGTTTAGTAGTATGAATTTTTATAAACAATGGTTGACGATGAAAGCTTCGAATCATCATCATTCAATGGACATACGTTCTTGGTGTCGACGATTAGGTTTTGAAGAACAACGTTTTCATGAAATAACCAAATTACGAAGACAATTTGAAGATATACTTAAAGATAATGGTCTGATTGATTCGCGAAGTAATCGTGAATCAACAGAATCGCTGAGCAAAATCGAAAGAATTGAAAAACATAAAGAAAAAAAATTATTTAAAAAATTAAAAATCGAAGTTGAAAAATGTCGAAATAATAAAAAACGAAGATTATTGCGAGCGGATGTCGATGGTATCGATGGTGATGAACGAAATATCGATGATGATGATGATGATAATCATTATAAAGATTATAAAGAATTGGAATTTAATTTATTATTCGATTCTCATTATATCAAGGTTTGGTTAATCAATTTTTAAAACTTTAATTTTGTTTTCAAATTAAAAATCATTTCGCATTTGATTTCTTTGATGATACAGGACACTGAACAAAAACATTCATTAAAACGAGAAGAATTCAATCTGATCAAATCGATTATTTTGCTAAGTTTTTATCCACAAATGGCTATCGCTGATCAAGATAATTCCTATCAATGTGGATCGGATCAAATTTTTCATACAAAGGAAAAACCATTTGTTGTTTTACATCCATCCAGTATTTATTATAGTGAACCTGAATCATTACAACCATCATCCAGAATTGAATCAAGCGAAATGGGTAATCTATCAAATGATCATTGCTTACTTGGTTATATATCATTTATTGAAACAAATAAAAGTTATATTTGTAATTGTTATCGTTTATCATCGATACATTCATTAATGTTATCCAGTCAAGAAATTGATACAAATTTGGATTGTAGTCGAATTATATTTGATAATTGGCTGGAAATTCGATTTAAACATTCAAAAGATGGACAAGATCTTTTGATTGAAGCAATAAAAATACGAATTGAATTGGAAAAATTATTAACATTGATTTGTAAAGGTGAGTTGTTGTTGTTTTCTATTGAGTCGAAATAGAAAAGAATGTTTTTGAAAAAAATTTTTGTTGTCGGCCAGATTTGAATAAAGATGATAATGTTGGTGGTAATCTTGACGATGGTGATGATAATGGCGACGATGAAAATAATCTTTTCCAATTAAAACAAAATTTTATTGAAAAAATTAAAATGTTTTGGAAATTTCGTATAAAATATGCACAAAAACGTTTGCTGTCAGCCGATTTGAAACAAATTTATTCAAATGTTTCGCAAAACATTCAAGATTTACGTAAAGATTCGATGGATAATAAATTGGTGAAATTTTTATTGGATCAGCAAACGACAAATCAATCTTCATCAAACAAAGGTGGTTTTCATTATTTATTCATCAATTTTAACTGGTAAGTTTTTTGTGTTCGAAAAAATTTTTCCCCTATTTTAACCCAATCATATCAATAATTGAAAGTTTAAAACAAACCGGAATCGATTGTCCAATAATCGATAATCGTCGATGGTTCGATTGTGCTCATTGTAAACAAAAATATCATCTAACACCAATCGAACAGGTTCGACATGAAGAATCTTGTTCGACGACGACCACGAAGAAGAAATCAAAAACCGAATCAAAAGATGATAATGATACAACCAGCGATTCAAAACATCAATATTATTGTCAACATTGTGATAAAAAATTATCATTTCAATCCAATATTGATATACTTCGACATCGAAAACAACATTCAGAAAAATGATGATGGTGATTTTGGATGATTTGATTCGACTTGACAAGCGTAACTTTTTATTGAATTAATCGAAAAAACTCAAATCAAATTTCCAAGCTGATTAAATCTGAATAACAACAACACCACTGTGGCACGTGTTTCATCAGTCATCATCATTCGATACAAAACAGCAGTCACATCTGTCAACTTTTCCTATCCAAAAACGATAATAATAATAATAATCAGATTGAAAGTGGTTTTTGTGTTTTTCGGTCCAGCAAAAGAAAGAAAAAATGTTTCGATTTTCATTCATTTTGGATGGAACAGACCATTCTCATTCAGTGTGATTTTAGTTAGTTTTTTTTTGCTGTAAAAGATTTATTTTTATTACAAAAATAAACCGATTAACCAAAGAAATACATTCACAAATTACAAATGTTTTTTTTTTTGGAAAATCAAAACCAAAAAATTGGCTTCTCAAATAATTCGCATGCGCAAATCGAATCGAATCATCATTTTCGTTCGAATTTTAATATTTCCTTCCTTGCTCGAAAATGTTATTATCATTATTAAATATGACACTTTTTTTTCTGTTGTTGTAAATCTCGGTTTTATCTTGTTTTTTTTTTCGGGTAATGACATTGTGTATTTAAACAAGCAAGTAAGTAAGTAAAATCAGTGCGCTATATAATACACAAGTCAATTATTATGATGATGCGGATGGCTATCGGGCACAAACACAAACATTAAACATGATTACAACAGTGACTACCAGTTTTTTACGTTAGTTTGGTTAAAAGTAAGTATGCAGGAGGTTTTTTTTTCGTTGGTTGCGGTCGATGTGTAATGTATTCAAACTATGAATGGATGAATGAACACACATCTCTCTTACCCCCACCTCGATTGTTTGAACAAATGTGATCCATTCATTGATTCATACATACAACAAGCGTGACAAATCTGATTGGAACAATAAAAAATGAAACGAATAACGAAAAACTGAGAAGAATCCAAACACCCAAGAGATCGGGTCAGGATCGGGATCCGAACAACAACAACAACTTAATCATCCATTAATATTTTTTCTATGAGCTTTCATTTTCCCATAGAATCATCAACCCATACATGATGATAACAAGAATTTTTTGTCGTTTTCGTTGTCGTTGTTGTTTGGGGTTTTTTTCATTCGTTTGAAACCAAAGACAAAATGATGACAAAACGTGTTTTCTCCCCCCTAATTCAAACTGTTTTATTTTCACATTTTTTTTTGATTAAATCTTTGTTGTTCAATTTGTTCAGAGATTCTCAATTCAATTGTTGTTTAGTATGATCACTTATTTTATGAGTTTCCCGTTCGGGTTGTTTTCGGAAAATTTTATTTACCCGGGATAATAATAACCACAATAAAAGAATACACTTTGGTGAATGAGCTCGTCTCTCAACAACGTTCGAATTTTTCCGATTGGTTCACCAATCGCTATATAGATTGGATTCTTGATTCTGATTTGTTGTCAAAAGAATTGGCTACGCCTATTTTTGATTTTGGTTCAAAAAAAGGCGTAGCCAATTCGAATGATTATTCGAATGATGATGAAAAATGGATCAAAAAAAATGAATTTTCTGGAATTGATTTTATTCATTTTGTGGTTCAGATATGTGACGATTGAAACAACCAAAACCGACAACGATTCAATTTCAAAGTGAAAATCTTCAATTTTTTTCTTTGATTTTCAGTGGTTTTTGATCAACAAAAAAATAATGAAAAACGATGAAATTGACCAAACAATCTCAATAATTCACCAGGAAAAAATCCATCAACTATCATCAGGCCACCATCTGTCCTATTCATCCAGTCATCTAGCTGGTTATTCGATTGAATCATCATCACAACCACCAATATCCAGCGATTCAAATTTGAATAACATTTGGCCGAAAATAAAATCATTTCCATCATTGGCTGCCACTGCTACTAGCAAAATTATTCAAAACGATTCAACATTAACGCCAACGGCAATTGTATCATCATCACAACAACAACAACAGTTCATATCAATTGATCATCATTATCTCAATGATAATAATTGTATTGTACAATCATCATCATCAACCACAACAGCCAAAACTGTACGAAAATTACCAAACATCGAACCAATGGAATCGAAAATTAATCCAATACCGACAGATTTGCTGTATAATACGAATGCGTTTGTAGCCACAAACAGTTCGCTGGCTGAAATTGGTATCAATGATCAGAATTTGCTGAAAAATCCAAGCAAAAGTGGCACGAATCGTTCAAATCGAACCAAACAACAATCATCATCATCGTTCAATCCACAACAATCAAATCTTCGTTTAGTTCATAATCTTGAAAGAATTGAAAACAAAATGAAAAAACAACAACACAACCAGAACAATCCAAACAGCGAAGATAATTCACAATCATCAAATTTTATCGATTGTAATGCCATTATACAATCGATTGAAAATTCTAGTTCAAGAAAAAATAGTCGTCTAAATAAATCTATCAATGTAAGTGATAGCTATGTAAGTCCAAAAAAAAACATTCAATTTTTCCGATATTTTTCATTTGACTTAAAATTTCAATTTTTAATCAAAATTTTTCCTATTTTCAAATAGCATGTACGTTTGAATATAAATGCTAGGGAACGACGAAGAATGCATGATTTGAATGATGCATTGGATGAATTACGTTCAGTTATACCGTATGCACATTCACCATCGGTACGAAAACTGTCAAAAATTGCAACATTATTATTGGCCAAAAATTTCATTTTAATGCAAGGAAATGCTATTGAAGAATTACGACGATTAATTATTTATATGTATCAATCGGGTGTACCATTACCACCAAATTTACCATCAATATCAACTGTTAATCAAACTGGTCAAACAATGAATTGTCAGCAAGTTGCTAATATTATTGAACAATATGGTTATGCACCGGATGATAATAATCAAAATGATAGCCAAAATGATATTGATTGTCAAATGAATGATAAAATAATACAATCATCATCGACATCGACATCAACATCAAGTCAAACAAATAAAAATCGAAAAATCAATTCAAAACAGCAACAGCGGCAACAATCGACTACGATTGATGAGAATAATAATCTTGGACGACATTGACATCATCAATGTATCATCATTAATGAATTTCATTGCCAAAATTTTTTTTCAAATTCTTTCTCCCTCTCTTTGAACTTCATCATCATCATTATATTCATTACACATTTTAGAGAATTAAAATTGTAGATTTTTTTTCGAAATAAAAAAAACTAAAATATCGTAAAGAAACGATACACGTGCTGAATTTTCATTTTCTTTCACAGCATAACCGACAAATAATGATTGTGTTTCATTTTGGCTTTTTAACACTGTGCGGGTAATGTGTTAACAAACGATATCCGCGCGCGTAACATTAAAACGGTAAAATGATCTGCATCTTTTGTTTGGCTGGAATACACAGTTTTTGTTGTATTTAACACTGTGTTGGGTACAATGTTGGAGCTCTCATCTAACGGACTATATGGGAGTTTTTTTTTTGGTTTGGTTTGGATCGATCCAATCGACAGCTACTACATGAGCGCCACCAATGAATTAAAAATTGTAACTTGAAAATTGACAACACAACACAACACCAGCCATCATTATCATTTCATTCATATATTCGAAAAAGGTTATGGTCACAATTATTTACTATTTCTTACGTATTGTGTACATTATTGAACTTATTATGAGATACGCATAAAATATTATGAATTGTGACTACACCAATCAATAATGGTCTGTAAAGCGTCTGCACTATTATCGAATAATGAATAACACAATCCTCTGTTGGATATATCTGATACGAGTATATTCTGTATACAAAAAAAAACCAAAAAAAAAAACAATAACAAAAACTGAAAAAAGAAAAAACATCAACAAAAAACACTTTTTTTTCATAAAGATTCTCTTCAGATTCTTTGATAGAATTACCCGTGTGTTTCGGTTTTTCTCACTGAATTAGTTTTGTTTTTCAAATTTGCATTTTCAAAAATCGTGTTTTGTGTCAAAAGTTTACCCGAAAACGATGGTTTAAATAAAATTTTTCAACACCGGGTTCGTTCGAAATCAGAACAAGATTATCATCATCAGTTTTTTTTGAAACAAAATTATCATCAATATGGAATCATCGAATTCTTCATCATCGAATATTCCAATGGAAAATCATTCGAAAAATGACAACAACAATGGTAACAAACAACAACAATGGAATGGTACCATCCAAGATAAAATTCAGATAAAAAAAGAAAATGATACCGAAACCGATGATGATGATAATTTTAAAAACAAAGAAGAAAATAGACGTTTCAATCTAAGAACTCGGAGGAAAAAAAGAAAAATTTCTGATGAAGAAAAAGAAAAAACATCCAACAACGGTGCCGAAGTGTTAAACAAAAAAAATAATGATTCCGTTTGTAATGGACAACAACTACAGGAAAGCTCCGCAAATCCGGATCACGGAAAAAATGGTGAAAAAAATTCCAAAATAATAATCTATTATTGCGATGAATATCTAGCCATCCGTAATGAACAAAATAGTTTTTTCATTTGTCGTGCACAACATAATATCTATCAAAATGGTAGAAAAATTCGTATAAAATGGTTTAGTAATGATCAAGATCCAAATATTTATCGACCAGATTTTGATGATTATATTGATTTTGAATGTATTCTAACAAACCTATCGGTAAAACGTGAACGTGATGGTGTTTCACTGCCCGAATCGGAAAAAAATCGTGCACTAAATATACTTCGACGTGCACTTGATGTTGAAAAAGGAATCAATTCACCACCAGATCCACGTAAAGTTCTTAGTGATGGTATGGATATTTCAATTATTGGTAAAGTTAAAGAAGAAGATGTTTTATCTAAAATCAAACAAGATCATCATAATGGTGGTGGAATTAAAAAGAAAACCAAATCAACAAAGCCATCAGCGACGGCGATTGTGGATGATAATCCGGCAAAAAATAATGGAACATCGACGTCGACGAACGATGATGAAAACATTCGAACACCAACCATATCGAATGATTCAAAACAAAAACGTTCGAAAAAAGCAAAAATTGAAGTGAAAAACGAAAAACTGAATGAAACTTCTTTGCCATCACCGACCATATCAACATCGAAAAATACCATTTCGAATGCAACAGATCAAAATGATAAAATTCAACTGCCAATCATCAAATCATCATTATCATTATCATCAACACATCAGAATTCAAAATTATTAATCCAAGCTATCCAAACAGATGATTATGAATTTTTGGAAAAACTCACCGGTCAACAAAAAAACCCAGATTTAAATCTTTATTCAATATCTAAACCTTGTTCAATATCGAATAGAAAAAATGCAATACATTTAGCAATCGAACGAGAAGATTTAAAATCATTACGTTTATTGATGGAAATTGAAAAAAATATCAAAGATGATTTCAATTATCAATTGCCAAACGATTCAATCGAATTGGATCATTGTGAATTAATAATCGATAGAATCGATTATGAAAAATGTAAACATTGTCAATTTCCTCTCGATAAATCTTATGTTCGATTCGGTTTGAAACAAAATGTTAAATTTAATTTTATTGAAAAAATTTTACCATTTTGTAAGAATAGTGATAATCTTTTAGAAATTTTTGATGATAATATCATTTTAACCGGGTTAAAATGTGGAAATTATGAACAAATAATTTTATTGATTGAAAAAATTTGCCAAACAACCACCAATGCTGCCAGTCGAAATTTTCAAAAATTTCTTCAAATTTTAAATTCCAGCAAAGAAGAAAATGATCAAAAATCGTTAGAAGAAGAATATTTGATCAATGAACAACTTCAACTTTATCCTATTCATATTGCTGCAATTAATCCAGATCCATTCATATTTTATCATTTAACCAATATACGCCCGGATCAAATCTATCAAAATGATTGCCAACAATGGATGCCAATACATTATGCTTCTGTTTGCCAAAGTAATGTTAATGATTGATTTCTTCAGTGAAAAAATCTGATAATAATTTTCTTTTTCATTCCAAAACAGCATTTTTCAATCTAAAACATTTGCTCAATCTAGGTGTATCAGCACGTCAATGTGATTGGAAAGGAAATACCCCGTTACATTTAGCTACAAAATATAATCGAATTCAAAATGTTAATCTTATTATACAATATGAATCATCACAATGTAACATTATCCCATCATTATTTCAAACATATAATCGAAAAGGATTGACAGCATTTCATTTAGCATGTAAAAAAGGTTTTATCGAAATCGTTCGGTTATTTATTGAAAATCGTATTCAAATTGACTTTGCAACATCGAATTATTCGGGTGAATTAACATCATTAATGTTGGCAACAAAATTTGGTCATTTGGAAATTGTACGGCTGTTGGTCGAACATGGAGCTACAATCAATATTTATGATAAAAAGAATCGTAGCGCTTTAACTTATGCTGTAAGTTTTGTTTTGAATTTGTTTTTCTTTTGCTTAATTCTTTTCATAATCCACATTACAGGTGATAAATGGACATTCAAATATTGTCGGCTATTTTCTTGAAATTGGTGCCAATCCAGCCAATAAAGATTTATTTGGAAATAATCTATTTCATTATGCTCTTGCATATGATTGGCATTCATGTTTTGAATTATTATTGAAAACAAATATTAATCTTAAAGATACAAATATTTTCGGCCTAACACCAATATATGCTGCATATTGGAAACAACATTTAGGTTTTATACATTATATTCTGGAACGGAATATTCTCAATGTTAATGTCCCTATTAATGACACGGGAATTAATTTGACAATGTTGGCCTGTTCAATGATTCGACCAGGAAGAACTGTTGAACATTTAAAAATGTTTGTAGAAAAATTTAAATGTGATTTAACGAAAACTGATTATGAAGGAAATAATTCGGTAAGTCATTTTGATTGAATTTTGATTTTGATTTTGAATTTTATTAATTTTTTCTGTTTATTGTTTTAGTTACATTATCTATTGAAATGTGAAGCTAAATATCGAAATTCAAGTCCAACTGTGGTATGTTTTATTTATAAGATTTCGCAAAAATGATGTTCATTTTTTTTGATCATTTAGATAAATGAAATACAAAATTCATTAAATATTTTACTACGAAATGGTTGTGATATTTATTTGAAAAATAATGCCGAAATATCACCGATAAATTTTTCACTTTCCAATCAATGTTTTCAATCATTTTCTTTATTTTTCATTGATCATTATAAAACGGAACGTTTTTTACAAACATTATCCGATAATGAATATTTATGGCCAATATTGATTTCCAATGCGCTCAAACAGTTTCCTGTAAATAATAATAATTTTTCAACATTTGGCAAATTTATCATTGCTGAAGTGGAAAAGAATAAAAAAATTTTCAATCTGCTTAAAGGTTTATCAATGATAACCAATACAAGTGGTGATTTACCGATTGAATTTTTTATAAAATTATCAAGTAAGCAGCGATTAATGGGTTAATTTTGATTTTAAACAATTTTTTTTCCCAAAATTGCAGAACATCTACTGTCATCATCGACGACGACAAATGAATCTAACGAACAAAAACTTTTAAATTTTTTCGATTTCATAATGAAATTTTATGACGAAGATTTTTTAAAAGATATTTTATTATTGCATCTTGCAGCACAATATGCACCTGGTCGTATTGTTAAACGTTTAATCGATACATTCGGAATGCAAACTTGTCAAAATGAACGAAATGAATCAAATCAAACACCATTAACAATTGCTTTGATCAATGATAATGTACCTGCCGTAGAAGCATTTCTTTCTTCAAAAATCAATATCCAAGATTTGGAAATCGATAATCATCAACCGTGTTTTTCATATTATTTACAAAAAAGTTCTTCATTAAATCTTTGTTCGGATTTTTTACGTTTGGGTGCTCAGCCTAAATCCATTGATAAATTGGGCAATACTTCATTACATTTAATTTGTAAAAATATTGAACGAAATTCATTCATTGATTCGCTGAAACTTTTAATCGATCATGGGGTTAATGTTAATAAGAAAAATTATCAAGGTTTGTTTAATAATCGTTTAAAAGATGGATTTTATTTAAAAAAAAAAATCTGATTTTTCCATTATTTAATAGGCCAAACTGCTCTTCATGTTGCATTTGAAAATAATAAATTTTCCCAGAAATTATCCAAAATGTTGAATATATTGTTGAAATCAACAACACAAATCGATCTTTATGCAATCGATCATATGGGATATAATGCATTCAATTATTTATTTATGAATAATGCAACCAAAGATCCATATGAATTATTCGAACAAATCAATGATATGATAAAATTTTCAAATCTTTTAGATTATAATCAAATGAATCTTTTGCATTATGCAGCTAAAATTGGTTTTTCTCGTAGTGTTAATTTTTTCCTACGATTTTTGGATCCAAATCAAATTGATTCAAATAATTATTCACCACTTTCATTGGCTATTTTGAATGGTCATCATGGTTTGTATTTTTTTGTTTTGTGTTTTTTAAAAAATTTAACACTTCGTTATCATTACAGAATGCACAATGATTCTATTACGATCGGAAAAGAATCGAATCCTGGATAATTTGGAATTTATTTTGAAAAATAATATCAAAATAAATTTACTTTGTCATATTGCCAAAAATGATTGGAAAGGTAAGTCAAAAAAAAAGGAAATAAATTGAAATAATTAACCCTTTCCGTTCTATTCTATTCAACAGATGCATTCGTTTTGATTGAACAAAAAGCAATTCGTCAAAATGAATTAAATGAATTGATACAAATATCAATCAAATCACAATGTTTATCATATGCATCCAATTTGATAAGATCAAATATTCATAGTGGTGAAGAATATAATCGAATCTTTCTACAATTATTTGCTAAATATACTGGTTCCCGATTACCAATGCAAATTCAAAATGATTTTCTACAAATTTTTCGACAAAATCTTTTATCAACAGTTTTTTTCGATCTGTTTTCGTTAGCATTTCAAAATTGGAATTCAAATCTATGTAATCATTTGATACAATCATTTGGTTTGAATAATATATTGAAAAAAGTTCGAGAAAAAAATGTTGATTTATTACCACTTTGTTTTAAAAAATTAATATTTGAACATCAAGATTTACCTAAAGATATGATTGATTTGATTGAATTAATTCTTCGAAATGAAGAACCAGAATGTCGACAAGAAATTAATCTATTATCAAGCTATCCAATTGAAGAAAATGAAGATTCAATTTGTGAACGTTATCGTGCGTTCGGTGAACATGATCATCGTTATCAAAATCGTTATTCATCAATCAAATATTCACCGTTAATAATTGCAATTATTATGCGTAGTCATTCAACAGTCGAATGGTTACTTTCATTACAATCGATTAATCGACAAAAATTTTTAGTTGACGTAAATTTCATTGATTCTTATGAACGTACACCATTGATGCATGCAATTTTAATCAATGATCAGAAAATTATTGATACATTGCTGGATGTGCAAACTAAATCACCCTGTATTCAATTGAATTTATTGAAAAGAGATGCTAATCAATCGACTATATTTCATCATTTAATTTCACCATTCCGATCGGGTAATTATTATCGATCAGATCGAATATATTCAAAACTATGGAATATGCTTGCGAAATTGGAAAAAACATCGGAATTGATTGATGAACTTTATCGTTTTGCAATCGAAAAAAAATCTACGCAATTAATAAATTGGATGGAAAAAACATTGAATATTGGTTCGCAACATAAATCTTTATCGCGTTCGATAATCAATAATTTGAGGAAAGATGAAAATTGCGTTGAATCTAATCATTTTGATCATTCCAATTCGATTATCATTAAACAATCTCCACCATTAAGTAATGGTGATTTACAATCAACAATCACTAATGCTATCGATCAGGATTATCGATTAAAGTAAGTTTTGAAATTCTTTTAGAAAAAATCTAATCCATTTTTGTTTGTTAATAATTAAATAACAGGAGAATAATCAAAGATCAAACATCAAAAATTCCTTTCGATGTAATTTTTACCAAACTAGATTATCAAAATAATGATGATTATGTTTATAATTTTTATAAAATACAATTACTTTCAATTGGTACGAAACATTGTCTGGCTATTCGTTGGGGTCGTGTCGGTACCAAAGGAAATGTACGGAAAATATTTTTCAATTCAAAAGAAGAAAGTATTGAAAATTTCAAGAAAATTTTCCATAAAAAATCCGGTGAACATTGGAATCAAGTTAATGATGTTTATAATGGTGCTCGAGAAATCAACACCACATCAGATGATCGATTGAATTGCAAATGGAATTTGGATGAAATTTTCAGAAAAATTATTACCGAATTATCAACAACAGCAACAGCAACTGTTCACGATGATGATTTTAAAAAACTTGTTTTAAAATATATCAAAATATTTTATCGTCAAATTGAAAATGATCCCAATGAACAAAAATCATTGCGAAATTTGACAACAAAATCTATTGATCGTTGTCTATGTGAGTATTATATTTTTGTTTTTTTTGAAAATTTTTCATCATTTTTTTCCCTCCAAAAAAACAGTCATCCTAAATCGATTATCCAAATTGATTGCATTCAATAACCTGAATAGATCTGATAGAAATTGTAAAAAAGATCCAAAATTATTATTACTAAACGATATGATTGATTTAAGTGAACAATTTTATTCGGAAATAAAAATCTATGGATTACAATATGATCAACTGAAGCCAATACTGACAATGGATATGATTAAGCAAATAATTCATTTGGTTATGAAATTAAAATCATCCGTTTCATCAATCGAATCATTATCGAATCCTACTTGTATTTCACTGGAAAAATTGTTTTGTTGGCATTGTAAAATCCTAACGAACAAAGAAGAATTGGATCTTATTTTTTCATATTTATTAAATGGCTGTCCACAACAACAACAACGAAATGATTGTCGTTTAAAAGATTTAAAAATTTTTAAATTTTCAAATTCAATTGAATGGAATACAATGGAAAAATCACCGAAAACCTATCTATTATGGTGTCATTTAAAAAATTATGAATTTTTAAATTTTTTCTTTAATGGTTTTGATGGTCAAACTTGTTTGCTACATTCAGATTTACCAATCATGTTGAATGTAAGTAATGATGAAAATAATCTTTACTTGTTTCAACTTTTCTTCTCTAATTGCAGGGCGTTTGTCTAACAAATCGAATCGTTAATGATAATAATATTGAACAAAATGACGATTTTTGGATACTTTGCGAAACATTGATAGAAAATCCAATTGAAATTGATGATATAAATGTTTTTACACAGGAAAATTATGAAACATTTATTCGGGATAAAGATTGTCTTATATCATCGGATGATCAAAAGAAGAATAATCGAGATGATCATTATTTGCTTTGGAAAGGTAAGGATATTTTCAATGTGAAATTTAACAAGAAAATTTAATGTTTTTTTCGTTATTTTAGGCTTTATAGTTCCTATTAATTTTGAAACAGGCAGCTCAACAACAACAACAACAAGATTTCTTTATTTATCACCAAAACAATTAAGGCCACGTTATTTGTTGAATTTCAACATAAAAACATTGTAAATTATACTTGAATAATCTCACTCTAGTCTTTTTTTTAAAATCAATATTTATTCCGAAACAACAAAAGAAAAGAAATTCTCATTTTATCATCATCATCATTCCATCATCACAGAATGTACAAAAAATTATCAAACAAATATTATTTATATTTTTTCCGATCAAAAATAGTTATATTTTGTAAAAAAAAATTTTTCTAAAAATTAAAATAAATTACAAAAATTGAGCGCGAGAATTTTATCATTTTTTTCATTCGAAACAGACATGCGCTGTATACTCTGTTGAAACAATGCCGCTCACATCGAGATACATTCTTCTGTGTGTGTTTGAGCCGGATTTGAGTGATTCGAAAATTTGTTTTTCAAAAAAATTTGTTTTTCAAAGTTTTTTTTTCGTGGATTTCAGGTTGGTTTTTTGTTGATAAATCATGAATAATACATTGGCCATAATGGATTCAACAACAACAACAACAAACATTGATCAAAAACCGATTGAAAATTTTATCAATTTAATCATACATAATCATTCATTGGATGAATGTTTTTCTGGTTTTACAAAAACATCACCACAAAATGATTTAACAACAAAAAAAATAATGCAATCAAAATTAATATCAATATTTAAAGATATTATTATCGAACCAAATCTTTTGGAATTGAATCTAAAATTTTATATTGATAATTTAAGTCGTACAATTGATCATAAACAAAGTGATTTAATGTTTGAATTTTTGGATGGTATTATCAATGCTGATCTAGTTAAACCAATGATTGTTTGTCGCTGTATTTTATCCGAAAATTTTGAATTAAATAATGAAATCTATTGGGTAAACGGGCTGAATTTTATTGAACATATTATTCATTTGGTTAAATATAAAGAAGTAAGAGATATTTTGGCTATTTTACTTTCGAAAATATCATTAATACCGATAAAATGTTCAAAATCAATTTATCGTCAAGTACATGCTTTTCATAATTTAATTGCATTAATTTTGGATCGTGATACAAGTCTTTTACCAGCATACTTGGTACTGGATGAAATTCAAAATAAATTCTATACAGTTTTACAAAATGGTAATGGTCATTGGGCATTTTCCAAATTAATATCAGTATTTGTTGATAGTTTTCGTCCGATTGCTAAAATCGTATCGCATAGTGGTCGGCCACGTATTATGCCTATAGTTGGTTATTGTTTTTGGATAAATTCGCTGAATTTGGATGAAAAAACAGCTAAATATAAATTAAAAGGCCTACTACCATATGATAAAGAATTGAATGAACCACAAACCAAATTACTATTGCAAATTATTGAACAAAATAATTCACGTGAAACTATTGCCCATATACTATCGTTGGCTAAACATCAAACAGATTTAATCATCAAAGATCAACAACGTTCAATAAATATTATTGAAAAATTATTAATCGAATTGATCATCAGTACCGTTGTTAAAAGTTGTAATTATAAAACATTTTTCGATAACAACAGTAACGGTAGTTTTGAATCATTTGATTTTAATCAAATGGAAAATGATGTTGTACAAATCAGTATGCTTTGGAATCATATTGCATCAACAACTCTATATTTCATTTCACAATATCAAAATATTTCATTTCCATTGCTGATCGCCGGTCTTTTGGATAGACTTTATGAATATGGAAAATCATTTTCGAATCAAAATCTAATAAAATGTCGTGAATTCCTAATGTGGACATTATTACAGATAATTTCTGGAACAAAATCATCATCAACAGATGACCAGAACGAACAAAACATTATTATTTTAACAAATTTTTTAAAATTATTCGATTTACTTTATTGGGAAAAAGAACCATTACCATTACCGGATTTTCATAAACGTAATAGTGTTTTTATTATGTCAGCATCATCATTGTTTATATTGATAACAAAAAATGATTGTTTGGATAGTTTAAAACAACAACCAACGCAACCGCAACAACCAAGAATACCTATTGCACTTAAATCACATATAAATTATTTACGTATGGCAGTCGCTACGAATTCGAATCTTTCCAAAGATTATTCTATTGCTATTCTATGCAATTCTTATTCATCAAATCCAGAATTGTATTCAAAAATTTATAGATATTTTGTTGATAATATTATTGAATCAAGAAACAACAACAACAAAATAAATCAAACATCAACAACAACAACATCGTCGGTAAATGATGATCATTTTATATTAATGGAAATGCTTGATTCATTAACAATACATACAAGAAAAGAATTAACATCATATATAATGAATCGTTTGTTTAGTGTAATGCAAGCTAAAACAATGCCAACATTTCCATCATATTTAATTGAAACATATTGCCTACTAACATCGATCAGTGAAATTGATCAACATGAAGAAACAAAAACATGGAGTCATTTAATACAAATTTCGAAAATTCATAGTTGGAATTATTTATTTAGTTTATTGGAAATATATTCATATCGTTTACATCGTATAAATTCAGCTAATCAAATGCAACTATTACGACAATTATTTAATAAATCTATTGTATCGCAAATCAATCATATTCAGCTATATTCATTTATGGAAAATACTGCATTGAAAATTTTATATGGTTTTAATTGTTTTGAATTTATTGCATTTTGTACTGTACGACCGAAAATTGTTGATGAAACATTTCTACCATCAGATTCAGAAGAATTGTATAAGATTTTCATTTATACTTTGGCACGTGCTACCCATATAACTGGTACTGAAGCCCTTTCAAGCGAACAATATGTACATTGGGTTAAAGAAATTCTTAAAGAAATAAAAAATCTTAATAATAATTTAGCATGGCCATCATTCACACTGCAATGTTTTCCACCAATTATTAGTGAATTTTATCAAACAAATACAAAAAAAGAAACAAATCATCAACAATTAAAAACATCGGTTGATGAAGAATATCGTCGTTGGAAATCTATTACTAATGATAATGATCGTATTAAACATTTTACATCGCAAGGAACACCACCATTAATTTATTGTCTTTTATATAAAATGCTTTTGGATAATGAAAACATACCACAAGTATCATATAAAATTTTAGATAAAATTGGTGTAAAAGCATTATCAAATCATTTGAGAACATTTGCTGATTTTTTAGTATTGGAATTTGCAAATTTAGTCGGTGGTTCACATGTTAGTAAATCAAAAGAAGCTGTTAATGATCTTATTTGGAAATGTCATGTTGTTACATTGGATAAATTGTTACTTTGTTTAGCATTACGAAGTTTTGAAGGAAATGAAGCACAAGTTTGTTTTTTCATTATTCAATTATTAACGGTAAAAAATCCTGATGTAAAAAATCGTGTTAATGATTTTGTTAAGGAAAACTCACCCGAACATTGGAAACAAAAAAATTGGAACGAAATGCAGCAAAATTTTTTAAAGGTTGGTAATCACACAGACACACTATTTTTGTTTAAAAATTTTTTTTTCAAAAATCAGTTTTCACAAATCAAAGTTGAGTTTTTTTTTCTGATTTTCAGGCAAAAATTTTTTTTTTTTATGATTCAAAAATTACTCATGCGTTCAATGATGACTAAAAGATGAGTGGATTTTGAGTCATATAGTCAAAATAGTCATCAACCTAACCTCACTGAACTATCAGTCATAGGCATAGTCATAGTCATTAACCTAACCTCACTGAACCATAAATCATGGGCATAGGCATAGTCATCAACCTAACCTCACTGAACCATAAATCATAGTAATCATAGTGCATTAGTGCTTATGCTTATGCTTAACATTTTTTTTCTGTTTTTTTTTAAATTCGTATAAATTAATTGTTTTTTGTTTCTCTCTTTTCAAAAAAATTCTATAGAAATATCCGGAAAAATATTATTTTGATCATTTACAAGATGTTAACAATCTGGGAAATGCTATGAATATACCACCAATTTTTAGTAATATTTGTTTACGAATATTACCAGTTTTTGGTTAGTAACCCCATTGAATTTTGTTTTTTTCTTCATTTTTGATTGAAAATTTTTTACATTTTCTAGACATTATTATACATCGTCTAATCGAAATGTTATCATGTGGAAATGATTTTGTATCGAATTTTGTCGATACATTATTAAATGAATATGGATGTTTGTATAAATTTCATAGCTATCCAATAACATTTCTTTATAATACTCTACATTATTATGAGATAAATTTGAAAGAGAAAACCAAATTAAAAAAGAAACTAGTGTTTACAATTATAAATGCATTTAAAGATTTTCGTCCGAAAAATTGGTCAATATCCGAACCATTTATGAATTATTGTCAAAAAAATAATGATGAAGAATGGAATCCAGGTAAGTTTTTTTTCTGAATTCAGAATTCTCAATGGTTAACTTTACCTAACCTCTAATTTACCGTTAGGTTCAGAATATTTTAAATTTTTAGTTGGAAGATTTGTCGATACATTATCATCACAAAGTAAATGTCCATTCAGTATGACTGATTATCGTTTTAATGAATTTTCAAATATACAATCACATGCATTATATGTAACTTGTGTTGAAATATTGGCATTACCCGGAAAACCATCCGATATTTCAAATCAATTAATCAATGTTGTTACGAATAGTCATAAAAATATTTCCCGTCAAGATATTGAATTATGGATCAATGCTATTGGTTTGATATTTACAGCCCTACCGGAAAGTTATTCATCAATACTAAAAGAACGTTTTGTTGAATTATTAAAAAATTCACGTACATTTGTAGGAAAAAATTTCTTTCATATTTTTGATTTTAAAAATAGTCATTCAAATTTTTATGAAAATGATATGTGCTATACGCTTGCCTTATTACATTCATATTGGTTTCATGGAACATTTGGCCAGTTATGTTTAATGCCACAATTTATCAAAGAAAAAATCAAACCTATTGTACAAACTGAAGAACAACTGATATTGGTTTGTTATTTTGTTGGACCATTCCTACAACGTTTACAAAGTGAACGTACAAAATGTATTATTGCTATCGCACATGAATTATATCAAATGTTGGATACAGTGGATAAAAAATGCTCGAATCTTTATCATATTGATACTATTTGTGATTTGTTTTATCATTTTAAATGTATGTAATGTTGTTAGAATGTCATTTAGTTTTTAAAATTAATTTTTTTTTACTTTTTTTACCTTTTAAACACAGATCGATTTACTGGAAATCTATTACAAAAATATATTGATGAAAGAATCGATAAATTGCGACCTGAACTTCAACAAAAATTACGTTTTCTTTCACAAATTTCTGATGATTCTGTTAGTGGATGATTATCTGAACTTGAATTTTTTTTTCGAAACTTTTTTTTCTTTTATAATTAAAAATTCATTTGTAAAACTTTTTTGGTAAAAATTACTAATCGCGCGCTTGTTTTTGAAAAAAAGGTTTTCATACAATGCCAGTCCTCCTCACTCTCTTGTGTATGCAGCAGAGTATGAAAATGTTTTTCGAAAATTTACACTATACACATGATATATTTTGTTAGGGGTATATATTTACCGAGAAATTATATCACGAAAAAAAAACAAGACAAGAAGAAATAAGAGTGATGATGATTATGGTGATGTGATGTGATGATGATATCAACCACTTACCCATGTTGTTAAAATAAGTGGTATCTGTTTGTGTGTGTCGAATGACCAGAAAACAATTGTTGAAGATTTCTTTGAAGAACCAATGTCCATCGAATGATAATTTCTTTTCGTTTTTTTTTTTTTTTGAAATCGAACATCATCTTCCGAGTAAAAAATCGGAAAATAAATGTGATGTAATTTTTGAAAAGTTTGTGTGTTCAAAACCGAAAAACAAACAAATTGTTGTGATTACTTGTGATTCTTTGGTTTAAATTCATCTTTAAAGATTCTTTTTTCTTCAACAACAACAATGTCATTATCAATCATGTCAATTCACGAAAATTTTTGTGATAATTGTAAAGAAATGATTATTCTACTTTCAAAATGTAAATTCAGTTTTTCATTTAGGAAATTTTATAATTTTTTAAAATGTTTTTTTTTCATTTTGTAAAATTTCTGTAGATGATGATGATGATGATAATTTTCAAACATTCGAATCATTGGATTCGAATAATTTTCTGGATAGAGATGCTTTAAATTTATTGATAAATTATATGAATAATTGGTCAACCAAGTAAGTAATTTTTTAAAAAGTTTTTTTTATTAATTGTAATTTTGTTTCCCTCAACAAATAGACATTGTGCATGTTGTTATAAAGATCAGAAAAATTTTCAACGTTTTGATAATCTTGTGCAATCGATTATTATCGAATCATTTGAATTTTTAAACACTGTCATCATTATCGACAACAATAAATCATCCGAAAACGAAAACATTCAATCATTTTTTGATGATTGGAATGATGAAGATAAAGAAAGATTATTGTTATTATTGTCAAAGGTAATATATCTGTTTCTTTTTATTTTTGTTGTTGTTGAAAAAGTTTTTCAATTCTCTCATTGTTTACAGGTATTTCAACTTTCATTTCCACTATATGTTACATATAAACATTCAAATTATACAAAAAATGATGAATTATCACCAAAAGAATTGAAAATCCTAGCAAATTATTGTGATCTTAGTGATTATGAGATGCCAATATATTTAATGAGAAAAATTATCTACTTTATTGAACATTCGGGATTTAAATTATTTATCGATTGTTTTTCTAAATCTGATCCAAATTATTTAACAATTTCATTGGCCAATTCATTAATATCAACCATACAAAGCCTTAAGTATTATTTTACATTACCTTCTATCAATAATGAACTAGTCACATTACGTATTGAAGTGATAAATTATTTATGTAAAATTGGCGATAATGATTTAAGAAATTTAAATAATCGTGGAATGTTTGAATTTATTTGGTCAGTGATTAAGGAATATAATTTTAATAATAATTTTGGTCTTGATTATGATGGTTTGAAAATTGCACATAAATATTTTCTATCATCAACATTAACAATGCGTTTGTCAGGTTTGGCTCAAATTAATAATTGTATTGCAATTTATAATGATCTTACACATCCGGCAATGAGTAAGTTTTTGGATTGATAATCGATTATATCGATATCTAATTTTATTTTTCCTTGATTCGTCCGATTAGATACAAATCTAGAAAATATTCGTAATGGTCTTAGCCAATGGTTAATTGATAATAAAATTTTGGAAAATATTTATGGGCCAAATTCACATGTAGAAGTGATTAAACAAAGTCATTTTATTTTGAATTTTCTGGCCAACAGACTTACTACTGAACATTTAGATCTTATTTGGTGTGCTGCACAACTAAAACATTATGAACGTTATGTTATTGATTTACTTTGTCAATTGATAAAAAATCTTAAAATCCAAATTGTTTATCATCTTTATAATCATTTATGGAAAATTAAACCAAAAGATCATTCCGAACATACATTGAATCTAGCATCACATGTTATAAAATATATTTGGTTATTTAATGGTATTCAACCTGATATGTTGACAAATTGTTCATATTTATCAAATGATAAAATAATGATTGGTTTTGATGAAAATATTTTGAATAAAAATTCATTAATGTCTTCATTGTTTAAAGGTAAAGTAGTGGTGGTGGTGGTTAAAGATTTGAATTTACCTAACTTAAAATGATTTTTCTACTTTTCTTTCCTTCAATAGAACGAACCAACAATAGTTCATCGGCAAGTTCAATCGAAGTTAGTGATGAAGATGAAGAAGATGAATTTGATGTTAATCTAAATAGTCCAAGATTGATTGAACATCATATGGATAAAACAGCAACAACAACAACAACAATTTCTCCGTTGGACAATGTTGATGATGACGATGATGTCGATGATGATGATGAGGATGGTGATGATGATGGTAGTAATCAATCTTCAAATAGTGATGGATCTGATATGGAAATTCAACCGCAAGAAAATCATATTGATTTACAGAAAAATAATAATGATGATTTTAAATTGAATGATTTGGATTGTCAAATTCAACTAAAAGAATATAATGATGATGATCCACCATTATCATCATCATCATCAGCAATCCAGTGGAATGCCGGCAAAACAACGATGAATCCTTGTGATGATAATGGTAATGACAATGGTAAAATGATGGAAATTGATCTAGATTTATTGGATGAAGACACCGTTAAAAATAAACAACAACAACAACAACAAGATTTTCAATTTCGTATATCAGATGTTCATAAACCTGGAAATACATTATTATATGATATACTACAGGATGATATACTGAATTTACTAAATGAAGATTTAGCAAATGCTGTTGAAAAAATATTCTGGAATTTATTATGTTGTGCAAGTGATCGTGAAATACGTTTTAAATTTATTGCCGGTTGTTTGGAAAATCTTTCGAAAAATTATTCCGTTATAACATCATTACGTTTATTACAGAAATTATTTTCATCATTTTATCAATATCAAGATGGAAAATTGATAAGAAAAATTATTCTCACGTGTGAAAAGGAGAAAAATATGTTGAAATTATTTTTCAATAATCTAAGTCTTTTTATGTATCATTATAAATATTCGAATGATAATGATGGACATGATGAAGATCAATTTCAACGAAAATGGCTAATGCTCAAATCAAAATTCTATACACCAAAAGAAGAGATACAAATCCGATTGAATTTTCTTAGTTTTATTTTCATCAATGCCGGTTCACATGAAATATTGAATTTTTCCCAAGAACATGTTAATATTCTTTGGAATGTTTTTACAAAATGTGAATCGAATGAAATTGTTGATGAATTTTTTGATTGGCTATTGAATCAAGTAAAATTGAATAATGGATTGAATATTGATATTATCAAACATATTTTGTTTGAAAAAATGCCATTTTTAAAACCAGAATCATTTTCATTAATATCATTGGATTTATTACAAAATTTACATGGTTTTATTTTATCGAAAAATTGTGAAAATCCTAAAACATTTAGTATTGTAGTGAAACTTCTGTGGGATATTGCATTCAAAAATCCAAATCAAAATGTTTCAATGAATGCTAGTCGTCATCTGAATAATTATTATATTAATCTATTAAGCTGTACAAATCGTTTTGATAAAGAAGAAGAATTTATTCGTTCTTGTATTGGTTATTTAAAAGATGCATCCATTTTGTTACCAATTTCTTGTCAACGAAGCCTGTTGATTATTGAAAGAGCAGTAATATTGTTGAAAACATATTTGGAAATATTTTATGCAAGATATTCATATTTTTTTCGTACATTAAAATTATCATCAAAGTTTGATCTGTCGATGCATCGTATACCGGATAAATCTGAATCAATGATTAATATAATGGTCTGTTCACCATTCAACGACCGGAATACATTTGAATTTTCATTATTTGATTATATTGGTGATTTACGTGCTGAAGTTCAACATTGGTGGCGTATGCTTCGAAAATCCATTGAACCTGTTGCTATGGATGATCAACTGATATGTCTTGTACTGAACGATCATGAAATTTCATTTGATTGTGATGAAAAACGACTACTGGAATTGAATTTTAAAGATAATCAAATTAATCAAATTTCATTTCATATTTGTAAACATACGTTGGTGAAATCATCAAATATTGTTACATTATCATTATCATCGGAATTTTTTGAAGAATTTAAACAAAAAAATCCAAAAAATCTTTTGATTGAACCGAATAATTTCGAGCTGTTATTTATATTGATGCAACAATTAGATATGATTAATGTAAATAATTTGAAAGCAAGAATATTGTCGAGAAATATTTGGGAAATTGTACAAATGTTACCAACACCGTACGAGATGGTTCGGAAATTTCATCAATTGGAATCGAAATATTATGCTGGTGATGATAAGGAAAAGTTTCCAACGATTACTGATGAGGAAATCAGTCCGATCATTGATTATAATGATTTTTATAAGGAAATATTTCCATCAAATTCAAATCAAAAATTAATATATTCATGTCAATTGATTGAAAATTATCGTAAAATTAATAAAGATTGGCCACGGATTTTCATGGAAACCGGAGGGTTACGGTTTTTCTATCGAACATTTATCGATGTTGTTTGTACATTAAAAATGAAACGTGATTGGACTGAATGGAAACAAGATTGCCTCACTTCGTTGATACAAATTCTTTATCAATTTACAAAATTTTCATCCAAAATGGATTCAAATGATCAAATTTTTAAATCCGAATTGGATAAACCTAGTGATCAAACAAGTATTGAAACAAGGAAAAATAAACGTTTACGTAAAAATTCATTGGAAAAAAATTCACTAATGAAATTTAGTCAGGAAATTTTGGCCATTATTGAAGATGAAGAAAAATTATTAGATTCATTTATGATAATTTTGAATAATGTTTTTATGAATTCCAAACCAATTTATCAAACATCAATTTGGTCTCGTTCACAAGTTGTTTACATTGCATTAACATTTTTCACTTCGTGGCTATATTCAGATCCAAATATTTTCGAAATGTTTTTGGAATCAAAAAATGCTCGAGAAATTATTAAAAAACTTTTGATTGATGATGTTGATCATATGGTACGAAAAGAATCAAACAATTCATTTTCTCGAGTATTTTTAAGCTTAAATCCGGAATTATGTCGAAAATTTCTACCAAAATTTTTGAAAATTTTATTAAATTTTCTAGAAGAAGCATCATTGGTTAATATACAAAGAATTTCATCAAGATTTACTTTGGATGATAAGGAAAATTATTATCCTGGGAATAAAGATTATTTTCTATTGGTTTGTCGTTTGATTGATCATTTATATTCACAAAAATCCACCAACAATATTAATTCAAAAGATACTGATTTGGATGCTGAAAATCTTTCGAAACAGGTTGCAAATCTTATTGTAAATCGTGAAAATTTTGAATCAAATAAAAATCATCATTCAGAAGATGAAGGCCTGAAAGGTTTGTTTTTACTGCAAACAGTTTTATTGAAAAATAACCCGCAAGTAAAATGTTGTCAAGAAATGAAAGAATTTATAATGAAAATTTTTGATTGTCTTTTTTCATTACCAACATTTAATCATCGTCAATTACCTAAATGTAAAAATATTCATACACGTAAAACAGCATTTGATTTGTTATTAGAACTGATTAAAGGTAATGAAGATAATTATGTAATTTTAACGAATTTGCTTATCGATCAACATCGTCATGAAATTATTGGTCGTCAAACACCTTATCCATGGGAATATTGGCCACAGGATGAAAGTCGTTCAGATTTTGTTGGTCTAACTAATCTTGGTGCAACATGTTATATGGCATCGTGTATGCAACATTTATTCATGTTACCTGAAGCACGTAATACAATATTGACTTGTAATTTATCAACTGTAATTAAACATGAATCCATTCTACGTGAATTACAAAAAATGTTCATTTTCCTACAGGAATCTGAACGAAAATCATATAATCCGAAAAATTTTTGTAAAGTTTATACAATGGATCATCAACCATTAAATATTTGTGAACAAAAAGATATGACTGAATTTTTTACCGATCTAATTACTAAATTGGAAGAAATGACTGCCGATCTTAAAGATATGGTTAAAAAATTGTTTAGTGGTTTACAATCGAATAATGTTGTTTCGTTGGATTGTCCACATATAAGTCAAACAATGGAAGAATTTTATACATTACGTTGTCAAGTTGCTGATATGCGTGATCTATATGAATCTCTAAATGAATTAACTGTTAAAGATACACTTGATGGTGATAATATGTATAATTGTTCGGTTTGTGGTCGAAAAGTTCGTGCAGAAAAACGTGCCTGTATAAAAAAATTACCCAAAATTCTTTGTTTTAATACAATGCGTTATACATTCAATATGATTACAATGACTAAGGAAAAAGTTAATACACATTTTTCATTTCCATTTACATTGGATATGTCACCTTATTTGGAAAAAAATCTATTGAACCTGCCGGATGAAAAACAATTTGATAATGATGATGACGAAATACTAATGATGACTGATGAAGAAGAATCAAATAATAGTACAAAATATGATTTAATTGGTGTAACCGTACATACAGGTACGGCTGAAGGTGGTCATTATTATTGTTTTATACAGGATCGTGATCCACAAAGTCCAACACGTAATAAATGGTTTCTATTCAATGATGCAGAAGTGAAATTATTTGATAAATCACAAATTGCAACGGAATGTTTTGGTGGTGAAATGACAAGTAAAACATATGATAAAATTAATGATAAATTTTTAGATTTTAGTTTTGAAAAAACAAATTCTGCTTATATGTTATTCTATGAAAAATGTGATGATAGAAATTCAACAACAACAATGATTTCAACACCGACAACAACAACTTCAACAACAATAGCATCACCGACAACAACATCGCCAATAATGACATTTGAAAATTTATCCAAAGAATTAATCGATTGGATTTGGAGTGATAATTTATCATTCGTACGAGATAAATTGATTTTTGAACATACTTATTTTGATTTTATATGGAAAGTAGTAACACAAACACCATATACATTTACTACCGGTATTATTACTACCACCACCACTTTATCGAATAAATCAACATTAATTTCAATACGTTTAGCAACATTATTCGTATTGGAAACTTTGATTCATTCAAAAGAAAAACCAACCATACCAAATTGGATTGAATTATTAATTAAACAATTTAATAATTCAAAAAAAGCATGTGAATGGATTATGAATCATCTGGCTGAAAATGATTGGTGGTCAATGAAAATTTTGTTTAAATGTTCAAATCAAACTGTACGGCAAATATTTGTACGTCTTTGTATACATGTTATTCAGAAGCTAAAATCCTCTTCATCGATTTATATGCATTCACTAACTACCACCACCACCGCCACCAATGTTGCATTATCATCAAATGAAGATCTTGTTATTCGTCCGTCGTCGGTTGATCTACATCTTAATCATTCGGTTATAAATTTTATTAAACGTTTAATTTCATTAATCAATTCGGATTTGATAATGTCTCGACCGAATATAAAATATCTTTCAGAATATTTTTCATTTTTATTGGAATTTGCTAAACAAGGTGATGAAGAATATCAGCTATTATTATCGATTGGAACCATATCTACGCTGATAAATTTTTATCTAAATCATGGGAAAATTGTTGGTGATTTTCCCGAATCATTCCAAAGTAGTGATAATGAAGATGAAGATTTTGATGAAAGATCAACACAACAACAAACATTTCGTCCAATATTGGATGAAAAATTTCCGAGGATAGCATCATTAGATAAAATGCTTTCATTAATTGTTTACCTGTTGGAAAAATCACAAAATCGAACATCATCATCACATCAATTTATCATAACAAAACAAGATTTTGATTCATTAATTAGTGAGAAAACATTTCAATTTTTACAACAACAAATTCGTGATAATATCAACTTACGGCAAACATTCAATCTAATTTGTTCAATATGTAATATTGATGATAGTTTATTTTCACCAATAATCAATATGATATTTTCATCGATAATTCAATTTCCTGAAACAAGTCAAATGTTTTTTAAAATATTATCATTTATAACTGAATCTGCTTGGGTATCGGCATATTTTTCCAAATTAATTCTGCCAAGAATTTGGGATCTAGCTGAACCAACAACGCTGCAAACATTAGAATGGTTAATTCAACATGTACCAAGGAATAAAATTCTACATGATCATGTTCTCAACACAATGGATCATTGGGTATTATATTTTTTGATTGAAAATTCAATACAAAGAGTTCGTTCAAGTACAGCACAATTATTAATATCATTAGTACCATCAATGGATGATTCATTTCGACAAAATTATCGTCCATTTCGTTCATTTCCATATACGATCAATAAGGAAATTTTATTGAATAAAGAAAGTTTGGCCATTATTGATCAACTATTTAGCTATTTGCTTGGATTGATTAAGAAGATAAAAATACTTACCGAAACACAACAACAACAAAATCAACAGCAAAAATTAACAAATTATTTCTATGTTCTTACATATTTGATGATCAATACGAAACAAAAACGTCTATTCATTACATATTTTAATGATTTTTGGATATTATTTCAAACAAAATTATCCGAACCAGCAATACCTATTCATCAGAATAAGCAAGCATTTTTAATGTTTCTTTATGTTTCATGTAATGAATGTAAAGATTCAATCAAATTGATTGTACAGAATGCAAATGTTTATAAAAAAATTGCCCTTAATTATATATTGGCCGATCATGATGATCAAGAAGTAGTAATGTTTAATAAAAATATGTTACCATATTATTATGGTTTATTACGTGTTTGTTGTGAATATTCACGTTCATTCACTAGGTATTTAGCATTACAACAAAATATTCAATGGGCATTCAAAAATATAACACCATATTCAAATCATTATTCATTAGCAATTAATGAACTGTTCAAATTAATTCGATTGTTTACAACTGTTTATTCGGATTCAAATGAACAAGAAATAAATGAAGCAATCAATTTTAAACAAATGACATTAAAACTTTATCTACATACATTGGATCCAGATGTACATTGGAATACAATAATAGCCGTATTGAATATTCTTATTGAAACAAATGATGATTTATTGTTTATCATACGAAACAATGGTTTATGTACTTTATTTCAATCATTTTCATCACTGCATGTTATGTTTCATCAGGCAACTGCTTGCCATATTACTGCTGAATTGATTGATTTATTAAAAATTATATCATCATTATTATCAACATTTGAACGTGAATTTGATTCATTACAAGATTATAAAACAAATTTAAAAGCATTTTTAGATATCAAAAAATTTATATTCCTGCTGAACACTTATACACCATCAAATCTTCGTCAAGCATTATTTGAAGTATTGTTTAAATTGATCAAAGTTTTTCCATATGATTATTTGGTTTGTATTGTAAAATTTTTATTATTTCAACATAATATATTTGTTGAACAAAATTTTCCATTCATTTCTGGTCCATATTTTCCAAAACGTGGACAAAAATCATTTCAAACAAAATCCAGTTTACGACCTGCACGTCCAACATTTCAAATGTGTTTTAATATTACCAATATTGATAATCATCATCATAATCATAATAATGATATTGATCGTGATTTTGATTATGACCGAATGGTTTTTGAATTTTATCGTCCTTATTATACATTCATCGATGATGTTTGTCGTTTTGCAATGAAAAAAGATTTAATTTTTGAAGAACTTGTCGATCTGACTGTTAAATTAGCATTGGAAAGTTTATATTTTCGTAATAAATGCTTTATAATATTATGGCTTGATTCTTGTGAAAATCAAAATAATGATAATAACGATGATAATGATGGAGATAATGGTGGATATAATTCACATAGCATAATGGATTTTCTTTCAACAAATAATTCATTCTTTGATTATATGAAAATAATTTTATTGAAAGAAAAAAGTTGGTTGGAAGATGATGTTGTTTATCGTTTTTTCAAAATATTTTTACCAAAGGTAAGCTCCCTTTTTTTTCTTTTATTGTCATTTTTTTTAACCTTGTCTTGTCCATTCACACACAGACATCATTATCGTACACTGCCAATGTTATCAAGCAAAATATACTGCCATCGATTGAAAATTTATCAAGAAATCCTAATCTGAAAAATTTAGAAATTGTTCAACAATTAATATGGGTATGTTTTGCTTGATTTTTGATTTTTTTAAAATTTCATTTTTTTCGCACATTATTTCTAAAGAATTTATTGACAATCAAAGTTTTTATCGAATCAAATTCAATTATTAATCAAGATTTACCGGAAAATTTTTCAACAATTTTGAATAATTTGAAAAAATTATACTCTCCACTTGAGACTAATGGTAGGTTTTCTGAAAAAAAAATTTTTCAAAAATTAAAAAAAAAATGATTTTTTTTTCTATGCAGAACATTGTGAATCGGAAAAAACCGATCATGAAGAAAACAACAGCCAAGAAAGTAAAAAACCTAAACTAATGTCAAATGTTAAAATTGATGAATCATCAACATCAAAATTGATTTGTGATAGTAACCGTCAATCATCATCTTCATCGTCATATTTTATCGAAAATATGACAATGACCGATTCGATGACCCAAAAAAACTTTATAAATAAACTGATGACATTGATACATGATATTTGTGAATTGTTAAATAATTGTTAATCATCACCCGTCATCTGTCATAATTTCTTCTTTCATTTCAAACAAACACAAACACACACACACACATTTTGTATTTATAAAAATATTTTCATTTTTTGGATAATAATTTCATAATACTTTTTTTTATAAAAAAAAAATATTTATAAATAATCGTTTTCCGATAACTTTTTTTTGTGTAAAAATCATTAATCCATTGTTTTATCTGATGTTAATTTATAATTGGGAAATTTTTATCCTTCCACATTTTTTCCATTTTGTCGTCGTCCTTTGCCAAATAAAGTTCAATTTTTTTTTTCTAAATAAAAATTTCAAATAACGTTCATTCGTAAATGTTGTTACTTGATGTTGTTGAATTTTGCACATGCTTTCAGTTTTGTTCGAAAAAAAAAATTTCATCTCGAATTTCATCTTCGATGAAAGTTTTTGAATGAATTCATTGTTTAAATTAACAAATTGGCTTTCGGTTAGCCATTATCAGATAAGAAAATTTGCTAAAAAAAATATGACTGAAAAATTGATTTGGGTTGATTGTGAAATGACCGGTTTAAATGTTGATCATGATCAATTGCTTGAAATAGCTTTAGTAATTACTGATGGTAATTTTAATAAGGTAATAATTCTCTTGTTGATTCTCTCATAGAAACTACCTGTCTAACGATTTTGATTATCATTATTTTTTTCAGCTAGATCAACTTGATCCTATTCATATTAATGCTTCCAAACAGACACTAGAATCAATGAATGATTGGTGTCAAAAACAATTTCGTAATAATGGTCTTTATGAAGAATGTTTACGATCAAATATTCGTATCGAAGATGCTGATTCGATGTTGGATGAATTTATGAATAAAAATAAAATAAAACAAGGAATTTTAGCTGGTAATTCAATAGGTAAGGTTATTGAATCATTTTAAAGATATTTTTGATCATTAATCTTTAAATCATTGACAGCTGGTGATCGACAATTTCTTAATAAATATTGTCCAAAATTTGTTTCATATCTACATTATCGAATGGTTGATGTTTCATCGATAAAAGTTCTGGTTGATATGTGGTATAAAGATCGTCAATTTTGGAATGTAAGCACACCACATCGTGCACTTGGTGATATTAATAAAAGTATCGAAGAACTTAAATATTATAAAGAAAAATATTTTTTGAAATTTTAATCTATTGCAACGAAATAATTATTAAAAAAACACTTTAGATTCCACATTCGGCAATGTTTGGACCATTTTTGATCATTGTTTCCAATAAATTGATTGTCGTTGATGATAATTTCATTCGATCTTGTTCATTGATATTATTGATTGAACCAAAACCAGCACAAATTCCATTCAATTTTGCTGCTAATGGTGATGTAATCAAATCGGAATCGATTTGTAAACCAGTTTCTTTCATAATTGATGGATATTTACGAAGAAAATATTTTTGATGATAATTTTCTGCATTTGTAAATTCATCGAATGGAACCAATTCGGTCACAATCGGTGAAGAATAGCTAGGTTTTTTCGATTCCAAAAATTTTTCGATCAAATTTTTTTCATCTGCATTTCGATAGAATATTGCTGAAATGTATTGGCGTTTATGTTTAAGAGTTGGATCATGTGATTTTATAAACAATTCAAGAATTTCCTATATCAATATTTTTAATCAATCATTTGTGGTGAAATCATCATTGATAAAATACCTCAAACTTTACAATGTTCGGATCGAATTCCAAATCCACCGATTCGATATGATCACCAATATTACGATAATTTGGATTTTTTGTTGAACCACCTGAATAACCAACTTTGGTACGAATTATACCCGATTTTGAACCGAAAATTGCTTCGGCACCCCAAAAACATTGCATACCCAATGTCAAACGAGCCATACTTTTGGATAAAAATGATGATGATGATAATAAATTCAAAGTCCAAAAGTTTTCATCAAAACAAAATTCGAATGATGATCAATATAAATTCTTAACACTTTTCAATTCGAAAAGAGTATGCGCATTATGTTAAGGTTTGGCTATAGCCACGTCCGTAACGTTATGCATACATTTTGGCAAGACACACACACACACGCACAAACACATTCGATTTGGACAACGGATTTCCAAAATTCAGCTCCTCACAACGGTGAGCTAATGTGCTGTGAGCGTATACGTTAACATTATGTTTTGTTGTTAAGTTTCAACGAGACTATACCCTAATTTTACGTCCAAAAACGAAAATTCAATTTTTAATTTTTTCGCCAAAAAAACAAATTTTTGAAATGAATGAAGAAGAAACTACAATTCATCCGATTGTAGTCGATGCTAAACGTCAAAGATTAATTGAAAAATTTTTAGATTCAGGTAATTTTAGTAAAAAAAAATATTTTCGTTAAAAACACACTGTTTAATCTTTTTGATTCAAAAACAGGAAAATGGCCACTCGAATTGGAAGTAGAATTTATTGAAGCCCTGAAAAATTGTCCAGCTCTTTGGGCAAAACAATCCGAATCATTTAAAAATCCATTACTCAAAACATCACAATTGGAAAGATTGGGACTTGAATTTTCTGGTCTATCAGGTTTGGTTCCGGTTTTTTTGAAATTCATCTTAATTTTGTTCATTCTTTCGTAATTGTATTTTGAACAGAATCAAACATAGTATCGAAAATAAAATTATTAAAAGATAATTTTACTCGAGTTCATAAACAAATAGTATCATTGGAAAATTCAAATGAAGATCAAACAGTGGTTGAAAATAAAATCAAAGCATTGAAAACAAAATGGCATCATTATGAACGTTGTGAATTTTTAGCCGAACATATTAAACATCGTAATCGAACATCAAAAGATGGAAATAATGAACAACAACAACATATTAATAATAATAATATTAATAATTTACAAGAACATTTACAACCATCATCAGGTTCAACAAATATGGTCAGTTGGTTTACATCATCGATGACCTATCCGGAAAGATGGCAAGGTGCTGAAGATATACCATTTATTAAATTTCAACCAACCGAAAAAATGAGACAACAAAAAAATCAAAGCCCAATAAAAAATCAAAGATCAAGATTAATGCAACGACAAAAAGAAATGGCTGATTGTTATATGGATGTTGATTCATTAGTCAAAACAATGGAAAAACAGGAGGAAAGTTTATTGAAACGTGAACAAATGTTAAAAAATGAACGTGAAAAATTATCAATGAATCCATTATTTAATTATATACTTGGTAAAGATCATGTTTTAAAGAAAATTAACCCGAATAAAATTGATGATCTTAAATTTGAATTGGATGGTGTTATTGATCGTTATGCACGTGAACATCCAAAATAATGAATTTTAATTTTAATTTTATTTTTTGTAAGAAAAATTTAATAATGGCAAAATTATTATGTACAAAATAAAAATATTTTTTTAAGCCTATATAATTGTTGTTGTTGTTGTATATGATGGTTGTTGAATAACAACAATCGAATTTGATTGTACAGCCGATCCGGTAGCATTGAAAAAATATTCCGCATAAATATCACGTATACGTTTAGCATCAAATGTTGGATTATTAATTTTGGTTTTAGGTTTTTGTGAACTATCAATATGTGTTGTACGTAATGAATCGAATGTTTCTTGATTATAATTAAAACCTTCTTCGGTAAGAATCATATTGTACAAAAGTACACAAGTAAGTACAATAAAATCTGAATTATCTGGCATAAATTTTGTTGAATTTAAACATTTAAATTTATCAATCAGAACACCAAATGAATATTCAGCAACTCTTTTTGCTTGATTAATACGATAATTGAAAATTTTTTGTGATTCATTTATATATCGTTCGGGATATGGTCGAAGTAAATTTGTACGAAGTGGATAAGTATCATCACCAATAAAAAAATATGGTAAATCAATTTGTGGTTCAATAATCGGTAACATTGATTCGGTTGGTACTTGAATTGTTTGATTAATAACCGATTGACCAAATATTGAATTGGAAAAAAATTCTTTATCACTTTGGCCATTATAAACACCAACATCACAACAAATAAAACGATAATCAGCATCGGTAACAGCTTGCATATAAATACCATGTTTATTATCAGAATTTTTAATTCGAATATGTTTACCATCAATAGCGCCTAAACAATTTGGTATATTCCATGTTGTCCAAAAACGATTGGCAATTTGTTTAAATTCTTCAACCGTTGGAAATGATAGATATTTTTCCATAAATGTATCGCAAATTGCTTGACAAACTCTAGCAACAATTCCGGAAATTGTTTGATGAGCAATACGAAGTTGTTGTTCACTAACACGATGTGATACACCTTGTACTAAATATCTTATACAAGCAAATAATTGTTCTTCCGGGCTAATCGGTTTTCGAATCGAATGACGAGTAATTTTATCCTGAATACCATTCAATATTAACATAAATGTTTTTTCCGACATACCCAGATAATCATAAAATGCATCAGGATTTGCTTTTAATTGTGGAAATAATTTGGCAAATTCACCTTCCTGATCACGAAGTTTAAATTTTGGTGATATACCAAATCTACGTGATGAATATAATAGGCCGGAATTTTGCCGTAACATTGATAATAATACTTTTTTACGACGACGTATTTGATTTACTTTCATTGTTTGATGTGTAACTATTTCGGTTGATGGTGTTGTTGTTGATGATGACATTTTTATCTTGTTTTTAAATTAAAAAAAATCTTTATTCGATAATCATATCATGGAACTATTTGAAACCAAAACAAAAACAAAAAAATCCAAAATTTGATCCAAAACTCAAATCGCGAATAAAACAATGAAAGAATTCAATGTTGAGGCTGTTGCATGCATGTTATCAAAGTGAACCGTCCATTGATGACATGATGAAAATTCATATAATTCGTGCTCTGTGCAAAAACATGCTTAAATTCATTTCGGTTAAATTCAACAAAAAGTTTTTCTTGAATTAAATAAAAATGGCTCATCAAAATATTACAAATTTTCGTTATCTTTTGGTATGATGATTCTTTGTTTTTAACATTTAAAAAAATTAAAACTTTTTTGTTGTCGATTTTAGCGTTCGAAATTTTGCGATTCGATAAGATTTTCAAGCACAAAAGTTTCAAGCGGTTAGTTTTTATTTTCATTTGTATTCAAAGTTTTGTATTAAAAAAATTCTTATTTTTTAGAAGCGAAAATACCGGACAATTCAAAATGTATCAATAAAGTTATTCTGCTTGGTCGTTGTGTTGCCGAAGCAAATCTAAAACCATTAAACAATACAAATTTTGCAACATTTATTATGGTTACAAATGATTTACGTCGAACGAAAAGTAATGAAATTGTTAAACGTTCCGATTTTCATAAGGTTTTTGTTTATCAACCATTTTTGGCACAAAAAGCTAATGATTTAATTACAAAAGGGTAACTTATAGTCAAACAATTTACGAAATCAATAAATTCTTTCTTTTTATCAGAACTCGAATCTATTTGGAAGGAAAGCTAAATTATCGTAAATATGAAAATCAATTTTTTTCCAACATAGTTGCTGAAAAAATATTATTCATTTCGGGTACCAATCGACAACAACAACAACAAGAATTTGATGATGATGATAATATTGAAGAAATTGATGAAGCATTTATCAATGAAAGTGAACAGCAACAACCACAAACTTCGGAAAAGTATTCTGCTTAAATACCACTTGATGGATTCAATCAATAAAATTGTAGAATCACCATTTTTTTCTCTATTTAGCAATCTATTTGATAAATTGTTTTAAAATTATCAATTATTATAACCGAATTGAATAAATTACAAAATCGAAATTTGTAAAATAAAAAAATTATTTAAAATTACAAAAGAGGTCGCATCGATCGACTCGTAACACCGTTATCAACAACAATAACAAACGTGTTTTTTTGTTTCATGTTAAAAACAAGATTATCGCGCTTTTTATCATTCGAATGCTCATCATCAAATTTGATTAAAATTTACTGTCAACCATCACTACCACCACCAATCGATAATGCCGGGAGAAATTATTACATTACAAGTTGGACAATGTGGTAACCAAGGTAAATTTTTCGATATGCTCGAATGCGAGTGATTTTTGCTTGTTTTTTGTTAATTTTTTGGATTTATTTTTCAGTTGGTTTTGAATTTTGGAAAAAATTATGTCATGAACATGGTATAAATTGTGATGGTCAGCTAGAATCGTTTGCCGAAAAATCTGGTATCGAACGAAGAGATGTATTTTTTTATGAATCTGATGATAAACATTATATACCAAGATCTATTTTAATGGATCTTGAACCACGTGTTGTAAATAGTATTATGAATAGTAAATATTCAAAACTATTTAATAATGAAAATATTTATATTTCAAAAAATGGTGGTGGTGCCGGTAATATTTGGGCATCCGGTTATTCACAAGGAAAATCATTGAGTGAAGAATTTTTTGAAATTATTGAACGTGAAGCAGAAGGTGCCGATTCATTGGATGGTTTTATTTTATGTCATTCAATTGCTGGTGGTACTGGTTCTGGTATGGGATCATATGTATTGGAAACGATTCAAGATCGTTTCCCAAAGAAAATTATTCAAACATATTCAGTATTTCCAAGTCAAGAAGAAAGTAGTGATGTTGTTGTTGAACCATATAATTCTCTGCTTACATTACGAAGATTGACTGAAAATGCTGATTGTGTTGTCGTTTTGGATAATGCTGCTTTATTTCGTATTGCTGTTGAAAAATTACATGTTGAAAATCCAAATATGTTACAAACAAATTCATTAGTATCAACAATAATGTCCGCTTCGACATCAACATTAAGATATCCATCATTTATGAATAATCGTTTAGCTGAATTAATTGTACCATTAATACCATTTCCACAATTACATTTTCTTATGACTGGTTATACACCATTTACAACTGAAAAAGAAAATCATAGTGAAGTAACATCGGTACGTAAAACAACTGTTATGGATGTTATGCGTCGTTTATTGGATGATAAAAATATGATGGTTTCAACACCAATACAAACAAAAAATGATAATCATTGTTATATATCAATATTGAATATTATACAAGGTGAAGCTGATCCAGTTGAAGTGAATAAAAGTTTAGCTAGAATTCGTGAATCAAAACGTATACCATTTATACAATGGGGTCCGGCTAATATTCAGGTAGCACTTTCACGTAAATCACCATATATACAAACATCGAATAAAGTTTCTGGTTTATTGATTGCTAATCATACTTCGATTGCTCATGTAAGTTAATCACTGAATTTTTCCTGTTGCTTTAACAAAAAACTTTTTTCTTTTCAAATAGCTATTCGAACGAATTGTTTCACAATATGATAAACTACGAAAACGTGGTGCATTTTTGGATCGTTTTAAAAATGAAGAAATTTTCGAACATAATCTAGATGAATTTGATAATTCAAGAGTGGTTGTACAAGAATTAATTGATGAATATAATTCTGCATCGAAATCTAATTATCTTGAATTGGCACTTTATAAATAAATGATTTTTGCATCTCAAATTTTTTTTTTACTTTGATCAAATAATACTGTGCCATTTTTATTTTTGGTTTAAAATTTTGCCATTTTTTCAAAAACAAAATTCAAAAAATTAAAAATTTTTCATTTCGAATGTTGGTAACATCATTTTTGATCATTTCATCAGCAGCGTGCTCCATTCGTTCGATGTTTTTTTTTTTTTTGCTTTTCTTTCGCACATGCATTAATCCATGCTTTTTGCTGCAGATTTTTTTTTGTAATTTTTGATAATTTTGATTTAAAATTTACATCATTATTCATCCCTATCTCTCTCATCTTTACAATAATAATCTAAATCATGTCCAATCTAACTCGATTCAATTTGATCAGATCGATTCTGAATGTAAGTGATCATTTGTTGTTGTTTTTTATGGAGTTTTTTTACTTATTTTGGTTTGAAAATTTCAGCTTAGCTCCAAGGATTTTCTTCGTTCTAGTCAATTTGGAATAATTACCCGTAATTTATCCGATGATGTTTCCGATTCTGAACAAGGTAGTTATGATTAGTCGGTCGTTTTGGTAAAAAATTAACAAACAAATTTTTTTTTTGATTTTTAGCACCAATGTTGGAAAATGTTGATAATTTTAAATGTTTAAATCGTGTAACATTAATGGGACGTGCTACAAATTCAGCAACAATAACTAAATTAGCCAATACAGATATGGCTACATTTACATTGGTTACAAATGAAATTCGACGAAATCGTTCGAATGAATTAATAAAACGATCAGAATTTCATAAAATACAGATATTTATTCCAAGATTAGTACAAAAAGCAGCACAAGTTGTACAAAAAGGGTATGTTAAAAAGATTAATTAATTTTTTTTATAAAATAAAAGTTTTTACAAATTTTTTTATAAATCACAGATCTCGTGTACTTGTTGAAGGAAAAATTGGCTATAATGTTCGTAAAGGTGAACATGGAAATATTCATTTTACCAATATAACTGCAGGTAAGCTTTGTTTGATTCTTCTTTTTCAACGAATAATTTCTTCATTTTTTTTTTTGTTCAAGAAAACGTTATATTCATTACGGGTAATCGTATGAATTGGAATCAAAATGAAAGCGATTCGGAAATAGTCGAAGAACAGGAACAAACTTCGAAAAACTGATTCGAGCATTGCCTTCATTCGTTTAAATTAGTAGAGTATCAACCCATCACATAAAACTAAAAAAATCAATTTTTTTTATTATTAATATCAGTCAGACATTGTTTCATAGATTGATAATCAATATTATCAAATTCGTTTAATAAAGATTCATAGAATTCTAAATTTGATTCAATTTCTTTATAAAAATTTGAAGGATTCTATTTTTTTGGAAGGAAAAACAAGAAAATTAGTTATTCAATCGAATATGATGATTATTAATATTACCGTTTGATCGACATCTTGTAATTTATATGATTTATAAATATAATCTTTATAATATGGTCCTAATAATTGTATTGATTGACAATATGCAAATGCACCATCGATAATCATTTTTTGATAACCAATAAAAATATCAAATTGATTTCGTTTCAATGAATCACCGACTAAATCTTGAATAAACGATAATGATTGTTGATTCATTCGAATTCGAAATGGAATACTTGGATATATTCGACAAAACATTGCCCATAATGAATATAGGACATAGAATGCAAATATTCGTGATTCCAGTGAATTTGTTGATGATATTTTTGCCAAAACAAATTCAGTTGTTTCATCAAAATATTCACGTATGAATTTGGAATCTTGTTTCTGTATTATCCATACGATCAGATGAGCAAATTTAAATTTTTTAAAATATTTTAAAAATTCATCAAATGAAAAACTATAATATATTTCGGAATTTTGTTGTTGTTGTTGTTGTTTTGTTTCGGATTCATCATCATCATCACCAATATCATCATCATCAATAGTTTCTGGTACAATAATCGATGTTTTCTCTTTGAATTGATCGAAAAATCTTTCATATTCAATTTTGAATTTATCCATTTCGTCGTTATCATCAGCAAGCAAAACAACAACAACAAAAACATGCCAAAAATCGAATCTTTGAATCACAATTTTTTCCCAGCAGCAGCGCCATCATGCGGCCGTTATATAGCCAAACGAAAATAAAAATATCCGTTGAAAAAAAGAATCCCAAAAAAAAGAAGAAAAAAAATCCCAATTGCCCATGAGCTAATGAACTTGGCTACAACCGACGAAAGACGCGCGCAACTTATATAATTGGAAATTTTTTTTTTCATTTTTTTTTTCGGTTATATACATCATCATCATTATCTATCTTTGCTGGGTCTTTTTTCTTTGGTTAGTTTGGCTCCTTTTTTTTCTTCTTCTAAACTTAACTGAAAGTAGCATCATTTTTTTTTCTTCTCTGATCATCATCATCATTTGTTTATGTGTCTCCCGTTTTACTCTTTTTTCTGTGTGTGTTTTTCCATCGTTTTTTGCTTCATTTGGAAGAAGAATAATTAGTCAAAAAAATCAGTTTTCGATTTGTTTTTCGAATGATTATTGAATATCAATAATATATATGGCTACAAATATGGATTCTGGAGTATCTTGTTTAGAATTAGCATTGGAAGGTGAACGTTTATGTAAAATTGGTGATTTTAATGGTGGTGTTGCATTTTTTGAAGCGGCCGTTAAATGTGGAACAAATGATATGAAAACATTATCAGCTATTTATTCACAATTAGGTAATGCCTATTTTTATCTAGGTAATTATCCTAAAGCAATGGAATATCATAAATTGGATTTATCGGTTGCCAAGTAAGTTGATATAGTGTGCTTAATAATAACCAAAAGCGAATCTTTATCTAATTTTTCATCAAAAATCAAAAATTCTAGATCAATAAATGATCGAATTGGTGAAGCAAAAGCAAGCGGTAATCTAGGTAATACATTGAAAATGATGAATCAATATGATTCGGCCGTATCGTATTGTAAAAAACATCTTGATATTGCACGTGAATTGAATGATAAGGTAAGTGAAATCTTGAATGATAAGGTAAAGGTAAGTGAAATTTCATTTTCTTGATTAATTTTTGCTTGTTTTAACTCGATCAAAAAAAAAAAAATAGGTTGGCGAAGGACGTGCACTTTATAATTTGGGAAATATTTATCATACAAAAGCTAAAAATCTTGGTCATCTTAGTAATCATGATCCAGGGAATTTTCCACAAGATGTTGAACAATGTTTAGAAATGGCTATTAAATATTACAAGTATGTTCTTCTTTTGGCCATTGATTTCCCCATTAATAATATTGATTTTTTTTCACATTAAATAGAGAAAATTTAGAATTAATGATCAATTTGGGTGATCATTCAGCACAAGGACGAACATATGGAAATCTTGGTAATACATATTATTTATTGGGAAATTTTTCACAAGCAGTCGAATATCATCAAAAGGTTTGTTTGTTTGTTTGAAGTGAAATCGAATAATGTTGGAAAATTTGTTTGTTTTGTTTTCATTTTCATATTTTAAAGCGATTAGAAATTGCTGTCCAATTTAAAGATCGAGCAGCTGAACGAAGAGCACATTGTAATTTGGGTAATGCTCATATATTTCTTGGTGAATTTGAAAAAGCTATTGAAAATTATAAACAAACATTATTATTGGCTGAAAAATTACAAGATCAATTGATTGAAGCACAAGCATGTTATAGTTTAGGTAATACATATGTTTTGCTTAGAAATTTCGATCTGGCTATTGAATATTATCAAAGACATTTAGCTATTGCTAAAAAAATTAATGATCGTATTGGTGAAGGTAGAGCATATTGGAGTTTAAGTAATGCAATGCAAGCAATTGGTAATCATCAAAAAGCAATGGAATATGTACAAAAACATTTAGAAATTTCAAAAGAAATTGGTGATTTAACCGGACAGGAAAATGCTGAAATTAGTATTAGTAAACTACGACAAAAACTTAATACAGAATTGATTACAAATGAACGAGTAAAAAATATAATGCGACCAAAACGTATTAGTATGAATAAATTGGAATTATTGAATCTTACACCGGACCAACAACGTCATTGTAAAAATGTTGATGAAACATGTTCAACAACATTGAAAAATCACGATCGAACACGTGCAGCAAGTTTTGAATGTGTTACCAAAGGTAATGAAGATTTTTTTGAATTATTATCCAAATTTCAAAGTAAACGTATGGATGATCAACGTTGTTCAATTGAAATTATGTCCAATAATAATAAAGAAAATATTCCACAAAAAACTGTTAGTTTTTTAGGTGAAACTAATAACAATAATGATAATGATAATAATGGAAAAAAGAAATCAAATTATATACGTGGTGATGAAGCAATTTTTGATTTGATTGCCGTTATGCAAGATCGTCGTATGGATGATCAAAGAGCAACATTACCACAACGTTCATCAACTATTGCTAATCATCATTCATCATCAAATGGTCTTCCATCCAATTTAAATAAAATTAATAATCCAAATAATAGTGGTTCACAACAACAACCGAGTAATAATATGACAAAAAAACCAACACAACGACAATATTCATTGAATCAAATTGGTACACGTAATGCATTGGATGATGATTTTTTTGATATGCTCATACGATCACAGGCAAATCGTTTAGAAGATCAACGTACTGAAATGCCATCATCATCATCATCAACAACAACAACAACCACCACAGGATTATTAGTGAAAAGATCATCAGAAAAACGTACCATAGATAGACCGATTAGTGTTTCATCCACTCAAAGTAATACACCGGTAAGTTGATATTTTGAATTAAATGTAATCTGATTGCTCATTAATTGAATCTCATTGATCCATAGACATTTGCACCAACAGTACCGGATGAAGATTTTTTCAATCTAATTATGCGTTTTCAATCGAATCGAATTGAAGATCAACGTAGTGTTTTACCAACAACAAGTACTTGATTGGTTCATCGACAATAACCACCAATGTTTTTTTTTTGCCATGAATTTAGTTTGTTTTTTCTTTTGGATTCCTAAAATTTGTAAAAATATTTCCCAAAAAAAACCCCGATGATTATTATTCGATTTTATTTATAAAAGATTCCGATATTGAATCCCCTTATTTAACCTCTTTTTTTTGGAAAAAATGAATAAAATTAACAACTTTTTTTCAACGAAAGAAAAAAACATTCGAAAGATAAAAAGTTTATTTTAATTCAAAAGAAAAAACAGAAACGATAAACAACATTTCATTGAAAAAAAAATTGAATCAAGCATTCGAATAATCATTGCAAAAAAAACACTATTTCAGCAGAAGCAACTCAGGAAAAAATGTTTTTCAGGCGGTGTAAGTGTGGTAATTTAAGAGAGAGAGAGAGAATATTGCTTCAAAACAAAAAACTTTTTCGACAAAGTTTAAAATTCCATTTGATTGATTTGTGCATCAAATTATTATTACTTAAGAAGTTTTTAAGTAAAGATTTTTTTGAGAAATTTCCAACTTTGATTAATTTTACATTCCAATGTTTGGTGGTGGTACAAATGTTTTCGGACCAGCTTCACATCTAGAAATCTGTTGATAACTTTCTAAAAGGCGACGTTTACGTTCTTCACATTCACGTTGTCGTTCACGTAATGCACGTTCATAGGCATCCAATTTTTCTTCAGCAGCAGCAGGAAATTTTGGAGCAAGTGCATCGATAACAGGTGATGCCGGAACTGATGGTGCTATGAAAATGACAAAGAAGAAGAGAATTTTAAAAATCATTCAAAGAGAAAATTCTTACTTTTTTTAACAATAGGAACACCACCAGACATTTGAAAAGTTCCTACATTCGATGTATTTTTTGGAATTTCATATTGTGAAACTGTTATGAGAAGGAAGACAAAAAATCAAAAATCAATCCGGTTATCCATTATTTCAAGGATAATAATTACCATCAATTTTATTGACAACATCAAAATCAACTTCTTTAACAGTGCCAGCTGGTTGTGTTTTAGCAGCAACATCATAAGCAGCTAAAATACGTTTTTTACGTTCTTCAGCTTCACGTTGTCGTCGTTTGATTGCATCTTCAACCAGATCTACTTTTGGTCCAATTGATAATGGAAATGAACCAGGTGATGTTGGTGTTCGTGGTGTTGTTGGTAAAGCTGATGTTGTTGTTCGTGGTGTTGGTGATGTTGCTGATAAACAAAAATGATACATTCGATTGATTGATTCGGGGGGAGAAAAATTTTATACATACGTTTTGTATCCTGTTTAAGAATATTAGTATCAAGTTTTTTATCACCACCAGCCGGTGCTGAACGTGCCATATTATCATACATAGCCATTGTACGTTGTTTATGTTGTTCGGCTTCTTTCTTTTTCTGTTGTAACATATCTTCACGGGTATTAGTTAATCGGGTAAGTTTTTCATCACGTTCAACTTTTTTAGCTGCTTTTTGTGAACGTAGTTCTTTAATACGATCTCTAATTACTTTTCGATCTTCCGGATCATCAGTTTGATCAAGCTTGATTAATATTAATGGATTAATTTGAAAACTATTAAACAATATTCAAATATACTAACCAAACTTTGTAAAAGATTTTCATCAGTAATTTGATCAAGATCGATTTCTTGTTCAATTTCTTCCATTTTCTCAAACTAAACCGAAAAACTAATTGAAGAAAAAGAAAAAGACTTTAATTTAAAACGAAAAAAAAAATATTTTCACAAAATTACCCTTATTGAATGCTGGCTAAATAGGAAAGAAGATGGTAATTATCAACAACCAACCAACTAAACAAAAACAAACCCGACCAACTCGAATAACTAACCAATTGTAGAATTGGCAATGATATGATCAACGAAGAAATTCTTTAGAATTTCTATTTTTTCATTTTGCCGTTCGCAGTTTTGTTGAGTAGTAGATCATTTATAGTGAACTACGCCCACCACCTTGTTGGCTTTCGAATTTTCATTTTCATTCTCTTGGTTATGTCTATGAAAGGAATTTTCTTTTCTTTCTTTTTTTTTGCCCGAATTAAAATATATCTCTCTAGCCAACTTTTGGCATTTTTTTTTGGTTGGTAATGTTGATGTTGATGATGAAATGATTTTTTTTATTATTAGAATCATGGATATAAGGGTGTTGGTGATGGTAATGTGGAAATAGAAACTCAAAAAAAAAATATATCCGTAAAGAAGAAATGGATGGATGATAATTATTAAGATAATCTTCTTTAAGAAAAATCATATTTCAGGAAAAAAACATTAGCATCATCATCAATGTAATAACATTTTCGACATTGATTAGGATGATTATGATTGGCAAAGTAATTTAATTCGACGATGATTATAATAAAATGATAATAATCCGACTAAATCTACCTAAATAGCAAAGTAAGAATAAGAATTTTTTTTTTCATCATTCGAATTCGAATATATTCATCATGCATGATTAATGTTCATCATCCATAAATCGATCATGTTTCGCGAAATGAATGTTTCAAATTCCGATGAATGGTTTATGATTGAATTTTTTTTTTCGAAAATAGGAAAAAAAAATGTTATAACATGACCGTTATTGGAATGTAAAGACGAAGAAGAAGAATCATCTTCGAAATATTTTTTTTGTTTTGCCTACACCGATTCTCTCCTCATATTTTTTTTCGATGTTTATATTTAAAACAAACAACAAAAGTGCAAAAAAATGTCTATATTGCTCGATATGAACGCAATTTTTCTATTTCCCGCATCAAAAAAAAAAAATTTTCGGTAGGTGTGTGCCATGCCACGAAGCACAACTATTAATATTCAACGAGGGTTATAACCACAAAATCGTTATGTTTGTTAATTTGGTTTTATTTTAGTAAAGTTTTTCAGTTTTTTTTTTTGTTTAATTGGTGCATACACAAATGTCTTTTTGGTGAATGTGTGTGTGTATCAAAAGGAATGTTTAGTTTTTTTTTATTACATTTGTCAGTCATCGGTTGATTAGATTTATTTTTAAAAAAATTTTTACATTTTTTTCCAATTAAAACAAAACGATTCATAATTATGTTATCGTTTTGTTTTCAATTTCAGTTTCAATTCAATGGAAGATTCATGTAGATGATGATGAAGGTGATATAGATGATGATGGTGATGATACTGAAGATGATGGCGAGGATGATGACGAAGACGATGATGTTGTTGATGATGATAAGGTTGTTGATGATGATGATGAGATCAGACAAAGATCGGACGAAGTAATTTCATCACTTGTCATTTGTTTTTCAACATTTTTACTTTCGACATTTTTCTTTTTATCCTGTATTTTTATTTTGGTTGCGAATTCTTTTTTTGTCGTTGATGATGATATGATCTGATGATGATGACAGATACAATCACATGGAGAAACTAATAATGGTTGATCTTCACCAATCAATTCTACCATTGTTGAATTTTTCTTCGATCGATCACTTTGTTCGATCATTGATTCATCTTCGCTGGTCATCTTGATTTTCAAAAGAAAAGGATAATTAATTTTTCAATCCAAAACAAAAAAAAAATCGAAAATTACCTCGAGACAAATATTCGTTTCACTATCGATTGTTGTTGCTGTTGTCAATGATACAAGATTGTTGGTTGTCATTGTAATTGTCGGACTAGTTAACGGTGTAGTTGTTGTTGTTGTTGTTGCACAACTGCAAGTACATTCACTATTCATTGATTGATTTTTCATCTTTGATTTTTTGAAATTAATTTTCGGTTCGAAATGATCATTACGAAATATATCATCACCATCAACCATATCTAAATTTTTCAATGGAGTTATTGGTGTTAAATTTCCGGGTGATGATGCTTTAAGATCATCATCATTATCATTATTCGTTAGATCCGTAAAAGAATTGAAGAAAAATTGTTGTGGAGTTAGGCTAGGAAAACAACTTTTAGCACGTTTACGCAGAATTTTTGGACTTTTCAATCCTTGTTCACAAAATTGTAGCCATATAAATGGATTACTTTTACGGCTGTATCTGGAAGATTTTGTAATGTCTACTAAGAATCAAGGAGAGATATTAATCAGAGAAAGTCAATTTTTTGATTCAAAAAAAGTTACCTGGTAAAATTATTTTTAATTTCGATGAATCATCGGTTTTCATTTCAATTTCATTATTATTTTTAATGGAAAATTTATCCAAATAAGCTTCAAATTTTTCAATATTTGTTACAGGTACAATACTATGTGGTCTTTCAATCGATAGTGTTGGTAAATTTTTACTTTGAAAATTTTCTTCCAAATTTTTTCCAAATGATGGACGTCTGTTGTTGTGGCTAGTATCATTAAATCCTTCAATTTTATAATCATCATTTGAATGATGAAATTTTCTATTTAAATCAAGTTCATCATTTTTTACAAGCATTTCAAGCTCATAACTATCATAACTTGATTCTAATTTCAAATGATTATCGTTATTATTGATTTGTTTATCATCATCATCATTATTATCTTCATAATCGGCAATCATATCCATATCGGTTGATTCATTATTATTGTTGTTAGCGACATGATCATTTTCGCAACAAATTTCACATTCTGAACATTCGGTTTGGTCATCTGTAGTATTCGTTTCATGGCAGAATGGTGGTAGTTTATCATCATTGTGTTGACATAATGAACATAAAGAATCACAATCACTTTCCTGTGATGGTTGTTGTTTGGTGATTGGAAGCTCTGTTTTGGATTCTGGAATTGAAGTAGATCCTTCTGGATTTTCATGAATATAAACAATTGTATTATTTGAAGTTGTTGTTGTTATTGAAAATAAATCATCAATATTTGAATGATTGGTTGGTGTTAATTGTATGCCACAATCAATTATAACAGGTGGTGATGGTGTTTTTCTTCTTGAATCAATCACAGTCATTGGTGTTAATTCACACTGTTGTTGTTGTTTATTATCATCTTTAAATGAAAATTTAAATGATAATAAACTAAATTTTCTTTCTTTTGTTGGAATAATTGTTGGTGATTTTCTACCGAAAAAAATATCCGTCCATGATCCTTTACGTTGGTTGGCTGTTTCAAAAAAAAATTTTGAATTTTTAGAATTTCGATCGGACAGCAGCAAATTTTGATGATAACAACATACCTTTAGGCAATTTTGGACTAAGTGAACTTGCACCATCATCATTGATAATGGATGCTGCTGCTGAATGAATTCGATCACCACCACTACCATCATCATCATGATCGGTTATCAATACGGTTATCTGTGATGAAGATTGTAATGTTTGCTGTCCGGATGATGATGATTCTGGTCGTTGTTGTTGTTGATGTTTTTCTTCATTATCATCATCATCTGATGAATGGGAAGTAGAACTATTCTGTTCATCGGTTGGTAAATCTTCAAACGATGCTAACGGTGCTGAACGTAATGATAATAATTTTTTACATTTTTCTAATTTTTCTTGTTGTTTATCATCACTATGGTTATTTAACACTGTGGTCATAATCAATTAATTATTGCTTGTTTTTTCAACATTCCCCAGGGGAAACAAAACAAAAAAAAACTTTGAGTACTTTTTTTATCGATTAATTGAAAACTTTTTCTTAATAATAAGATCATTATTTTCTTCTTCTTGTTTTCGTCTATATATTTTCTGTTTTTTTTATTTATGAAATAAACTAAATGGACGCATGAATATTGGCCAGAATTTGTCCAAAAAAAAAAAAAAAAAAATCGAATCTTTAAACAATCGGCTAAAATCCCCATCTATCGCCCAGAATCAGATTCAAGTCTTTTATAAATATTTTTCAAAAATGTTTGCTTTTTTTTTCTTTTTTTTTTTTTTTATAAAAAAAACAAAAAGGACCCATGAATATTGGCCAAAATTTTTCCAAAAAAAAAAAAAAAAAATCGAATCTTTAAACAATCGGCTAAAATCGCCATCTATCGACCAGAATCAGATTCAAGTCTTTTATAAATATTTTTCAAAAATGTTTGCTTTTTTTTTGTTTTTGTTTTTTGCTGGAAAAAAAATGTAGTGACATTTTTTTTATACTGACTTGTAAAACAGGTCAGCCATCAAAAAAAAAAAATCCACTATTAACACACATTTCTGCAGGAAAACTCAAAAAAGAAAAAAAAGGAACTGTTCTTCGAAGAAGATGATGATCTTCAAACATAAACAAACAAACAAGCAAAATTTTGATGATAAAAACTCGGATAACGAATGTAGCTAGCAATGATTATTTTTAAGGTTGAATTTTTGCCATAAGGCAAAATCAAAAATCAAATCAACCCCGAAGCATCGTCACTAAAAAAAAAACTCAAACTTTCTTTTAAACTCAGCAATGAGCTCGCGGTAAAAAAATCTGTTGAATTGATTGATTGTTTGATTGATAATTTGATAATGAATAATCAAAAAATTATAGATTCCTTGTCCATTTTATTTGGTTTATTATTAATATTAACATTGTTTATATCATCATCATCGTCGAATAATCAAAATGTAATCAAAATCGAACAACATGAACAAAATAATGATTTAAATAAAAATGAAATTATACTACCATTGATTAAAAATGAAGTTATAATTCCACTGATTAAAAATAACGATCAGGTAGGTAATTCATTCATTTATAATGAAGATGATGGTTTGTAATTATTTTTACTTTTTTTACAAAAAGATAAAAAAAGAATGGAATATTAGTGATGATGGTACCGTTATACATAATGGTGATCGAATGATTTTAAACAGAAATTATAAAATTTTAATTAATAATTTAGAAAAATGTTCAGATTTACAAAATAATACAATCAATTTTTTAATTATAATATTATCAAGTGTTAAAAATTTTGATCAAAGACAAACAATTCGTGAAACATGGGCATTAGATTTGCTACAACAATTAGGTAATTATAGAGTTATGTTTATGGTCGGTTTGACCGAATCGAATGAAACACAAGTAAGTTAACCCTTAATTATCACCTTCTTTGTTTCTGAATTTTTCTAATCACCACCACTTTTTTTTCTCGATCTAGGAACGATTAAAATTCGAAAGTCTTATCCACGAAGATATTGTTCAGATAAATATCGTTGATAGTTTTTATAATTTAACATATAAATCAATTCATATGCTTTATTGGCATCAAAATTATTGTCCAAATGCCCAATATCTAATCAAAACTGATGATGATATTTATTTTCATATACCGAATGTTATTAAATGGTTAAAAACTATTGGAAATGTTTCCGGAAATCATAGCAATAGTAACCATAACCGTAATAATACAATATTCTGTCACCGGAATATTTCGAGAAAAATCCTACGAAATGCAAATATTAAGGATTTATTTCTTTACTCATCGTTTGGTCGACAAAACAACGATAAACAGCTGATTGAAAGATCAAGGAAAAAATTTCAAAAATATATTGTCGAATATAAACAACTTCCAGGTAAAAAAGTTTTATTCATTTCAAATCAAAAATTAATTTACATAAAAATTAATGTTTTTTGCAAACAGGTAATTTATACCCGGAATATTGTTCCGGTTTTGCATATGCAATAAATAAATTGAATGTTGAAAAATTATTCAAAGCAAGTAAAACAATACCATATATTGGTATTGAAGATGTTTTCATTACTGGATTTTGTCGTGAAAAAATGAATATAACCATAACGGATATTAAACAATTTCGTTTGAATCCAATTGTTCGTCCAATTGAAAGTCGTTGCATATTTGATCAATCCGATAGAATTACAAGTAATGAATTAACGGATAATGATATGAAAATAATGTGGACACATGTTAATACAAAAGGATATTATTGTAAATTTTCTTCCAATATTACACAAAACAAATGAACAAGTTTTTTTTAATTTTTAATAATAAAATTTTTACATGTTTTTTCTGTTGTTTGCGTTATTATTCTTCATTGGTAAATTGAAATATACCATATTCGTTGACATTACTGATCAAATCACAGATAATAGGAGATTCAACCTGTTTATGAAAAGGAATTGATTTGATTTAGGATTTAAAAAACAGCATCAAAAATACTTACACCAAGAATATATTCACAAGTTCGTGGTTCCATCAGATAAATGGCAACCGAATCTGGATTAGATGGATCATAACGGCATCTAAAGGATTATAACGTAGAAATAATTCTTAAAAACAAATTAAAAAAGCTTACTTAAGTTTAACTTCAACCGTTCTTGGTCGTTGTGTTAATTCACAATAATCACCCGATGAATAATAATGCCAAACTTGTTTAGGTGTTTTACCGGGTTTTGGTTTTCTTGATAAATCTTTTTGTATCCATTCAATATGTTTATCAAGATTCCATTTACCTAAATTAATTATCATAAGTTTTTCACCTTTTTCTTCATGAAATTGATTTACTGATTTTCCATAACAAAATTCATATTTCCACCATCCAGATCCCTATTGAATTCAAGAATAAGATTTCATTCAAAATTAACCCTTTTTTTATGGTACATTACCCCAGTCAGACAATATTCTCCTCTTAAAAATTTAGCAATAATATGTGAATGTGAATTTAATAATGAACCATCATAATCATCAGTATCGGCAATAAAATTTATACGAACTTCTTTACCATTATCAATTGTATTAATTAAAATTGTTTTACTTTCTAAAAATGAATCACCAATAATATTATTTTGTTTAGCTTTTAAACGTTTAGTTTTTGTTTCCAATTCAATATTATTAAGTTCAAATCCTTTTGGTATTTTTTCCATCATTTTATCCATTGCATAACAATTGATATTATTTTCTATGGATTTTTTTAACTTTTAAACAGAAAATTAGAATATTACGAGGAAAAAATGAATGAAGGAATACCTTGAATTTAGGCGAAAGACAAAGTAAAGATGATAATACAATAACTTCATATTCACATGTTGTTGTTTCTTTAACTGAATAAAGTTCATGTTTTCCAGCTTCATTACATACATATAAAACACGAGTAAAACGTTTCTTATTGGATAAATCACATAATGTACCACCAGTCATATTAATTTCAATATAAGGTAATTGTATATCTTCAACATTTATAACCGGTAATTTCGCAGATGGATCTCTTTGTTCATATAATTTTTCATATCTACTATAATCATCCATTTCGAATGTACCAAGATAATATTCTTGAATTGAACCCTGAATTTTCAAAAAAAAGTTGGTGTTATTTTAAAATGAACACTAAACTCTTCTGTGTTTTTATCTTACTTTTATACCCGGATCTTCATGAAATTGTCTAATATATTTTCCATGACAAATTTCATATTTCCAATAATTTTCCGGACGATATGAGCAAATTTTTTTCGTAAACAATGGTTTCAACAGTTGATATGGATTTAGATCATCATTTTTTGTTGTATTAGCATTTAGTTTATTCTGTTTACGAATTACGATAAAAAAAAAGATTAACAAAAAAAAAAAAATTTCGAATGTTGAAAATACCTCTGCATGAACATTCGGAATAATACAACGATATTTATGCTGATCTTCATTGGTCAGGATAAGTTCTTCTGCTTTTAGCTAGATTAAAAAAAGTTTAAGAAGACTTTCAAAGTTAACAACAACAAATTTACTTACAGTTTCATTACTATTTTGAAATTCAGAAAAATCCAACCAATTTATACGATATAATGTTGTATCATCAAATGTAAAAAATGATGATTGAAATTTTTGATTATTCAAATTCGAATCCAAATTATTATCATTCGAAATTGTTGTAAATGATTGAATTGAATTATCTTCATTACAATTGATTGTATTACAAGAAAACAATAGTAAACATATTAGGAATGAAAACATTTTTGCAATGTTTTTTCACAAACAAAATCAGATCCAAAAATCGAAAAATTTTTTCTCTTGTTATGAAACGTGTTCCAATTTTATTTTGATTTTTTTATCAAAATTCTTTGGCCAAAAACTCTTGGGCTATCGAAAAATTACATTAACTTTGTCAGTCAGCGCCATCTGTTGATGCAAACATCAGCCAATAGTAATGTTGTGTGTGTGTGTGTGTGTGTGTGTCGAATATCAATATTCTTCTTTTTCATTCCAACAAGAATTACCTAAAATAATTTTTTTTTGTTTACATTTTTGTTTTCTGGAGATAAAAAAGTAACAATGTTACTTTGAAAAATCATTTTTTAAATATGTTTTTCAAAATAATCGTTGTTGTTGTTGTGTTCATCATCAATGTTTTTTGTTCAATGGTGGTATCGGCTTTTCCCGGTCATTCTAAATGGTCATTTACAGTGAATAATGAAGTATGATGATGATTGAAAAGTCTTTTTTTGTGATTAAAATTCTAATGATATTCTTTGATCTGTAATCCGATATAGGGAAATTGCCATTTTTTCAATGCACATAGTGCACTATTTGCCAATTCTACCATACATATGCAAAGTGAGTATTAGTTGGATTTTCATTTTTTCCCGAATTGAAAACATAAAAATCATTTTTGTTTTCTCCATATAACAGTTTCTTGTGATATGCCAATTTCATCAAGGGATCAAAATAAAATCAATGTTGGTCTAGTTGTACGATCATCACCTTGTTTTGAAGAATATTTTGGTTCCGAATATTGGGTGGTATGTTTTGTCTAATGAGTGAAATTCACTGGATAATATCTTTCTCTCTTTTTTGTTGTTGAAAAAAGATGGCCGATTATTTTAGCTGGTATTATCATTGTCCACAATCATTATTTGGTGATTATGGTTATAAAAATGTTACCTATTTCAAAACGGATGAGCTTAAATTTGATTGTAATCATTTGGTTGATTTAAAATCATTAATCGATAATGGAAAATTCCTAACTGAATCGGTTGATTCAACAAATAGTCGTTCATGTCAATCGGATGATAAATTATGTGATAGTTCTTCAACAATTCGACATATTTCCGAATCGGCCAACACACATCAAATTGTATGAAATTTTTTGTTTGAAAATGATGATAGTAATTCTAATTATTCATTCTTCACTTTTAAAAACAATAGAAAAATGGCCATTCAATTACCGTTCCATATGATGGAAATTATTTATTAATACTTTTTATACGTTTTGACAATTCTGATGACGACGATGATCAACAATATCGCTCCAATCTGACCGGTATGTTTTTTTCACTGTTTTGAAAGATTTTTCTAACGTTGTTTCTCTCTCATTGATTAGTTGATATAAATTTTGAATCAAATTCTGGTCAATATCTATCGGCCGTGGATTATCCACTGCTAAAGTTTTATGGTTTCATGTCATGTTTATATTTTATATTTGCTCTAACATGGTTTATTGTTTCATTAATTCGTTGGCAAGAATTGCTAAAAATTCAATTCTTCATTGCTGCAATAATATTTTTAGGAATGGTTGAAAAAGCTATATTTTTTGGTGTTTATCAATCAGTAAATCGGACTGGAATTTTAAATCATAATATTTTCTATTTGGCTGAATTATTTTCCTGTATAAAACGTACATTGGCACGTGTACTTCTCATTATTGTTTCAAGCGGTTTTGAAATCATTCGACCACATCTTGGTTCAAATCGTAATAAAATTATTACAATCGGTTTATTTTATTTTATTTTAGGAACATTTGATTCAACTATAAGAATTTTCAAGGTAAGTTTACCCGAAAAGAGATTACCTTATAATTTCAATATTAATCTTTTTTCATTAATTTTTTAGCCTAAAAATGATTTAACAAATGGAAATCTATTTTCCGAAATACCATTATCATTATTAGATAGTATTATAAGCTGGTGGATATTCAGTAATCTTGTACAGACAACAAAAATACTTCGTCTACGACGTAATTGTATTAAACTTGATCTATTTAATTATCTTACAAATGTACTAGTCTTTTCTGTTCTGGCATCGGTTGCCTTTATGATTTGGCAAATTCATAATGTAATGTTTACCAAAAACAAAATAAAAAATATTTTTTGACTTTTAATTTTTTTTTAATTTTCAGCATAAACTTACATCATGTTTATCAACATGGAAATATTTATGGATCGATGAAGCTTATTGGCATATACTGTTCTCGATAATTTTGGTTGCGATCATGATTTTATGGAGACCTTCGAATAATAATCAACGGTATTTATTTGAAAAACATATATTCAGCTTAATAACACTATTCTAATGATCTATTTCTTTTGAAAAATAGCTATGCATTTACTTCACTTTTAATGGATGAAAGTCAAGAAGAATTGATTAATAAAAATCAATCAAATATTATGATTGAAAATTCAACAAATGGTAATTAGGAATTTTTAAATTTATTGATTTTTGAATTTGAACATTTTTTTCCCTATTTTTGTGCAAAGGAGAAATGAAAATGAGATTTCATAAATCAAGTAATAATCATCATAATGATGAAACCGAAGATATTATTAGCCAAGAAACGGCTGATCATTTAAAATGGATTGAAAATAATATTCAAACAACAACATTGATTGATGCGTACGTTTTTTTTTTGAGTGCAAAAAAAATTGATTTAATTTTCTGTTTGTTTTTTTTCCATTTTTTGAAGGTCTATGCCGTCTCTTATGGATTCGGATGAAGTATTTATCATCATTATTATAGGATTTTCTTATTGAAAACTATAAACTAATTATTTTATCTCTCTTGATTTTTTTCTATAGGAACTAATCAACACCAAGTTTGAAATGAGTAAAATTCAATGAAACAAAAAGATTGATTGCCTGATCAATCATGACTGCTGATCATCAATGGTGGTGTCATATTTTTTTGGATATTTTTGAAAATTTTTTTTTTGTTTTCTAATCATCTTTATCATCATCATAATCATCATCGTAAATAAATATCGTTACTTTTTTGTGTTGATTTGATAATTGATTGATTTGAGTGTGTGATGGATGGATAAAATGTTTTTTCATACTTTTGATTTTGATACATTTTTCTGAATAAGCGTGTTACTCAAGTGCAAGTCGTCGTTTAGTTTCGAAAATCTTTCAAGAAAAAATGTTTGCGAATCGTTTCATCAAAAATTTACAACGAAAATCTGTTGTTGTCACCAAAAATTTATTGTTTCAAAAACAAAATCTATGTACAACATCGACCATCAATAGTCAGGAAAAATTTGATTGGCAAGATCCATTTCGTATCTATGATGAACTAACAAGTGATGAACGTGAAATTAAACAACAAATTCATGATTATTGTACAAAACAGTTAATGCCAAGAATTATACAAGCAAATCGTAATGAACATTTTGATACGAATATTTTAAAAGAAATGGGTGCATTAGGTGCTCTTGGACCAACATTAGAAGGTTATGGTTGTGCAAATGTTTCATCAGTTGCATACGGATTGATTACATATGAAATTGAACGTGTGGATAGTGGTTATCGTTCATCTGTAAGTGTACAATCTTCATTAGTTATGTATCCTATTTATGCATATGGATCGGAAGAACAAAAAGATAAATATTTACCAAAATTAGCTAAAGGAGAACTGATTGGTAAGTTTTTTCAATGTTTTTGAGCAGTTTTGCTGATTGTTTACTTTGGTAGGTTGTTTTGGTCTGACCGAACCAAATCATGGTAGTGATCCAAGTGGAATGGAAACAAATGCAAAATATGATTCATCAACAAAAACATATGTTTTAAACGGTACAAAAACATGGATTACAAATGCACCGGTTGCCGATATATTTATTGTTTGGGCAAAATGTGAAGATGGTAAAATAAGAGGATTTATTCTGGAAAAAGGTATGAAAGGTTTGACGGCACCAAAAATTGAAGGAAAATTTTCCCTACGAGCATCGGCTACCGGTATGATTATGATGGAAGATGTACGAATACCGGAAGAAAATCTATTACCAAAAGTTGAAGGATTAAAAGGACCATTTAATTGTTTAACAAATGCAAGATTTGGAATATCATGGGGTGCTATGGGTGCAGCAACCAGTTGTTTTGAAATAGCAAGAAATTATGTTATAGATCGAAAACAATTTGGTCGTCCATTGGCTAGTAATCAAATTATACAATTAAAATTAGCCGATATGTTAACAGAAATTAATCTATCATTATTATCAAGTTTACATTTAGGTAAACTAAAAGATAAAAATTTATTACAACCAGAAATGGTATCGATTGCTAAACGTAATGCAGCTGGTAAAGCATTAGCAATGGCAAGAATTTGTCGTGATATGTTAGGTGGTAATGGTATATCGGATGAATATCATGTTATTAGACATATGATGAATTTAGAAGCAGTAAATACATATGAAGGTACACATGATATTCATGCATTAATTTTGGGTCGTTCGATTACCGGTATACAAGCTTTTAAATGAATGAAATTATCAATGTTTTGAAATTGTTTTTTGTTTTGAATAAAAAAAATGTTTTTGAAAAATGTTTATGGAAAGTTTTCCGTTTTACACATTCAGTGTGTTTCCAAGAAAGTTTTGCATGTGTGTTCGTTTCGGGAAAAAAAAACTTGAATCATGACCATGAATAAGATTGAAGTTTTTGAAAATTTAACTTTGGAAAAATTCGATTCACTTGTTGAACAGGTAAACATTGTTTGATATTACAGGTAAATTTTTCTTTAATTGGTTTTTCGATTGTTAAACTTGACAGGATCTACCATTCATAATACGTAATGCAAATTTTGGTGATTGTCTTCAAAATTGGACAAATAATGATTATTTTCGAGAGAAAATTTCATCAAACAAACCAGTTTCCGTACATATTTCCAATAGTCCATTATTAGATTTTTTAAGTAAAAATTTTTCCTATTGTGTTTTGGATTTTCGAGAATTTCTTCAACTTTGTTTCGATGAATCGAATGACCGATATTATTATCTACGATCGGTTGGAAATCATAATGTGAAAGAAATAGCAAATTTAACCGAACAATTTCCTGAAATTGCTCAAGATGTTAAATATCCAGAATTTTTAAATTTTTGTAAAAATAATAATTGTCCAGCAAATGATGAATGTTCAAAACGACATTTATTTTCCAGTGTTCTTCGTATATCATCCAAAAATCTATCCATATGGACACATTATGATGTTATGGAAAATATTTTACTACAAATTATTGGTCGTAAAAAAGTTATACTATTTCCACCAAATGATTCGCAATATCTTTATCTAAAAGGTGATAAATCAGAAATAATCGATTTAGAAGCAAAAGATTTATTGGAAAAATTTCCATTATTTTCAAATGCAACCAAATATGAATCAATATTAGAATCGGGTGATTGTTTATTTATACCATCAATGTGGTTTCATAATACAAAAGCTCTTGAATATTCAATTGGTTTGAATTTTTTCTGGAAAAATCCGCAATTAATTTCGCATTATGATCATAATGATATTTATGGTAATAAAGATTTGAAATTGGCAACAAATGCCTATGTTAATGTGGATAAAGCACTACAACATTTAAATAAATTACCTGTTAAATATCGAAAATTTTATTTATCAATGTGTATTTCGAAATTGAATCGTTCATTACAATCAATTTCTTGAAAATTAAAAAATTTTAAAAATTTCAAAAAAAATTTCCGTCAAAAAACGTTGTTTATGAAAGCCGTCTGTCATGCATGTTGAGCTGATATCGAACAGAAACAGAACCGAAAAAAACTAAATTCCGAAATTTTTTGACCCAAAAAAAAGGATTTTTTTTTCTGGTTATAACCAAGATGTATGATCCATATAAAATTCAATCATCGAAATTATTTTTCGATTTTTTTCATGATGGTAAAATTTTTCCAACCGATAAAGTACTGGATTCGGCAATCTATTTGCTTGAAAATGGTTCACCATATCGTGATTTAATATTGGAATTTTTTACAACATTATTTCGTGAATGTTGTCAACAATATTGTTTAATAAATTCATGTTTGAAACAATTGAATGATATAAAACCGAAAAAAATTCAATCAAATATTTTGAAACAATTTAGTGATGCTTTGAATGAAACTACTACCACCACCACTACTTTATCCAATCACCGTATTAATGAAGAATTGATCAAAAGTGAACCAATGGAAATTATTGAAGATTGTCCATTAAGTCCACCAAAAGAACCAATCGGTGATTTTGATAAAGAAGATTTATCATTTGGAAACAGTAGTAATAATAATAATAATATGCAAAATGATCTGCTTGTTGTAATGAATTTGATCGAAAGACAAATGCCTAAAATTACCCGAACACTTTTAAATCTTTTAAAACAAGATCATCTGGAACAAAATCATCAACATGTTCGAATTTCAAATTGGGCATTAACATTGGCTACAAATATCAGTTTGGATAATCATTATTTAATCGATAAATCCGATGAAATTAATTTATCCTTGGTGAAAGCTTTAAATTTTTGGAAACCATGTTCATTTATGCAAATTTTAATACAAATATTATTCGAATCAATTCGAATGATTGAACCATCAACAATGATCAATTTGATTTTGAAATATTCACCAACATCGGATTGGATTTTAGCCAATTTATTAACCGCTATGACTGATGATTGTCTTTTGACACAATATTTAGAGCTGTTAATCAATCATTCATCATCAATTCATATACTTTCTTATGTTTCTGAACATAATCCAAATGCAATTGCAAATTGTTCCAAATCAAATATACCATTTCTATTGAATTTATGTACAAATTCACAACCATTACTTAATCTATTGGCAAAAGATTTGATCAAAAATGTTAATGTAAAAACAATGAATGAATTTGCTGAACAACATCAATTCGATAATGAATTAAATCCATCAAATATATTATATTGTATACTCAATGCACCAAATGCATTTGAATTGTTAAAAATTTCATTCAATTTGATAATGGATTCAAATTCATCGGAGAAATTAATAGAAAAACTTTTAAATCTACTTGAATCAATGGTCAAACAAATACATTTAACAACAATCAATTCATTGTCGAATAATACATTTATTCATTTTCAATCTTTTCATTTATCATCACAACAACAACAACAACAACGAAAAGATACAAATTGTTTGCTAACAATATTACGTAATCATATTGAAGAATTGGTGGATTTTTTTTTCATCACCCAAAATCGACAATTGAAAAAAATTCAAATGAAATTGATAAATTTAACTTGTATAAATTATGGCCGAGAATTTATTGTTGAAGTATTTCATTATTTAATGAATTTACCACAACAACCAACAACGATTAATGTTGGAAGTTATCAAAATCCAAAACTAAATAATCAATTTTTATCATTATTGAATACATTACGTATTGATTTTGGTTATGAAGTTTATGATTGTATAAAAGAAACATTAAATTTACAACAACCAAAAAAATTGGATTTTTGGGCAAATTTAATGATTTTTAATGAATCAAAACCAATTGAATTTGAAATAGCGAATCTTGTTTATTATCTTGATCAACGATTCAATGAACAACAACAAGATGATCATTCAGATATTATACGTATTTATTATATATTACGAATATTGATCAAAGTTTTTGATTATTATGATGAAATGTATTATCAAGAACAATATCGTTTATGTTTAACATTGATTAATATTTATTTTGAATTAATCAACATAATGAATAATGATAATGATGAACAAACATTGGCAATAATATTGGATTGTTTAGTAAATTGTCAAGAATTTTTAAAAAAATTATCCTTAACATTACAATTGAATGAATGGATAATATTACAAACAATATTGGATTATATTCGATTGAAATCAAATTTATTTACAAATTATTATCCAATTGATTCGATGTCGACAATGGCAAACAATGGCCATCATAATAATCAATGGCCAAGTTTATTGAATGAAAATATGAATTGTTATAATTTAAAATTGAAAAAAAATCCACTAATACCATTTTATTCGGCAAAAAAGAAACAACGTTGTTTAAATCGAAATTCTTCATTCAACAAACGATTGATAATTGATTTGATTGATGATTGTATGAATTATTCAGCAATGTTTGCCGATAATTTTACCGATTCATTATCGAATCAATTATTATTACGTGATGCACCTATTTTGGATGAAGATCCAAAAGATGGTCAAGTTCAACATCTACGGGTAAGAAATGTGGAAGTAGTCTTGGTTTTTTTATATAACCGAATTTTTTTTCCTTTATCTATAGATGACATTTGAAACTGATCTACATATTTATCGATTATTTGATCAGAATCCAATTTTATGGAATATTTTACAATTATTAAGTCAAAAAAAAAGTTTAACCAGATGTTTAGTGATAATTCGTTGTATTATAAATGTACTTCGAACGAATTTAGTATCATCAACTTCGAATGAAAATCATTTATTGGATACACAAAGGTATAATAATAATGAGAATAATTTTATGAAAATATTGCTTATGGCTTTTTTCCCCGTTCATTTTACAAAAATAGATTTATATGGACAATGGCCAACGATGAAATATTACCACGAATACCATTTATTTACATACCGGAAGCAATTAATGAACAAATCAAACCATATGAAGTGGCATATGTTTTACATGATATTGCTAAATATATACGTGATAATCAATCGAGAGAAACTATTCAAATACCAAGACCTTATCTTATACGATTACGTTCAATTTTAGCACATAAAAAACCAAATGAAGCTTATTTGAAAATATTTAAAAATCTTTAACAACACAATGTTTAAATGAATGAATGAAAATTGAATTGAAAATTATTTTCGCCATTGAGATTCTTTGTCCGTTAATGGAACATACATGACGCCCATGACACGTTTTGTCTTCACTGTACCATCAGCCAATTTATCAATTTGTTCCAATGATTGATCACCACCACGTGGTCCTACCGGAATAACCAATCTACCACCAGGTTTTAATTGATCGATTAGCTATATGAAAAAAAATCGATAAAAAAATTATCCGAAAAAAGCTATGGAGACATACATCTTGAGGAAGAACCGGTGCAGCCGCTCCAACATGAATCGCATTAAACGGTGCATGTTCGGGACATCCTTTTCTACCATCACCAACTAAATAACAAGACAAAAAAAAAATAAAATAAATTTAATTTTATCATTAAAATTTATCGTTTTTTTCACCTTTAATTACAACTCTTTTCGATGATAATAAATCAGCATTTGCTTTTTTAATATTTTCCAATGATTTTGTAACTAGTTCAGGAATATGTTCAATACCAATAGCTTTACCTTGAGGGCCAACCTTGAAAATGAGAGAGAATCGATTGATTAAATTAATAAATTTTATCAATTCACTTACCATCATTGCCATACATGCAGTAAGATAACCGGAACCCGAACCAACATCTAAAACAGTTTCTCCTTCGACAAGGTGATCTTTCAGCAATTCTAAAGCATATGCATGCTGTGAAGGGAAACATTAATTGTCAAAATTGCAATTGATTTGATTTTTTACCATATGAGGTGCACTGATTGTAGCACCATAACCAATGGACATTGGTGAATCAACATATTTTGAGCTATCGACAAAATTACCACGATCAACCGTTAATAATGCATTTTCGACACGTGAATCCTGTATGATACCATTCTCTATTTTAATCGATATTTTTTCGTTCAAATTGTCATTCGTAAACAAATATTTAAAAAAAATAAAACTTACTTTTTAAATTTTCAACCATTTCTTGATTGGTTTTTCCATGCGATCGCCAAGCCATATTGGTATTGATTAGAAATGATGATGAATAAAATAGCAAAAATGTATACTTTTGGGTAAATTTTTTGATGATAGGATTTCGGTAATCAATTAAACGCATCGGTATAATCAATTTAGACGTATTTTTTGTTAACATTCGAAAGATCAACAAAAAACAAAAAAACAATAATATTATTCACAAGTGCCGCCATCAAGTATCAATCAGAGCAATTGATAATGCGTTCAACAAAAAACTAATCAAAATGGGTTTTTTTGGTCATTTAAAAAAAAAAAAAATAATTATCATTATTTATTCGTCATTGGTTCAACTTTGATACCAGTCAAAATAAAACCACTACAAGCATTCATAACTGCTTCAGGTCTTGTACGATCATTTAAAACTTGATATTTTCTTAGCCATGTTTCGGATATACGTAAAAATGCACATTGATTTTTTATCCTTAAAAAACATTCTTTGAGCGGTTCAATAAATGGTGAAAATACAACAAATGGACGTGAAATAGAAAGAAAACATAAAAGGGTTTCAGTCAATGAACAAAGATCATGATGTTTTGACATTAATAATAATGCATCAAGATTTTGTTCATTTAAAATTGTTTTAGCTTTTTCTTCTTCTTCCTGTAGTTTTACATTTGTTCGGGATTTTTTTCTTAAATTTTCGGAAGAATTATTATTATTCGTTGCTTTTTCCATAAGCAAACAGGCCACTTGATTGAATGAAATACAGGAAAAACATTTTTCCATAACCGACAATGGAAAATTTAATGCATTTACAGCTTGTCGTTGACCAGCATTACAAATATCGGCCATATCCACCTGAACGATTGTACAATTTCCGGATGTTTTTTCAAATATTGATGCACTCAATATACCTAGGTTTGAATCGACAACCAAATATTTTCCACCAGCCATTATATTGCTCAATGTAAGCATCTGAGCTAAACTATCGATCCTAAGATAGCTAAAAGAAGAAGAAGAAACAAAAAAAGTTTGAAATCAGAAAAATGTCAAAAGTTTGTTTGTTAATAGGATTGATATTACTTATTCTTGCTAGGACTTTGTGAATAATACATTTCCATTAAAAGTTTGGCTGTTGGTTTCATAACTGTTACAAGGCAAACATATTTTTGTTGCTTTTTTTGCAGATATTTAACCTGCGAAAAGACATTCTTGTCTTCGAATGTGGCACTATTTTTTACCAATGTTTGAATTACTTGTTGACCACTTTTTTCTTTTTTAATCTTTTCAATATCATCACGTGTTAATTTTTGTGATGAATTATTATCAACTAAAAAACGATTATCTTTTGGTTGATTGATATTATTAATATCATCATTTGAATTTGAATTTTGATTCATTGGATCAAGATAATCAATTAAATTGACCAATTTAAGTGTTTTATCCGACGTTAATTCGAATGTTGATCCATATTTTTGACCGACCAATGAATCGGTTAGGATTTTATGTTTAAAAAAGAAAAAATATCTGCAAGAAAAAAGATAATTTAAAAAAAAAAATTTTTGTTTCAAATTGCAAAATATTCCATACTTTTCTCGTCCTAGTTTGATTAATTTACATGTATTGGATTTGAAACTTTTTCGCATTATTACATAATGTTCAGATTGAATAATATTATTATCGTTGTTATCAATAAGTTGAACATCCATTATTGTTTTGTTTTGTTTTTTTAAATTCAAGATTTGAAACTGAATTTGAAACTCTTTTGACCACGCGTGGTTTTTCTTTCATGTATCAAAAAAAAAAATTGTCTATTTTGAGTATCATGATCCATTCAGGTGCATTCAGAGTACGAATAAAAAAAAATCGAATCTTTTATTTTTAACATTGATTGTCTTTCGTTATTTGGATTATGAATTATCAACAACAATAAAAAATGTCTACCAATTGTCCTGGAATTTATTGTGGCCGTATTTGGATCAATGATTCTTGGAGCAATTGTATGGTAAGTTTTATAAACATTTTCATGATTATATTCACACTAATAATAATAATGGTCCTCGAAAAAACAAGGCATGTCCTCGTGGATTTCGTTCAAACAACGATCACATTTGTGAACAATGTAACAATGATCTACAGCTTTATGATTGGATTTACTTATCTTTTATGGTCGTAATATTCGTATTGATTCAGTTGTATTTTGTTGACAAGAGTACCAGATCGGATAAGCTGAATTTTGTTTCAATGACATTTTTCACTGTCATTTTTGGTGAAACAATATTGGCATCTATTCTTTCGGTACTTTTGTCCAATGATTGGAAATTAGAATTGAAAACTTGTGGTGTCAAATCGTTTTCCGATTGGTATACACTTTTCTATAATCCATCATTGAATGAACATTTTCATTGCACCAATGAAGCTGTATATCCACTATATTCAATCGTATTCCTATTTTATCTGATCTCATTGGGATTTGTATTGATTCGTCATTTTTATCTTCGTATAGTTAGTTGTATTATATACTTATTAACATCATCTAGCCAAATCAAAAATCTTTATTCGAAAAATTTCCTAACTAAAAACATTTATTATGTTTTGTATTCGATCCCGGCATTAATGTTCACACATGCCATGTTTGCTGGTGTTATTTGTAAGTCGAACAAAAAAATTTCCATCTCATCCATCAACTAATGTTCATTTTCATTTTCTTTTCAATCATCATCTTTTAGATTATATTTTTCCATATTTATTAATCATCGGTTCGGTTATATCTATTGCAATTCATTTTTCCTATCACATTGATCAAAGCTATCAGTATCTATTTCATGCAATGTTTCATTTTCGAAATTTAATCATTGTTTTGTGTCATTGGTCATTGCATATATTCGGTATTGTATCGATAACCGAAATGAAGAGCAATTATGATTATCTATTATTGTTATTGGTACCATTTCCAACATTATTCTATATATTTACATCAAAATTTAGTGATCCATCAAAAATTTGATTTTTGTTGTTTTCGTTTTAAAGATTTTATTTATTTAAAAAAGTTGTTGATTTTTCATTCAATTCATTTCATACGTAAAATCGAATTTTGCTTTCCAAATCATATTCAAGAAGTTCATTTTTGTAAATCTCCAATCTCTGCATGAAATGAAAAATAATTAGAAATGTTAATTAGAAATTTCGAAAAAAGAAAAATAAAAACATACATTTTCAATAACTTTATCCAAATCTTGACATTGTTTTTCATGAATTTTTTTAATTTTTTCACGTTCTTTATTCTGCCTGACGGCTGCCGCTTTTCTTTCTTCAATAAATTTTTTCGTATTATTACTATTTTTTTCTTTTAATCTTCTTTCTTTTTCTGCTTTATTTCTTAATGTTTTATCATTAGCAACTTCTTTAGCTGTTTCAACGGAAATTTTTGCCTGTTTAGCTTTCATTTCTTTACTTTCTTTTTCAAATAATGTTTCTAAATGTTTAACTTGTAAACTTTGTAATTGTTGAAATAATTTCTTTAAGATTTTACTTTCATTTATTATTTGTGTTTTATATAATTCCCATTCTTCATGATGATGACGATCATTCATTTCAGACCATTGTTTTATCTGTTGTCTAACTGTTTCCATTATTGTCGGATCTTTACTTAGTTCATCATAATCCGTTGAATTTTTAACTGTTTTCATTAATTTTTCAATTGCTAAACATTGATTTTTTTGTATTTGTGTTCGTTCTTTTTGTTGTTTTTTCTTCAAATGATCCATTTCTTTACTATGTTTTCGTACAATACGAACATAGAATTTATCCTCTTTTACCATATCGATAGTAATATTATCAATTTTATATTCTTCACGACGAATTTCATCATCACGTTGTTGTTTAATCAATGCTAAATTTTGTATATCAGTTTCTTCAATACCCATTGCTTTCATTTGTGCAATACGTTTTTCTTGTGCCGAAAGAAATGCCCGTGGATCGGATAGGGCATCCATTAGATCACCTAATCCATCCGGTACATAGATTTTAAGCTCAATACAAATAAACAACATTGGTAATGACATTGGAAAATTTCCTTCAGTACGTAATGAAATATGTCGATAACCTGCTTGTAAACCATCTAATGGTAGAATTCGTTGACCAAGCATTTTACCATTTTCATCATAAACAGCTATTCGTAGTACAGCTAAATCCGGCAGAACAACTTTACGAAATACAAATGATTCTTCATTATAAACAGGATTAAGACCATTAGCCGGAACCATTCTTGTACGAAATTCTTTACGAATTGTATCGGTTGGTAAACCATACATATCAACTTCAACATATGTACCGACTTTTTTATCGGATAAAAATTGCCCGCTAATAACACGTACTGAACATTGTGCAGCAATAACACCATCAACAGGTGATTCAGCAAATGGATCAAATATACGATCTTTTCTACGCATAAAATCCGGTTTAAGTAGATAACCACAACCACCATTATATTCAAATTTTCCTTGATTCAATTGCATAGGTAAATCAGGTGTTTGAAAATTTAGCGCGACCATTTGACAACCAGCATTCCAGAAAACTTGTGGTAGAAAATTACTTGAATCCGCTCGTGTTCCTTTTGGATATATTCGGCTTAATTGTCGTTTATTATAATTAACAAATTCAATTGCTTGTGTTTTAAGATAACCTAATGCAGTATTTTCAGCAAATGAAGACATATGAAAACTATTTAAAACAACAAAGGGTTAAAATTAATTGATAATCATCTGTTTTCCAAAAAAATCAATTACCATATTTCTCTTTCTTCAGCCACATCGAATCCTTGAAATTTTATCGGTTGTGCATAATTAACTAATGATGATAAATATGGATGAATATGTTGTGTTGCACCGGTATAACGATAATTTGCCATTGCTATTTGTTCGGGTTCAGCATATTCTTGTGATATGAATTTTTTGTCTAAAGCTTTTTTTGTGATAATGAGCAAAATTGTTAATAAAAAACATTCCAAAAATAAATAAAATATCTACCAATATCTTCAGCCGTTATAATTGCTGATGGATCTTCATTTTCTTCATCTTCATCCTGTGCCAGTTGTCCTTTTTTCCAAAGTTCCAATTCAACTTTTTCATCTTCCGGATTTAGACGTTTATTTTTTATAACAATTTTATATTTTAAATCATTTGGACTTGGTAATGGTGTTTTAGGTTCTAATGGATAATTCGATAATGGTTCTCTTAGCAAAAGATCGCCCAATATTTCATCACAATATTTAGCTAATTTATATTGTTGTTTTTTGCTATCAACAGACAATGAAAAAATGAAATTAAAATTGATGAAAGTTCCAATAATTACAAACACTTACCTGCAATGATTTTCAAATGATAATATTAATGGATATGGTGATGTAACAAATGCACAATCACGTATAGCATAAATAACATCTTTAAATAGAATATCTGTACACATTGCTTTACCATGTGTAATAATTGGTTCTTGATCTTCACCTTTACCATCCCAACAATCTAATTCAACACAACGACAACCAGTTAATAAAACTTGCCGATACATTTCTACTGATGATTTTCCACCAAATTGTCTACCAGTTAAATATGTATTATGACTTGAATTACAATAATAATGTGATAATGATTGATCCATATCCATATAAACATCCAAACGATCCAAAAATACCGGTGCATTTTCATTTGACATTAAATAACGTATTAAACCATCTTGTGAAAGTAAACGTTTTTTTATTAAATCTGGATTTGTTTCATATGTTGCCATAATTTCTAAAGCACGTTTTTCATCATAAAATGGATATAGTATTTCATTCAATCGTGGATCTCGTTGTCGCTAAAATATTGTTGAAAAAAAATGGTTAATATTTTTTTCGATTAACCCATTCCTTCCTCTCACTCGAGTAATTTACCTCGTTAAGAAATTCAATCAATTGTTTTGCATCAATAAAATTGGATTTTCCTTGCGTTCTAAATTATCAAATCAATTGAGAAAAAGTTATTAAACCAGTTGGATTTTTACAAATTACTAACATTGAATGAAATAATTCTTCAATATCACTACGTGGACAAATTTTATGATAAAGTTGATAGAATTTTTCAAATGTCCAATCATCCGGATGAATTGTATCATTCTGATTTTTGAATGAAGAAAAACAATGTAACTGATTTGAAAAAATTGATTGATTTTGTTACCTTTTCGAATGGTAAATTTACTTCTTTCATACATTGATAAACATATTTTTCCGTTTTTCCTGATGCAAAAGTTTTCGCCACACTGTGGTAAGGAAATTGAATTTAATGAATTTTTAGATTTTGGAGAAAACATTTCGAACCATTTGTTTACCTTTTGACCGGTATATCTCCATTGGCATCGCTTAAAAACCCTAATTTCATCCAGCTTTTTTAACGAGAGAGAAAATTTCAATTAATTTCAGGTAAAAATTAGGTAAAATTATAATTACTGTTTTTTCAAACAAATCATCGGACAAACATTATTGGCTTTATTATTATTTGTTATTGATCGTAATCCTAATTGCCAAATCTTCAAAGAGAAATTTTTTTTTTTTTTTGATTAATAATTTGATAAACCAATGAAAAAGTCAAAATATGGAAATTATATTTACTTTGGCTATTTCGGGATTAGGACCAACAATGTGCGTATAGTTTATGTTGACCATATCAGTTCCACTGCAAATTGTTAATGAAATTTCTTCAAGATTATGTTTATAACGATTTTGTAATTCGGCTAATAATCTTATGTCCTAGATAATCGATAGATAAGATTAATTGACTGGGCAATTCTTGTTGTAAAAAGAATACAAAAAAATTTACCTTTGGAACACCACCGGCACGAATATCATTCACTTGACACAATTCTAATACTTGTCCTTCCTAAATGATTCGAATCAAATTCAAAATATGATTTGGTTATTCAATTTTTTTTTCTTCAAAAAATTTACTTTTCCTTCCGATTTCCAATAGATAAAAAATCCGAATTTATCCACCCGTACCAATGCATCTTGTTCGTAAATTATTTCACCTTTTTCCTTAATTCAAATCAAATTAAATCGTTTTCAATCAATCAATCAAATCAAATATTTACTTTTGATCCGATAAATACTTCTTCCCAAACATCAAATGTATTACCATCGAATAATTCATTCGGTACCGGTCGACACCAATTAAATTCATATGCTTTGGTCATTTTTCGAAATGATTTTTCATTCAAAACAAAAATTGTTTGATGATGATGATCGAATCGACGAATGTCATCGATAAAAACATTGTCAAACACCAAACAAACAACAACAACAATCTACAGGCTACTATTCTATAGATCCAATATTGATCGAAACCGAACAACAACAACTTTCTATACACACGAAAAAAAACTGTTGTTGGTAGTTGTAGAAATTTTTTTTGGAAAATCATATAGAATCCAATGATGACAATCTGGAATAAATTCAAAACAACCACCGACCACCACCACCACCACCATCATCATGATCAACAACAACCAAACATCGAGCTATTTGGAAACGAATATAGAATCCAGGAAGATGATGATGATTGAAGCAAGCAAACAAACAAACAAACAACATTCGAATGTTTCGTCATTAAACATTCGAATCTCTCTCTCTCTCGCTATATAATTGTAAAAATACACACAATCTCTGTTTATCCTTCAAATCAATGGTGGATGGATACATATTATTACATATGTATGATACTGCTATAGGATATTCTCAATGTTTTCCTTGAATACACTTGTAATCAATGTAACGGAATGCTGAAAAAGGTATGCCCAAATTTTATTTTTTCTCATCAAAGTTTGTTTTTCCAATTAAAAAACATTCACTTGGATGACATCATTCGTATTATACACTTATGCACATCTCTCGGACAGAAAAAAAGATTTTATTTTCAATTTTGAAAAAAAAATTCACAATTAAATAATAATAATCATCGACAATATTGGACAAAATTATTAATAACGAATTACATTCATTATTGCAAAGATTTTTGTTTTTTAAGAAAATGGATGAGAAAAAAACAAGGATGATCAAATACAAGGGTCGAAATTAGATTCCCACAAAAAAAAATCGAATCTGTTCAGGTTGTGCGGTTTGATGTTTGGTTTGATTTGATTGATTGAAATGAGATTTTAAATGATACAGATGATGATGAATTGATTGATTGATTGAAATTTGAATCCAAAAAACAACAACCAAAAGAAAAAAATCAATCAGGAATGTCTTGATTCGAAGTGTATTCTTCAATCGAACGTTTTGAAAATCGAATGTTTGTTTTTTTACAATAATGATTCCAAAAAAAAAAAAATATTTCCCTTCAATTCTAATGAAGAATATTTTCATTTATTTTTAACAAAGAAATATCACAAAAGAATGTTGTTGTTGTTGTTGTTGTTGAATGATGCGTAACTAAAAAAAAAAATCAATTTGAAAAACAAAAATTGATGTCAAATATATAAAACACACACAGACACACACACAAAAAAAACACACCAAACAAAAACATATCGCTGAAAATGACAATTAAATCATCAACAACAAAAAAACGACGATGATGATGATGAAAATGATGAAAAAAATAATATTATTATTACAACAGAATCGCCATAATTATTATTCGACAATGATATCTTTGAAATTAAATTAATGATAATGTTGTTGATGATGGAATTGTTTTGTTTTGGGTAGATCACAACTGGAATGGACATAATCATCAACAACAACAAAATTGGAATTTGATTTTTTTGGAAATTAATTTCAGCCGCTAATTTCATTGTTTGGTCTGTTTATGTGATTCGAACAAAGTGAAAGGAAGAAATATTGAGCCAGAAAAAACAAAACAAAGTCTGATGATTGCCGGTGATGATTTTGTACACTCAAAAAAATGAAAAATTCAAATTTGGATTTGAACAAATTTGGCAGTTTGAGAGAATAATTTTCATCAAAATGCAGTAAACAAACTTGACGCTTGAATGAAATGGAAAAAATTTGTTTTTGTTGACAATTCGATTCGAATTCATTCTAAACCAAACATTTTGATAAAAAAAGATTCACCACATTCATTAAATTTTTGTTTCATATGTTCAGATTTTTGTTCACATTCTTGTTGTTTTTCATCTAATAAATGTTTTTTTTCTTCTTGCAATTTTCTTTCTTGTTTTTTATGTTTTTCTAATAGTTCAATTTTTCGTTTATCCAATAACAGTTGTAATCGTTGTCGTTCTTGTACTGCTTGATCAATTAATTTTTGTTGTAATTCACGTTTTATTCTTGCCAATTCATTTTTATCTTTATGACTTTTACTCAATACGGTTAATTCTTCTTTATTTTGCCCATCTAAACGTTTCATTAATGATTGTACTTCTTTATCATGTAATGAATTTAGATATTGTTTTTGTTGATTTTGTGATTCTTCCATTGCTTTATCCAATGCAGCACATAACTATAACATCATCAAAAAACCAAACAAACAAACAAACCAAAATTGTCATTAGCAAATCAATTTTGTTCGATAAACACTTTTTCATGAAACCCTTACCTGTTCATATCTATTTTCAAATGCTTTAAATTCTTCTTTATATTGTTCCAGAAATGAATTTAAAATATTGATTGAAAATGTTCGTTGAAGTTCTTTCATCTATGTATAATATGGATGATATGCGTAATTAGTCAAATTTTTTCCCATTGAAAACATCAAGTGTTAATAATGAAAAACAACTTACTTTAATTTTCCATTCAGTTTCAGATATTTTATTAACACTATCACCACTGCTTGATGTTTGTTTCCTGGAACTAATCAATAAACAAAAAAAAAGTTTTTGGAATTTTTTTCGGGAGAAAAAAAATCGTTAATATTCGCTCTAATGGTTAAATAAAAGCAAACAAAACAAGAAAACTTACCCAATTTTTTTAACACTTTTCGATATATTATTCAATTCAAACTTTTTACTTTTATCCGAATTATTTGTTTGTTGAAATTTTTCATCTTTTTCTTGTAAAAAATTTTCCTTCATTTTTTCTCTTAATTTTTCATATTTTTTCTGTAATGTTTGTAAATCACGATCAATTTTTCCGAAAATTTTCTGTATATTTTTTGATTTTTTTAATGTTTCAATTGATTCGGCATCCAAACAGGCATTCGTTGATTCTAATGATGAACTTAATTTTTCCATATTTAAATCATCATGAAATTTCATTTTACGATTCAATGTATCCTGACGGATTAATGACATTTTATGTGTTGGTGAACAAACTACTTTTGTTGCTGTTGTCATTGTCATTGACATTGTTGTCATTGTTGATGATTGTTGTTGTTGTTGTTGTTGTTTTGTACCACCATTCAATTCAATCATTTTATTCAATTGATCATTTTTCATCATTAATGTTGTTGAATGTAATGATATTTCTGCTTGTGATAATTGCCTATTAATCATACCAATATGATGATGACTACGTGTTATAATTTCTTCACCACTTATTGATCTTGAATCGGAATAAGATAAATTTGGTTTATTTGATGTTTGATAATCTGTTGTTGATTGTTGTTTATCCAATGATTCTTGATCACCAAAACCAGCTTGAGCAGCAGCTGAAACATCATCACCTTCATCAATCAATGCTAATAATTGTTTTTCATGTTTTTCAACCATTGATTGATAAGCAATAGGATTAGCCAATGCATCAGCTAAATCGGAAAAACCTTCTGGTATATAATCTTTAACAGTTATATGTACGAACAATGTTGGTAATGACAATGGTTGCATTGATTCACTACGCAGTGAAATATGACGATAACCCGGTCTTAATCCGACAAATGGTAAAATTCTTGTACCTAAAAATTTTCCATTCTCTTCAAATGCAGCAATTCTTAAACAAGCTAAATCCGGTAATACTACTTTTTTAAATACAAATGGTTCTTCATCATAAATCGGATTCAGCGCATTATTCGGAACGATTTTTGTACGTTTTCGCCGGACGGTATCAGCAGGTAAACCATACATATCAACTTCAACATAAGTTCCAACACGTTTATCCGATAAAAATTGACCCGAAATAATCTATAATGATGAAAATAAAGTAAAATCATTTTCTCCAAAAATCATTAAAAAAACATACTTTTATCGAAACAGTTCCAGCAATAATACCATCCACAGTAGATTCGGTAAATGGATCAAATCTTCGATCTTGTCTACGCATAAAATCCGGTTTCAATAGATAACCATTACGGCCATTATATTCAAAAATGCCTAAATTTAATTGCATTCCCAGATCTAAACACAAGCAAGCAAACAAACATAGACAATTGATTATTCAATTTCTTTGGCCATAAAATGGAATTCATTATTTCATTATTTCAAAGAAAAATACTTACCTAAAGTTTGAAAATTCAATGCAACCATTTGACAGCCACTATTCCAAAAAACTTGAGGTAAAAAATTACTTGAATTTACTCTTGTTCCTCTGGGATAAATTCGACTTAGTTGTCGTTTATTATAGCTATTATATAGAGATTTTTATATATTGACAAAAACGAAAAAAGAAAACAGAAAAATTCATTAAAAACAACCGTTTGGTTGTTACCAATCGATCGATCGATCGATCGAAAATCAATTAAAAATAAATAATAATTAATTAATTAGCTTACTTGACAAAATCGACTGGTTGTTCTTTTAATAAACTTGTACTTTGTGTTTCATCGAATGATGATACTTCAAAGCTTCTGTTTCGTTCTATTTAAAATAAAAAACATTTATTTTTTTCTCAAAAAGAAACTACTAAATAAATAACTTACTTTCAGCCATATCAAATGCACGAAATTGTATTGGTTGAACATAGATAACTAATTCAGACATTTCTGAACGATAAGTATATGGTGAATCTGATGTTGATAATTCTTCTTTTGCCTGTACAGGAAGATCAGCTGAAATTGATTGTTCTTCATTCATTAAAACATCATCATCATCTGAATCAGTATCACCACCACTTTCAGGATCATCAATAATATCACAGCTAAAATTTTTTGTATTTGTCAAATCTAGTTGATTGGTTGAATTTAAATCATTGGAATGATGATGATGTTGATGATGATTTTCATTAACAACATTTGTTGTTGTTTCGAGATCAATATTTGTTGTTGTTGTTGTTGCTTTTAGTTGTTGTTGTTGGCTAGTCGATTGTTGTTGTTGTTGTTTATTCGATACAGCAATAATATTTTCTGGACGGACTTCATCGAATGAAGTTGTAGCTGATTGTATAATTGGAATGTTTGATTCTTGACTATGATTATGATTTGTTGTTGTTGTTGTTGTTGATTCAATATTTTTACTTTTACGACGACTATGTTTATGTTCTTTTTTATCTTTGATAATAATTTTTTTCATCAATAAATTTGGTGATGGTAATGGTATGCCTGGTTTAAGTGGATGACTTGGTAATGGTTCAGTAAGTAACATATCACCAAATATTTGTCGACAATATTTAGCCATTTTTGTTAATTGTTGTTTATTTGAGCAATGATTTTCAAATGAAAGTATTACTGGATAATGTGATGTTTTGAATGCACTTTCAGCTATTGCTTCAAGAACTTCTTTTAATGGTACATCCGTTACAACAGTATAACCATGTGTGATGATTGGTTCATCATCCGAACGACCATTCCAACAATCCAATTCAATACAACGACAACCACCTAATAAACATTGTCGATATATTTCTACTGATGATCTACCTGTCAGTTGATGACCAGTCAAATAAGTATTATGACTTGAATTAATAAAATAATGACTTAATGGTTGATCCATATCGCTATTTAAATCAAATTTTTCGGACGGTATAATAGCATTATCATCACTCATTAAATAGCGAAGAAAACCATCGAATGAAAGGAAACCTTTTTGTGAAATTTCCTGATCCGATTCATGTTGTTCAATCAAATCCATACCTCTTGAAAGATTTGCATATGGATATAGGATTTCATTCAAACGTGGATCACGCTGTTCTTTATTTAAAAATTGTACAAATTGTTCAACAGTCATAACTTTTTTGTTATTATACATATGATTACCACATCTATATGAAATGAAAAACATGAAAATTACCAAAAATACAAATGAAGAAAAATGTTTTTTACTTACATTTTTTCAAATATTTCCAACACTTCATTTCTACCGATTAAATATTTATAAAAATTAAAAAATGTATTCATATCAAATTTATCCAATGGAATTGTATCATTTTTTGTTGATGATAATGAACAAGATTCCAATGCTTTTTCAATTTTTTTTCGATCATCTTTATGATTGGCAAACATTTTCATTATACTTTTTTTGATGAAAAAAAACAGAAAAAAACAAAACATGTTTCAACATGAAAAAACAAGAAGTATTCGAATAGAAAACTTACTTTTTTACAGGTAATTTTCGATCACGATCAGACATTAAAAATAATTTTGTATGAGCTTTTTCCAAAAATGTATAAACAGATGCATTTATGGCTAATAAATTGTATGAAATTTTTAATATTTCATTTGTCCATTCCTGTTGGGTTAACAATCAATCAATCAATCGATGAATTATTAATGACATAAAATTGTAACAAACCAAATAGACTTACTTGAGCTATTTCCTTTGAATAGGTACAAAAATTAATAAAATTTACATTAACAAAATCTGTTCCATAAACAATTGTTAATGTTTTATCTTCTAATTGAATATCTTGTGGTCCAATATTTATTGATTCTTTAAGTTTTCCATCCTGTTTTGTGTTTGGTGTGTTGTTTGTGTGGAAATAGATCATTATCATTAATAAAACGTTCGAAAAATAAAACGTTCGAAAAAATTTTTATACAAACATTTTTCGGTGTTTTAGCATATTTTCCTGTTCTTGTATCACGAATACTGGATATTTCTAATAATTCAGTTTCCTGAATGAAAATGATGAAAAAAAAATCAAGATCAATTTCATTTAAAATTGTTATCAAATTGATTTATTGACTGTTACACTACATACACCATTTTGATCGGTCCAATAAAGGAAAAAACCTTTTCGATCAACTTTTAAAACAACTGGAACACCAATGGCTGTATCTTCATCCCATTTTATAAATTTACAACCATCGATTAAACTTTTTGGTATCGATATTGGTTTTAATTGCATAACATGAACACCAGATTTTGCGTTGGCCATTTTATCGTTTTTTTGTTTATTGTTGTTGTTGTTCAAATGAAAAAATATTGATTGAAAAAAATCGTTATCGATCGTTTTGGTTGATTTATCGATGTTTTAAAATGAAAAATTTTTTCTTGTTTGAACACGAAAATCAATGAAGAAAAATTAATCAATGAAAATTTATTCAACCATAATTTTATTCAAAGAATCGATTGATTCATTCATTTTTTGGGTACGTTTTGGATCATATTGTTGTTGTTGTTGTCGAAAAAAATGAAAATGAAATGTTTATGGAATGCCTTTGATGGATGAATGGCATTACTATCCAAAAAAAAAAAAACAAAATTTATTGATGATTATCACCATCGTTAATCAAAAAAAAAAAAAAAAAAAAATTTCCCAAAGGATTGATAATTACCACCATCTTTAAAAAAAAAAAAAAAAAAAAATATTGCCATAGTGACCATCATATTGATGATGATTGAAACAAAAAAAAGATGACAAGATTTTTTTTTTTGTTGTTAATCACCAAACAAACAACATAGGTGATATGCAAAACAAACAAACAACAACGAAGAACGAAAATCAAATCACAAATTGATACACATGGTAACAAGTTATTTTTTGGCAATGCTCACCACCCAAAAGCAAAACAACAAAATTTAAAGAGACAAAAAACCGGCTGATCACGTCAATTATTACGTTCACTATGTGATTATGATGGTGGTTGGTGGTAAAATCATTCTTTTTTTTGCGGATGAAACCGAAGAAAAATTGATGATGAAACAAGCAACAAGCACCAAAAGGAAAAAGAAATGACAAAAATCTTTTATCTGAAGAATTTTTCAAGAAAAAAAAAGAGAATTTAGAAAATTTCCCGAATCGGGATTTTTTTCGTTGAAGAATTTATGGTAAGTGATTTTTTAATTATTGATTCTTCACAATATTTTTTTGACTGAAAGGAATCTTATTATTTAAGTTTACACACGAGTAGCACACATAGTGTATTGTATTACCAAACAGAAAAATATTATATCGAATACAAAACAAACAAACAAAAAAAAGAAAAAGAGAAAAAATCAATCACCGATCATATCAGTTTATTTATGAAGTTTTATTTATTTATTTACTGCCACCATCACCACCGCCGCCAACAACAACAACAACAACAATCATCATCAATATCAATAGAATAAGAATTGAATTGAAAAGAAAATACTTTAAATTCTTTTACATCATGTATATATAGTATGTGTTGTGTGTGTATCTTTCAATCAAACATCAAATCAAACAAACAAACAAACATCATCAACTTCCATCATCATCTACATACAATATATGTTTGTTTTGTTTTGTTGTTTCTCTCTCACACATTTGCCGAGTTTAGGTTTTTCTCCAATATTCTTTTTTTTTCCTATTTATTATTGTCCTGTTTTTATCGATGTTGTTGTTGTTTTCGTTATTGGTTTTTTTTCTGTTGTTGTTGTTAGTTTTGATGTGGAAGCATGTAGATTTGATGAGAGAATGTTTTGAATATATTGCATAACACCACATACCACACACCATCATCATCATCATCATATACACCATTACCGAACATCGAACTATTAGTTTTATAGTCGAAACGATAGTAGCAACGATATCGGTAAAAAAAATGATGTTGTCCGCGGCCAATTAAAAAAAAAAAAAGATAAAACATGATGATGATGATAAAGTGGAACCAACGAACGAACGAAGGAAAAAGTAGAAGTAGCATCCTAATAACTTGGTGAAGGAAGAAAATCCATTGGATCCATACGCGTTGTATAGTAATTTTCGATTATTCTTCGATTCAAATATTCATTCATTCATTCATTCACGAAAAAAAACATCCAAATACCAATATAGAACATGAAACTGCGCGCGGATTTTTTTTCATGTTGAACATTATTTTGGTGGTATAAATGAATGAATCCGATTCGTATCAAACAACAATAATAATTTGGTCAAAACCCTGGTTTCAAACAAAAAAAAAATTGGCTTTACATTCATTTTGATTCACTTTGATTTTGTTGTTCGGTCGATTCGGTTCGGCTATATATAAAAATTACCCTGGAATTTTATATTCTTGAATTCTATTTATACCAAAAAACATTCGATTCTATATAGACTCTCTTGGTTGTAGTATTCAGTTTCGAATGTTTTGTTCCATGTTTATTATAACAAACAATAAATAATTCGCGCGCGGATTTTTTTTCCGTGTTTTTCCCGTGTTTAAATGATTTTATTTTTTCCTCGATTCTGTATATTCTGAAAATTGAAATGAATGTAGTGAAAAAAAATAGACAAAAGAAAAAACCAAATGAAAAAAAAGAAAAATGTTAATCAAAATATTATTGTTATTTCCTTTTGAATGAATTCATGAGTTTTTCTCTCGCTTATTTTCTCGTCCTCTATTAGTTGGTTGTTGATATTAATATTTTCTTCTTTTACCGACGATAAAGTGGAAAGAAAGAAAGCAAAGAATAATTATATGCAATGTATATATCCATCCATCCATGAAGAAAAAAAAGGTACAATTAATTTTCATTTTGCTCTCGATCATCATCATCATTAATGGTCGATTGATTTTTTATATTTTTATATTTCCATTTAATGATAAACTAAATGTAGTTTTTTTCTCTTCATTATAGCAACCATATTGTTATTGTTTTTGGTTGGTTGGTTGGTTATTATTCTTTTGTTATTTGGCAAACAAAACATAAACTAAACACACACACACACACACACACACATGTGGTATGTAACAACCGGAATATTATTTTATTTTTATTTTAGTTAGTTAAATTCTTATTATGATTGTTTTATTATTATTTACTAAACATGAAAAAAAGAAATTAGAATTTTGTATGTATAGTGAAAATCGAAAATATCGAAATTGAAAAGAAAATTATTGTTTTTTTTTTTAAAAAAAAAGATTTTATAATTAATTTTTTTTTTTTTTTTTTTTTAAAAACAAATTTTTTTTTAACCAAACCCCCCCCAACTTTAAATCAAA